GAAATGAAATTTTTTTGCCGGAGTTGTTGGACATTGAATTTGTGTGCGTGTGTGGGTTGTGCTGAGGATAATTTTGAGTGATGAGAAAAGTTGCGTCCGGAGATCTGTGTCAGGAAATTAAGAATGAAGAAACTAAGTTTTTTCGTCATCTCAGGCATTAATGATGAGTTTAAAGAGGTTGCGTCAGGGCTTTAATTGTGTAGGTACCTTCAGTAGAGCCTGGAGTCTGCAAACTATGATTTGAATGAAATAAAATGAATTGTTGCCGTCATTATGCATAAATATGACCGAAATGGCACAAAAGGTAATACACTAGTGTGCCGCAGCACATAGGTTGAACATCACTGCTTTAGGAACCTTTGAAAACATAAAAAGTCACTATGTGGAAGCCATAGTCTCTAATAGCATTTCAAAAGCTCATTTTAGCAATTACTTCCCTTTAGTATGACTTCAATCAATAAAATTCTCTTTAATTTTCTGTAATAACTTTAAAGCTTGACAATATAAAGCTTATATAATTGCACGTTCGCTTGCTATTCGCATTACTCTCTTGTGCAGCGAGGAAAATAAAACAACAAGCAATAAAACGTTTGTTGCTTGAAGCTTTCGATGTTTAAATTGTAAAATAAATATTTTTGTGTTGCTTGCGATTGAAACTTGTCATGGCAAAACCCTCATTGGGATGGAATGTTGTTGTCAATATTCGGTTTAATTTTACTATCGACTATCTTGCATGTTTCTGCTTATTGATGTTAAAGTTTGTAAATAGTTGTCTACTTTAGGTGTTGACTAGATTGCTTCTTTTATTTAGATTAGAATAGTTTTAGAAGATTTTTTTAAAGCTGAAGCTTTTGCTTGAATTTTTCAAAATTTCTTGCTTTTTAAAATAGTTTAGATTATTTTTTTACTTCTATTTTAAGGGATGGACACTTAGTTTGGGTTTAAAATTGCATTTAAAATTTTATGATTTTTTTTAAATTTCTAGTTTTTTAAATTGATTATTTTTTTAAAAAAAATTAAGATTTTGTTGAAATTTTCAATTTTTTTATTTTATTTCCAACGCTTCAAACTATTTTTTAGTGTCCATCCCTTGCTAATTTCTTTTTCTCAACTTTTTTTTATCCCTTTTGATTTTGAACAATTTTATTTTACCAAAAAAAGGTAAACAGAGAAAAAATCCTAAAAGTTTGAAATAATCGAATTAAACAAATTTTTTTAAAATCCACCAAAGAGTTTTTTACTAAAACATATTTTTTCTAATTTTTTTCTCTTTTTTTTCTTTCAACCACAAAACAAATTAAAAACCAACATAAAAATCACAATTTTTAACTACTTTTTTCCCATTTTTCCTATCCAAATATTTTTGAAAATAACCTCCATGTTACCCCAAAACCCCTTAAACCCACCCCAAAAAAATCATTAAAATTTTTTTAAAAAAAAAATATTTAAATTAAAATCACTAGTATGTAGTGAAGTGTGTGATTGTGGCAATTAAAACCATTGGCAACATAATGCTGGTCACTTATCTGCTACAATTTATGTTTGCTGTTATTGGAGTGCAGCTGTTTAAGGTAATGGCTCAACTTTTTTTTCTCTTAATACTTATTAAAAAATTATTAATTTTCCAAATTTTTTCGTTTGTTTTTTACCAAAATTTAATTTTTAACATGGAATTTGAGATTGAAATTATTTCTTTTTTATTTTGTCTTTTTTTCTTAACATTTGCAATTAATGAAACTGAAATTTTATTGATCTTTAGACTTGGTTGTAGGTTCCGTTGATTAGTTCTTAATATAAAGAGCAGGGATTCTCTACTCGATGGCCAATATTTCTGAAATGTCTAAGAATGTTTAAACCTTCATCACGGTTTTTGAACCTTAATTCAGAATTTTTGAACCTTAATCAGGGTTTCTGAACCTTAATCAGGGTTTCTGAACCTTATTTAGGGTTTCTGAACCTTAATCATGGTTTCTAAACCTTAATCAGAGTTTCTGAACCTTAATTAAGGGTTTTTGAACCTTAATCAGAGTTTCTAAACCTTAATCAGGGTTTCTGAACCTTAATCAGGGTTTCTGAACTTTAATCAAGGTTTCTGAACCTTAATCAGGGTTTCTGAACCTTAATCAGGGTTTCTGAACCTTAATCAGGGTTTCTGAACTTTAAACAAGGTTGCTGAACCTTAATCGGAGTTTCTGAACCTTAATCAGGGTTTCTGAACTTTAGTCAAGGTTTCTGAACCTTAATCAGGGTTTCTGAACCTTAATCGTATTTCTGAACTTTAATCAGGGTTTTTGAACCTTAATCAGCGTTTTTAAACCTTAATCAGGGTTTCTGAACTTTAGTCAGGGTTTTTGAACCTTATTCAGGGTTTTTGAACCTTAATCATGGTTTCTGAACCTTAATCAGAGTTTCTGAACCTTAATCAGGGTTTCTGAACTTTAATCAGGGTTGCTGAACCTTAGTCGGAGTTTCTGAACCTTAATCAGGGTTTCTGAACTTTAATCAGGGTTTTTGAACCTTAATCAGAGTTTCTGAACCTTAATCAGTGTTTCTAAACCTTAATCAGTGTTCCTAAACCTTAATTAGTGTTTCTAAACCTTAATCAGGGTTTCTGAACCTCAATCAGGGTTTCTAAACCTTAATCAAGGTTACTGGACTTTAGTCAGGGTTTCTGAACCTTAATCAGGGTTTCTGAACCTCAATCAGGGTTTCTAAACCTTAATCAAGGTTACTGGACTTTAGTCAGGGTTTCTGAACCTTTAACAGGGTTTCTGAACCTTAATCAGGGTTTTTGAACTTTAATCAGGGTTCCTGAACCTTAATCAGGGTTTCTGAACCTTAATCAGGGTTTCTGAACTTTAATAAAGGTTGCTGAACCCTAATCGGCGTTTCTGAACCTTAATCAGGGTTTCTGAACCTTAATCAGGGTTTCTGAACTTTAATCAAAGTTGCTAAACCTTAATCAGAGTTTCTGAACCTTAATCAGGGTTTCTGAACCTTAATCAGGGTTTCTGAACTTTAATCAGGGTTTCTGAACCTTAATCAGGGTTTCTAAACCTTAATCAGGGTTTCTGAACTTTAGTCAATGTTTCTGAACCTTAATCAGGGTTTCTGAACCCTAATCAGGATTTCTGAACCTTAATCAGGGTTTCTGAACTTTAATCAAGGTTGCTGAACCTTAATAAGAGTTTCTGAACCTTAATCAGGGTTTCTGAACTTTAATCAAGGTTGCTGAACCTTAATTGGAGTTTCTGAACCTTAATCAGGGTTTCTGAACTTTAGTCAGGGTTTCTGAACTTTAGTCAGGGTTCCTGAGCCTTTATCAGGGTTTCTGAACCTTAATCAGGGTTTCTGAACCTTAATCATGGTTTCTAAACCTTAATCAGGGTTTCTGAACCTTAATCAGGGTTTCTGAACCTTAATCAGGGTTTCTGAACCTTAATCAGGGTTTCTGAACTTTAATCAAGGTTGCTGAACCTTAATCGGAGTTTTTGAACCTTAATCAGGGTTTTTGAACCTTAATCAGGGTTTCTGAACTTTAATCAAAGTTGCTGAACCTTAATGGAAGTTTCTGAACCTTAATCAGGGTTTCCGAACTTTAATCAAGGTTTCTGAACTTTAGTCAGGGTTTCTGAACCCTATTCAGGGTTTCTGAACCTTAATCGGGGTTTCTGAACTTTAATCAAGGTTGCTGAACCCTAATCGGAGTTTCTAAACCTTAATCGGGGTTTCTGAACCGTAATCAGGGTTTCTGAACTTTAATCAAGGTTGCTGAACCTTAATCGGAGTTTTTGAACCTTAGTCAGGGTTTCTGAACTTAAGTCAGGGCTTCTGAACTTTAATTAGGTTTTCTGAACCTTAATTTAGGTATCTGAACCTAATTTGACATTTTTGAACTACAGTCAGGGACTCTAAAGTTCAGTGAGGGGGTCTTTAAGCTGAAAAAGGATCAAATTTAATAATTGATTTTGAAATACTTTACCTTAGAACATGAGAATTACGTCCTTAAATCTTATATAACAATAAATTATTGCAACTAAATTGAACAATTCAAGCAAATTTAATTCTATTGTTGAAAATAGTTCATTAATATCAATAAAAATTCCACTTGAATGCTCACAAGAACTTCAATTTCATTCCTGTAATCCGCACGGTAAACTTGTTGCTGTCATTCACAGTCAATTATCTTCCATCTTAATGTAATTTTCTTAAATTCTCATTTCAACAACATTTTTCTTTTATTAACATTTAAAAGCAGATAATTTTAACTTTTCTTGTGATTTAATTTAAAAACTTTTTAAAATATGACAAAAGAATTTAAAAATTCAGGTGATGACTCAGCATTTACTGTCGCTGTCGTTTTGATGAAATTTCGCGTCTTTTTCTTCTTGAAACTTTTCCCGCCCACATACTCAGCATCAAATTCATTTTCATTTTATATACTTTTGTACTTTACTTTTGGTTCCATATTTTCTCATTTTCATCTTCATTTATTTCATTCATTCATCTGAAATAGATTAAGAAGTATGAAAGGCATTTGGGAGGTGATTTGGATAAGGCGCATTTTTATGGATGGCAAATTTTGATTAAGTTTTATTAGAAGTCGTTCACTTAAGACGTCTAAAATTAACGGTCATATTTCAAAAACGAACAGTAGATTTCCAGGAATTTCTATTGTTCTTTTGTAGCTGACCCCCCCCCCCCCCCAACCCCTTTCTAGGACGTCATAAGTGAACAGCCCTTTAGTTTTTTATTTTTTTTTGAAATTTTTTATTACCTCAGACCAACAAGTCAACATTAATTGAACAAATAAAAGCAATATAGACATCATCCACAAAATTGCGCTGAAACTAAGACGCAAGCAGAAGTTTCATGTGTCAAATTAATGCCAAAAACTTTACTTTTTTTTCTTCTCTTTTCTTTAACGTTGACATCCTGAAATATTTAATCTAATTTTCTTCTCATTTTTCTCACACACCCCCCGACCATCATTAATACAGGGAAAATTCTTCAGTTGCACTGACGGCTCAAAGCGTACCGAAGAGGAGTGTCACGGGACATATTTAGTGATATCAGGTGACGACTCCGAGAGTCCTGAGATACGTGATCGTGTGTGGGACAATAATCGCTTCCATTTTGATGACGTTGCCAAAGCTATGTTGACGCTGTTTACAGTCTCAACGTTTGAAGGGTGGCCTAACTTACTTTACGTGTCAATTGACTCAAATGCTGAAAATTATGGACCAATACACAATTTTAGACCTATTGTTGCTGCTTATTATATTGTATATATTATTATTATTGCATTCTTTATGGTTAACATATTCGTCGGTTTCGTTATTGTCACTTTCCAAAATGAGGGTGAGCAGGAGTACAAGAACTGTGATTTGGACAAGAACCAGAGGAACTGTATAGAATTTGCGCTCAAGGCGAAACCTGTGAGGAGGTAAGTTACTCGATTCAAATTTAACTGATATTTAAAAATTAAAATTTAACTGTGTTTTTAAATTCATATTTTAACGTTCAATTAAAATTCGAATTCTAACGGTCATTTGAAATTCAAAATTAAACGATATTAAAATATTCAAATTTTAACGACTTTTTGAAATTTAAATTATAACGGCCATTAAAAATTCAAAATTAAACGATATTTAAATATTCAAATTTTAAAATTTTTAAAAAATTCAAATTTTAACGGTCATTTGAAATTCAAACCTTAACGACCATTACAAATTCAAATTTGTCACATCCTAATAATCCAGTATCAACACAAAAACATTTTCCCATCTCAATACAGACATAGCCCATAAAAAGATCCAGACATAGATAATATTACATAACCTCACGAAAACTTCTTAATAAATAAATTTCCCAAATCGTGCCTTTAAGCAGTTTTTCGTTAATTTTCGACATAAAAATATGTTAAAACTTGCTTACATGCAGCATAAAACTTCCACCATTCAACACAAACAGGAAGAACTGTAGCATTTACAGCACATTATCACCCAGTTCGTACTGAATCTTTTAATAAAATCTACAATCAGACGAGAATGTCAGAGGAAATATAACAGATAATAATGTGAGGTTCAATATCTGCTGAGTAACAGAATTATGCAGACAAACTTTTTATGCTTGGGGGATAATGTTTTAAGAATTTGAGGTTAAATGTGATTTTGAGGTTATGCATTTAATTTGTTATGAAAAGAGTCAAATTAAGAATTGTAAACCTAAGCCAGGGGTTTTGTTACCTCGGACAGGGTTTGCAAACTATTATCAAGGTTTCTGAATCTCAAAACAGAGCTTGAATCTTAATCTAGGGTGTCTGAGTCTTAGTCTGGCTTTCTGAACTTTAACCATGGCTTCTGAACTTTAACCATGGCTTCTGAACTTCAGTCATAGTTTCTAAAGCTCAATCAAGGTTTCTGATACACAGCCATGATCTTTTGAAGCTCATTCAGGGCTTAGAAGCTCAGTCAGGGTTTCTGCAGTTTAGTCAGGACTTCTGAAGCTCAGTCAGTACTTCTAAAGCTTATTAAGGGCTTCCGAAGATTAGTCAGGACTTTTGAAGCTTAGTCTGGACTTCTTAAGCTCAGCCAAGGCCTCTGAAGCTGACTCAGGACTTTTGAAGCTCAGTCAGGGCTTCTGAAGCTCAGTCAGGGTTTCTGCAGTTTAGTCAGGACTTCTGAAGCTCAGTCAGTACTTCTAAAGCTTATTAAGGGCTTCCGAAGATTAGTCAGGACTTTTGAAGCTTAGTCTGGACTTCTTAAGCTCAGCCAAGGCCTTTGAAGCTGACTCAGGACTTTTGAAGCTCAGTCAGGACTTTTGAAGCTCAGTCAGTGCTACTGAAGTTTAGTCAGGACTTCTGAAGCTGACTCAGGATTTCTTAAGCTCAGTCAGGGCTTCTAAAGCTCAGTCAAGGCTTCTGAAGCTCAAGCAGAACTTTTGAAGCTTATTGAGGACTTCTGAAGCTCAGTCAGGACTTCTTAAGTACAGTCAGGACTTCTGAAGCTCAATCAGAGGTTTCAACCTTAGTTCCGGGTTTTTGAACCTTAATCAGGGTTTCTAAACCTTAATTCAAGATTTCTGAGCTACATTTAGGACTCCTAAACATGAATTACAACCTTTGAACCTAAATTATAGATCTAAAACTTCAGTCAGGGTTTCTCAACCTCAGTCAGAGCTTTTGATCCTATTTATAAGCATCTGAACCTTAACCAAGGTCACTTTACTTCAATTAAAGCTAATGAACCACATTAATTGATTTCCAACCTACGATAAGGCTATATAATCCACAAAAACTATTTTCAGTCCTCAAATGTCAATTTTCAGCAAGAAATTCACAACATTTCAAAAGCTGAACCCCCTCGTCTGATAAAAATTCTCATTTTAATCCTCACACCATTAAGCATGAACATCAGCAGCAGCAGAGAAATAAACTTTTTTTTTTATCATCAGCATATCACAATCCAATGAAAATTGCAATTTTGTTATAGTCAAATGAACTTATCATCAATTCCTCCACTCATTCCGTTTCCATTGCATTTCTCACAGATACATCCCGAAGCATCGGATCCAGTATAAAGTATGGTGGTTCGTTACATCGCAGCCATTCGAATATGCAATATTCATTCTCATCATGATAAATACGATAACATTAGCAATGAAATTCTATCGACAACCGCGCGAATATACGGAAGCACTCGACGTCCTCAACATGATTTTTACAGCTGTTTTTGCACTCGAATTTGTTTTTAAATTGGCAGCATTTCGATTTAAAAATTACTTTGGTGATGCATGGAATGTTTTCGATTTTATAATTGTCCTTGGATCATTTATCGATATTGTCTATTCGGAAGTTAATCAAATGAATGCGATGGCAAAGGATACAGCGGCAACGACGGCAGCAGCAGCAGCTATGGCATCCGGAGCAACTGCCGGGACTGTTAAAGCAGCATCGGGTAGCATAATTTCCATCAATTTCTTCCGTCTCTTTCGTGTTATGAGATTGGTGAAATTGTTGGCAAGAGGTGAAGGCATTCGAACACTGCTTTGGACATTTATTAAATCTTTTCAAGCACTGCCATATGTTGCACTGCTGATTGTGATGTTGTTCTTTATTTATGCTGTCATTGGCATGCAGGTGAGTGAAGCTTTTATGATTTATATTTTTGTTTTTGTGATTTCTTGATTTAATTGGAATTTGTTGGGTCGGAAGAGATGGAAGTAGGGGTTGGTGTGGCTATAAAGGAGGGTATGGAACTGATCTGGTATAGGAATAGGTTGGGATCGACACAGCATGTCATGATGACAGAGTTTATTAGGAAACAGGAGCTTGAGGGTTAACCTTCACACCATTTAAGTATCTAGAGGATTTATTAAGTTTCCAATGCAGTGGTGGTCAACCTTTTTTGTGCCATGGATCACTTAGTAGTAAACCATGACCGAAACCGCACACAGCATATGGTTCGAGAGCTTTCCTTAATTTTTTTCAGGGCACAATAGTGCGACGTGGTACACGGGTTGTCCATCACTGATTTAGAAGACCTTACACCTCGACTAAAAAGACACTCTGTTACATGTCCTTCAAAATTTTTAATTTCCACCAATCAACATCTGCTCAAAAAACACAATAATTTCCATAAAATTTACACAAAAAACATCTCAACCTAAATTAATCAATCTTTCGTCTAAGAATATTTAACACCGATGTGACATTCATTAGCATACTGCTGTAAGGCCTCGCACTCTGTCGATTCTGTCATGTTTGGACATTTTCTGAACAGCTCAGTTTGAAGACACCCAAAAATGTACCCAGAAATTGGATGACAAATTATTTCTCCACTGAATGTCGGCACCGGTCGTGGAGTGTTGAGTTTTGCGTCTCGATAAGCGACACGTGCTAGAAAATGTGTTTTGATTAATTATTAAAATTTGCAAATTTTCAAGTAAGAAAGTCATGAGTGAAATTTGCATAAAGCGCATTTTTAAGAATTTTACAATATTTTGATGCCTTAACGATGACCTTACCTCAAAATAATGTCAACATTAAAGCAAAACATCCCCACACCACGTTTACTTACTCTCCATTACACACAAATCGACAGCTTTAACAACAATCTCCCCCCACTCTCGATTACCACTGACCGAATTCATAAAGAGTCGCTTCAATGTTATCGCATCAAAGAATCCGTGTCCTTTATAAATTTTCGTTTGATTAGCTATGCACTCCATGATACAATTTCCTTTTGGCGATTCACCCGGTTGGAGATCTTGAAGCTGTCTTTGAGTGTTTCGTGAATATTTTGAGATGCACGACTCGTTTAGATGAGTGTCGATGATGTTTGGGAAGGAGAGGCAGCAGTCTGAGGCGTCCTGGAGGGGATGGGAATAAAATTAACAGTCTTAATTATTTTTTGGAGGGGGAAACAACCTGGTGGGAGTTTTATTGCAAGGGGGGAAACAACGTGTGGAGAAAATATTCTGAATTTATAAATTATATGGAAATCAACAATTTTTCTTCATTATTTTGAATTCCTCTTGATTGAAAAAAAAATTCCCCAACAAGTTGTTTCCCCCTTGACTTTTTAATATAGTATGAACCTTAGTAGTCGGTGGTCCATCCGAACACAGCCTTTGAGTAAACGAAATCACAAAAATTCCACAAAAAATGCTAATTTTAAGCAATATTGTTCCTTTAATGCCATCCATCGCGACCTAATTCCACAACTAAATGATAAAGTCGAAATAAAAATATTTTTCTGTAAAATGATGTAAAACTAGAATGGAATGTATTAATGACAAGGTCGCGTGTCTAACGAGCCATTTAATGAACATTTCTAGTCATCACTTCCGATTACATTCTATTAAATTACTCATTCTCAATGTTAATTACTTTTCACTTAATTTCGAGGGGATAACAACTTGGTGGAAAAAGGTTTTGAAGATGGAAAATTTAAAGTTTATTTTTAATGATTTTCTAGCAATTTTTCATCAATTTTTCACAAATTTTAGATCAAAATTTTGGTCAAAAATCAAATTTCTTATCAAATCTATTCCCCATCACATTCTTACCCCCTCGCATATATTTTTACATTTTTTCCCCTCATTTTTGTAGATGTTTGGTAAAATTGCACTCGACAATGCTGATGAGGAATCCGCGATTACGAGGAACAACAACTTTCAGACATTTCCACAAGCAGTTCTGGTGCTGTTTCGGTCAGCGACGGGTGAAGCATGGCAGGACATCATGTTAGATTGCTCAAATCGTGCTGATGCTTACTGTGATATGGCATCGGACTCAGCTTTTGAGGGTCAAACGTTAAAGAATGTAAGAATTATTTGTGGGGATGTTTTGGGTTAATTGGATCTTATTTCGTGTTTTGTAGGTGTTTCCTTTGGATACGAAGAGGAAAACATGCGGAACCAGCATTGCATTTCCTTATTTCATCTCATTTTACGTACTTTGTTCGTTCTTGGTGAGTATAAATTGTCCTATTAATTATTAATATTTAAAGCATTCAAACTTAATCTCAGATCATCAACTTGTTCGTTGCCGTCATCATGGACAACTTTGACTACCTTACACGAGATTGGTCAATTCTCGGTCCACATCATCTCGACGAGTTCATCCGTCTATGGAGTGAATATGATCCCGATGCAAAAGGTCGAATAAAGCATCTCGATGTAGTCACACTACTTCGAAAAATATCACCGCCCCTCGGATTTGGTAAACTTTGTCCACATCGTGTTGCATGTAAGCGACTCGTGTCAATGAACATGCCACTGAATAGTGATGGAACGGTGTTATTCAATGCAACATTGTTTGCTGTGGTGCGAACATCGTTAAAAATAAAAACTGAGGGAAATATTGACGATGCAAATGCGGAACTGCGAGCGACAATCAAACAAATTTGGAAGCGAACAAGTCCAAAATTACTTGATCAAGTTGTACCGCCTCCTGGAAATGATGATGAAGTTACTGTTGGTAAATTTTATGCGACATTCTTGATTCAGGATTACTTTAGACGATTTAAGAAGCGAAAAGAACAAGAAAGTCGTGACGGTGACTTAAATGACTGCAATACAGTGACCTTACAAGCTGGTTTGAGGACTTTACATGAAGCTGGTCCAGAACTTAAGCGAGCAATTTCTGGAAATCTTGATGAACTAAGCGATGATAATCCAGAACCAATGCATCGTAGAAATCACACATTATTCGGTAGTGTCTGGTCGTCGATGAGGAAACAAAAGCCATTTTCGAGAAATCGAATGTTAAAGTCATCCAATAATGGCAACAATAGTAACAATAACAATAATAATAGCAATGCAATCAACAATAATACAATAAGTCTGGCAACGTCGGCTGCTCATAATATGACATCGACAACTGTCGCAATATCTGGCGACTTTCTTGGCAATGACTTTAATAAAATGAATAATAATACTGGACAGCGACTGACGGATGGATTGAATAATATTACAAAGAGTATCATGCAGCAACGTGGTGTACAGCAATTGGAGGCACATGATGATATTCCATTGAGACCGTTGTTGTTGAATGGAAATCAAAATTCAAGCCCTAATCAGCTGCAGCCTCAAAATGAGTGAGTTTTTGAACAGATTTTTATTTTAATATTTGATGATTTTTAAACAATTTATAGTTGATTTTTGGGAAATGTTTTATTGAGATGGGAATGTTTTGTGTCTTTTGAGGAGTCAAGGGGGTTAGTTGCTACAAAGGTAGGATAAAATTCGATATGTTAAGGATGAAATTCAAAGGATTAAGGTTAGAATCCAAAAAGTGAGGTTAGAATTCAAAAAGTGAGGTTAAAACCCCCAAAAATGAGGTTCGAACCCCAAAAGTCAGGTTAGAATTCAAAGTCACTTTAAAAAAGTGAGGTTAGGATTCAAAAATTGAGGTTAGAACCAAAATATGAGGCAAGAACACAAAAAAATGAAGTTAGAACACCAAATTGAGGTTAGAATTCAAAAACTTAGGTTAGAACCCCAAAAGGTGAGGTTAGAACTCCAACAATGAAGTTAGAATTCAAAAAAGTGAGGTTAGAATTCAAAAAGTGAGGTTAAAATTCAAAACTTTGAGGTTAGAACCAAAAAATTAGGCCAGAACTTAAAAAGTGAGGTTAAAAAAACAAAACTTTGAGGTTAGAATCCAAAAAAAAGTAAGAAGCAAACCCCTCCTCACTCCTCAAAGTCCACAAAACTTGACCAACTCAATAAAAATTTCTCAACAAAATTCATTTTATTTTAACCAATTTTTAAACGAACAAATTTTTTAGCAAAGTTAATTTTAGATAGAAATTTTTTGGAACGAAACAATTTTTTAACATTTTTTTAAATCACACAACTTTTGATATTTTACGGATTACAAAAAAAAAGCATAAAAATTTTTACCCATCCAGAAAAATTAAGCACGAATTTTTAAAAAGTTCAAAATTAAGGAAAAATTATCAGCACAAAAAATTTTCTTAGCGATCAAAAAATTAAAATTCCCCCCATTTTTTGTCGATTAAAGAAAACAAATCCCAACCCTCAAACATTTCTCTGCCATTATTATTTGTTGCAGCACTAAAAAATTTATTAAAAGGGATTCATTTCTTCATCCTACCAATGGTAAGCAGACGCTGATGCATTCCGTAGACATTTTTTGAGTTTTTTTCGTGCATTTTTTTTGAGTTGATTTGACATTTTTTTTGTTTTGTTTTGTGTCAGAGTTGTTATCTGGGGTTGGATATTGAGGTTATGTTGAATAAGCTTGAGTTTATGTTGCCTTAAATTGAGGTTATGTTACCTTAATTTGAGGTTATAATGCCTTAGTTTGAGGTTTTGATGCCTTAATTTGAGGTTATGTTACCTTAATTTGAGGTTATGTTGCCTTAGTTTTAGGTTATATTGCCTTAATTTGAGGTTATGTTGCCTTAATTTGAGGTTATGTTGCCTTAATTTGAGGTTATGTTGCCTTAGTTTGAGGTTATGTTGCCTTAATTTGAGGTTATGTTGCCTTAGTTTTAGGTTATATTGCCTTAATTTGAGGTTATGTTGCCTTAATTTGAGGTTATATTGCCTTAGTTTGAGGTTATGTTGCCTTTATTTGAGGTTATGTTGCCTTAGTTTAAGGTTTTGTCGCCTTAATTTGAGGTTATGTTGCCTTAGTTTGAGGTTATGTTGCCTTAATTTGAGGTTATGATGCCTTATTTTTAAGGTTAGGTATGCAAGATTGAGGTTAGGTTATGAATTAGTTTGAGTAAATTACAAAATTTGAGGTTAAGTCACAAAAAGTGAGGTTAAGTTCCAAAAAACCGACCTAGATAACAACTGAAATATTTTTTCACATATTTTTCGTTGACATTTTTTTTTTATTTTTCGAGTAAATCAGAACCGCTTTCGTCATTTTAGAGGATCGCACATAGTTACACAAAATTTTACTGCTTACCTTCATGACATATGTTGAGTTTCTATCATTTTTAATTGGTTTTGATTTATATTTTAGTGAACAAAAAATTGGCGCTTCATTTTCTTTTTCTTGCTTTCATTTTCACTTTTCATCTGATATGGAAAAGTCGTCTGCAATTTTCTATCTGCTTTTGAAAATCCCTCATTTTTCTACCCTTTCACAATTCCTCATCAAGTTTCCTCTTTATTTTCATCCACCGCACCACCAAAAAACACTTTTTTAATTAATTTTTCTTTCACCTTCGAATTATGAAAACACAATCAGGACTGAATATGGATTTTCACATGCAAAAATTCGTAAAATGAAAGTTTGATCGCTTTTTAGATGAATTAAAAAACTGAATTTAATGCGCTTGTTTGGAAAAGAACTTTTTTCTGCACTGAATTTTAATTTAAAATAACTGAAATTGAGTTAAAATGTAATGAAAATTCTGGTCTGTTTGAGGATTTATTTAATGAGAGTTTTAATAGTTTTTTTCTGTTTGTTTGGTTTGCTTTTTAATTAGCTCAATTTTTATAAAGGTTAATTTTAGGGGGTGGGTGGTATTGGTTGGATAAAAATATATATTACTGAAAGAAGCCTTAAAGATGCAAAAATTTGGATGAATTCAGCCAAAAGATGCGAAAAATATGGCTAAATTCAGTCAAAATATGCTAAAATATGGCTTAATTCAGACAAATGATGCGAAGAATATGGCTGAATTTACCATAAAGATGCGAAAATATGGATGAATTCAGCCAAAAAGATGCGAAAAATGTGGCTAATATCATCCATAAAGATGCAAAAAATATGTGTGAATTCAGCGAAAAAGATGCAAAAAATATGGCTAAATTCAGTCATAAAGATGCAAAAAAATATGGCTGAATTAAAAAAATATGAAAAAAAATCAATAAATCTATAAACATCCAATCAAAATCATTGCGATTCCTTAGCAATCTTTTAAATCAAAACCCATAAAAATAACCAAAAAATCTACAAAATCATTTAAATTAACGACATCAATCTAAACATTCCAAAAAAAATTTAAATAAAACTAAAACAACGCCAAAAACTAATAAATTTTTAAGATCCGAAATCGCTGACGAAAACTCTCAGCCAGAAGATAAAATTGAAGAATCCAGACTTGATTCATCACCACACCCATCACTCTCAGCACAATCATCAGTCGCCAGTTACAGCTTTGACTCATCAACCGTAGGAAGTTATAAGGCACCGCACAGACAACGTCTACTGCTTTTTCGATATAGTCGCTACAGTCAAAAGAACCAAAATTTAGAGAATTTAATTCAAAAAACCACAATGGGATCACAAAATTTATTAAGACGTGGCAGTTCATTGGACACTGCATCGCTGTCTAGTCAGAAAAGAATGAGAATTAGGAAAGACAGTCAATATCAATCAATGATTGAGGACACGTCTGTAGATTCTGATGGATCAAATATGACATCGGTTACAACAACAACTACGGGTGATTTGAATTTTTTATGATGATTGAAAATTTTTTGGATTTTATGTGGAAATTCAACAAAAAGATGCAAAAGTGTTGCTGAATTCAGCAAAAAAGATGCAAAAATGCTGCTGAATTCAGCAAAAAAGATGCAAAAATGCTGCTGAATTCAACAAAAAGATGCACAAATGTTGCTGAATTCAGCAAAAAAGATGCAAAAATGCTGCTGAATTCAGCAAAAAAGATGCAAAAATGCTGCTGAATTCAACAAAAAGATGCACAAATCTTGCTGAATTCAGCAAAAAAGATGAAAAAATGCTGCTGAATTCAGCAAAAAAGATGCTGAAATGCTTCTGAATTCAACAAAAAGATGCACAAATGTTGCTGAATTCAGCAAAAAAGATGCAAAAATGTTGCTGAGTTCAGCAAAAAAGCTGCAAAAATGCTGCTGAATTCAGCATGAAAGATGCAAAAATGCTGCTTAATTCAACAAAAAGATGCACAAATGTTGTTGAATTTAGCAAAATGTTGATAATGTTGCTGAATTGAACAACAAGAATTCAAAAACACAAAAGCTGAATTTTCCTCCTAAAATCTCAAAAAAAAACAATTTTTCATCACAAAAAATCTCAAATCAACCACAAAAATCTACTATAGCCTCTTCGGCATCATCACCACCATCAACAACCCACACTCGTCAACTCCAGCACACACCATCCATTCAGCAACGTCAAATTCAATTTCGTCGACGCATGCAACAACAAAAAGCAATCGCAACAAATGCAATGATGAGAATTCAACATCAAAATCGTTCGGACCCGTCATCATCGGATGATGGAATGCCTCAACCAATAAGTCATAGAGTTGCGACAGGCATTCATTTAGCACATAACAAGACAATCGCACCAGCTGGTCTCATTTCAGAGACAATTGAGATGAAAAATTTGTCATCGCCTCCATCGTCAGTCTCATCGTTTGACATAAAGCCACAAAATGTTCGTCAGGAGAGTTGTGGAAAGACAACAAGTCCAACGACGGTCGGATCTGACCGTGACACATTTGAAACGTCTTTGTCTATTCGTGGCAGTGAGAAGAGTGAGGACGAATCGGGTTACAGAAGATCGCGCTCATTTCACGGAAAAGGTGGACAAAAAATATTTTACAAAAAAATTCTCGATGGAATAAAATCTCGATGTTGTTGTATGGTGGATATCCGATAATACCATGTCAAAATCTATTGCTGTCTCTCTTTCTCTATCTCTATCTCTTTCTCTCTTACTTGCTGTCTACTTATTTCATTTTTTTATAACTCATTCTTATGCTGTATTTTGGGAAATTCATTTTTAATTCTCATATTTGTGTACTTTATTAACGGATCATTATGAAGGGTTTAAAGGTTTTGAGGTTATTAATGGCGGAATCTGTAGGTTCTGCAAAATATTTCAAAGAACTTCTTTATCCGACTTGACATTTGATCATCTGATTTGACATTCGATAATCTTACTTGACATTCGATTATCCGACTTGACATTTGATTATCTGACTTGACATTTATTTATCTAACTTTACATTCGATTATCCAACTTGACATTTGATTATTCGACTTGACACTTGATTATCCGACTTGAGATTCGATTATCCGAATTGACATTTGATTATACAACTTGAAATTCGATTATCCGACATGACATTCGATTATCTGAATAGATATTTAATTTTACAGCTTGGAAATTGATTATCCGACTTGACATTCGTTTATATGAAAAATTTATCACCTTCAAAAAGAAGCTCAAAAGGCATTCACAAACTAATGATCTTTCCCACGTAATCTATTTCATTGATGTTGTAATCTCGGTCGTAAACTTTAAAACAGTAATCAATGTGCAGCATGTCCTTGTCATGCTTATGTCATTGAAATATGGTCGAATATTTTAAAAGATGTTCTAGCAATAAGAAATCATATGATTCCCATAAAAAAGTATGTCCTTAAATTAAGTTTATAGTAAAAACAGACCGGTTTACCAGAATTTGGCAAAATTAAATCACTAAATAATACATTAGGTTGAATAAAATAGTTTTAAGCTTAACCAGATACTGAAATTAGTTAAAATGTTATTTTCGATGTTTGATGCAGTCAATAGGACAGCTTAAACAGTTGCTTGGTTGAATTGAAGTTGCTTGCATGTTAAATTTATGCTTGTCAAGTAGAATAGTGATTATTGTAGCATGAACTATATTTGAATTGAATTTGTGATAAAAATCCTAACTGTACAAACCTCAAAAATATATTATTGACTGTCATTTACTCAAAAAGATCTAATTACAATTGCAGCGGTGATGGAAAGGAACGGTATTAATCAGCGTGCCATCCATTCAACACCATCGAGTCCACAAGGTGCACGACCATCGTTCGAAGTAGTTGGATCAGCCGAGAGCTTAGTTGGACGGGTAAGTTTAAGGTTTAAGATTTTTTTGTGGATGCTGAGGTATGAAAATTGGATATTCAGGGTTTAGAAAGCTTATATAGAGTCTAGGCCAACTAATGGTCATGGTTTGGGACTTAGTTGGTCTGATTTTAGTCATTTTAAAACTGATTAAGTCACCAAGGGACTAATGGACATGAATAAATTGACTGAGATAGTGTCCTTAGGCATCTACTAGAACACACTAATCAACATCAAAGCTTCCAACTGATAATCCAAAACTAACCTTTAAACCTAAATTTCAGGTTCTCGCCCAACAAGGCCTCGGAAAATACTGCGATGAAGACTTTGTACGTTACACATCGCGTGAAATGCAAGAAGCACTTGAACTGACGCAAGAAGAAATGGACCTTGCGGCTCATAAGCTTCTCCAACGTGAACAACAACCGTTTGTACCGAAACAGCCACAGCAACAGCAATATCCAAAACCACCACCACGTCAAAATCGCTCAGATAAATTATAGCATGATTCAATTGCCAATATTTGATTTATTTACTTTGCGACTTCGTAAAAAAATATTTTTTTTATTTGATCTTTTTTTTGGTAAGCAGATTTAGCTTCATTTTTGATGGCATTTAAGGAATCTGTAGAAAATAAGGCAAAAAAATCTAGAAAAACTGCCTTTTTAAAAAAATCAATTTTTGCAATAAAATTTCCAATATTTTATTTTGTCGCGTGGAAGTTCAAGAGTTGTTGCCACGCATAGAATTTACTATAAAGTGAAAAAGACTCAAATAATTATTGTTAAACAAATAATAATCAAAATTAGAAAGAAAAAAAGAATGAGAAAAATAAAATAAAATTTATTAGGTTTTAAAATGGAAACATTTTTTAAATTTAAAGAAATTAAAATTGAATATTTTCATAAAAGAAGTTAATTTGGTTTAAAAAATGGGAAATCATTTAGTTTCTGGAGGGCTAAGATTTGGTCCTCTCGGGGTTTATATTGATCCTCTCAAGACTGAATTTAATCCTTTTGGGACTAAATTAGATCCTCTCTGAATTGAATTTGATCCTCTCAGGACTGAATTTAAATCTCTCGGGACTAAATTTGATCCTCTTGGGACTGAATTTAATCCTCTCAGGATTGAATTTGACTATCTCGGGACTAAATTTGATCCTCTCTGGACTGAATTTGATCCTCTCAGGATTGAATTTGACCATCTCGGGACTAAATTTGATCCTCTCTGGACTGAATTTGATCCTCTCAGGATTGAATTTGACCATCTCGGGACTAAATTTGATCCTCTCGGGACTGAATTTAATCCTCTCAGGATTGAATTTAACCATCTCGAGACTAAATTTGATCTTCTGGAGACAGAATTGACCCTATAGGAAATATAATATGGTTTAAATTTGAAAAATTCCTTTCAAACAATTTCAATAATTTACTATAAAACCTGCAAAAATGGAATAATTTTTTTAATCACTCTTAGCTGCTTAATCTTTATTAAATTAAAGAAATCAATTATTTTTCATGTAAATTAGGAAGAAAAAAAACTTAAAATCGTGAAGAAAAAGGAAAAATTTGTTAACATTTTATACTCGAGAAACTGATGAGAAACTCAAAGAGTTGATATTAAAAAAACTGACCATAAATATGTAAATTTTAGTGACTAAATGAGACGAGATAATATAAGATGTAGAGAACTATGAGCTAGGATGAATTTTTTAAAAAATATGTAGAAAAATTAAGCTAAATTATTGGATGATGAAGTTGAGGGAAAAACTTCCATGCTGATGATGGGCATAAATGATGAAACTTGGTTTTTAATACATTAAAAATTCAAAATAATAAAATCCAAATTCCACTGGGAAGCTAATTTGTGTAAAGATCACGACAATTCTGACAAGTTCATTATAAAAATCAATCTTAGCTCGGAACTTTTTTTCACTTTAAAACGTAAAGTAAAACACATAAAATTCTAACATTTAAGCTCAAATTTAATTTCTACGACAAAACTGAAAAGAAATGAAGAATCATTACAGCCAGACCTAGGGTTAACACTTTCTATCTAGATGAATTTATATAAATAGAAAAATTAGTAAAAAATGTGTTTTTCTACTATTGAAATGAAAGAAAACGTTTTGCAGCACAACAAAAAATATTTGAGGTAGTTTTGTGAATGTTTTATTGATTAGCGTGGAAGTTCAAAACTATTAGAGATCTGAAAAATTAGTCAAATTCTACGAAATCAATGAAAAATTCACAAAAAAATTTCTCAAACAATCTAGATCCTTTTAAAAGTGTCTAAATATGACAAACGCAACCTAGTACGACAAGATATTTATACATAAAAATTAAATGAGTTTTTAAAAACCAAATTGAGACAGAAATGAAAAGAGAGAAAAAAATCCTTAAATGTTGAATGTTCGAATCCTTTCAAATTATATAAAAAAATGGGTAAAAATGTATTTAAATAAAATTGTAACAATTTTTTAAGATGAAAATTGATTGTTATCCGCTAAATATTTATACATACATACATACACACACTTATAACAACATAGCAACATATATATATTTTAAAATAATTTAGATGAAGGTTTTTTATTAAAATGTTGAAAACAATTTATAAATGTTTAGATAAGAAAAAAAATATGTAAAATTTAAATAATATTGAGAATTTTTTTTTGAAAACTTTAAATTTTGTTGATTATGAAAATTTTATTTGTTTTTTTAAAAATTCTGAATAAAATGTAAATTTTGAGGTTAGGAATATTTTTGAATGTTTCGAATACTAAACATTTTATTTACATGCAAAACTTCACATTTAAAATTATTGGTTCTGAAATTTAAAATGTCAAATTAGTTTTTGATTTAAAAGTTCATTTTTTACAATTTTTAATCCAAATTTTTATATTTTTTATAAATTATTTAATTTAAGTCATTTCTAAAACTACTCAATCAAATTTGCTTTAATTCTACAATAATCTGCGATTTTTAAACTTTTGTAAACTTTTTTGAACTTAGTAAGAGCTAGCTCAAATCAAAATAATGTTTTAAAATATATTTTAACCTCAAATATTTCACTTTATTCTAAATTAAAAAATCAAAAAGCTCAAATTGCATTGAAATCAAGTGGATCCAAAAATTAAAATATTAAAATAAAAATATTTAATTGTTTTTTTATTCAAAACTAAGAAGAAATTCTATTCGTGTTTTTGAAAAAATTTGATTGAAAATCTTTGCATAGAATCATGTTTAAATACTTCTGTATGTCCATTTACGGCAATATTTTTATAAATTTTTTTTAAAGGTTAATATTGATCAAAATTATAAAAATGATTTTTTTTTAAAAGTTTTTAATTATTGGTTTTATTAAGTTGAAAAATAAATCTTTCTTCGCAATTTAAGATTCAACTTGATTCATTTTTATTGAATTTAAAATTATTATGACAATGTTTTACCTTTTAGTGGACTTTTTTGACTTTTGACTTTTTTTTATCTTTTTTGAGTTTCTTGACTTCTGTTGATTATCTTGTCTTTCTTAAGTATTTTAAATTTAATGTCGTTTCATTCATTAATATTAATTTTCAATTGTTAACAATTTAAATAATTTTTAAACTTTATTTTCATAAATTCTTGATTTTTAATTTTCAATTTTATATAATCAATTATTAAAAAGCTTAAAAAATCATTTAAATATAAAAACATAATTTGTAATGCAATTTGATATAAAAAATTTTTTACTCCGTCCAAAAAAAAAACAAAATTGAAAATAAATTAAAAATCGTTAAAAGCTGAAGAAAAAAAATGTGAAAGAATTTAAAAAGGAAAAAGCTCGGAAAGAAATCAGAAATTAAAAGGTGGCTAGTAAAATTAAAAAAAACTAATTAGATCAATTGTTATGTAGAATCTTTTAACTGTAGTTAGCGAAATTATTAAGAATTGACAACAATTCGTTCATTTGACGTTAAAAAATTCTCAATAAGTGTGTTAAAATAAACACATTAGCGACCCTAGTCAAGATTTTATAAAAATCAAAATAAAAAAATAGAAAAAAAATTTCCCTCGGCGGTAGGAAAAATATTTATGCGGTAGACAGTTCATACACAAAATAGCTCAATTTAATGAGAAACTAGATCTAGAAAATAACTACAAAATAAACTGACTCTTTTTGAATCCTAAAAGAAAACCAAACCTGAACCGGATGCGCACAAAACCAATCAAAAGTTTACCTTATTTAACAATAGAAAATGAAGGTAAAAGTTAAGTTCATTTGGTTCTTAACCTAAAATATTATATTTTTACATTCTGAACGATTTTGGGTGTACTTTAGCAATCCCAAACTTTCCTCAGACTAAATTGACATTTTAAGGTTCAAAACAACTATTCAAATTTCAAATCATCCATAAAAAATTCACCAAACTTGAAGCTAGTAAAAATCTGTTATGGCACAAAATTAAATTGATTTTCACTAGACAGACAAAATTGGGAAAAAAACCTAATAAATGTGACGAATTTAAATAATTGCCCAGCAATACAAAAAATGCACACTTCTCGAACATGTGCTCCTTTTTCACAAAACAAATTTGATTTTCTAAATTGAAAAACCTTCCAAAAAAATGTGAAAGATTTCAAAAAAATTAAAGCGGACAAAACAAATTTTGTCATTTTCTAAAAAAATAGATAAAAAATAAAGAAATTTGTACGATATGAAAAAAATTGTTGTTGATGTTGTTTGTATATGAAAATTTAACATTAAGGATATAATTGAAAGTAGTCTCAAAAGATAGAAAATTTGATACTATATAAGAATTTTTCAAAAAAATAAGATTTTTAATGGAAAGTTTTGATCAAGTTTTTTTTGAAGTTTTTCAAAATCAATTTATTTATTTGAAATATTTATTTGGGATTAAAAATTTAGGGTTCTTAACTCAAAAGTCATGAAAAACTTTAAAAATATTTCAACAATTTAAAGTTTTATAATGTTTATTGAAATTGAAAAATGTTTCAAAATTGAAAACATGTTGAAAATTTACAAAAATCTTTTTAAAAAATTTCTTATCCATAATTTTACAAACACTTTTTTAAATTTAAAAAAGATTTTTAATTTTTGAAACATTTTTAATTTAAATATGTATAAAATTAAACGTTTTAATAAAAATTTTTTCTTATTTTTTCAATTTAAAATTTTAAATCTTAAATTCAATTTAAATCAATTTTGTAAATCGAAAACACGTTAAAATAAATATGAAAAAATCATTATTTTATTAAAATCCAAAAAATTTGATCAAACTTCGATTAATAAACTTAAAAAATAAGTGTATCAAAAAAAAAAATCAAAACAAAAAAGTCTAAAAATGATTTTGAGCGAATTAGCTAAGTTAAATGTTTAAAAGATATAAAAAAATAATTTTTGTCCTAATTTCTTAAATCTTTTTACTAAAACTATTCAAAAAATTAATAATATTGACTAGTTTTAGTCTATAAAAGTAAAATTTATTTAACTTACCCTAGCAGAAATTTACTGGTAATTTCCTAGTAATTTACTGGATAACTTTCCATTTGCTACTTGCTATTTACTAGTCAAAATCCAAGTTCAAATCATCGCCAAAGACCCGCATTTTCACTTGCTAATTGACTAGTCAATTCGCTTACAATTTAACTAGTAATTTACTAGCAAATTTGTAAAAAATTTAAATGAATATAACCGTTGATATCCACGTGTTTTTTTGATTTTTTTATTTGTGTAAATTATTGTAAAAGTATTAGTGTGTACTTAGTTTAATTAATTAAAGTACACTAATACTACGAAAAAAAATAAAAGACTTAATTTAATTAAGTCAAACACTGATGAACGCTTATGACTCGCACGCAAACCTGAGGAAGATAAATAATTAAATTGAATGTCTCATACAAATTTGGATCGACCTTATAAAGGTGATTTCTGCGCGCTCTTGTGAAGTATATGGCAAATGCCAAATTTAGAACAAAATTTTTTATGATGCAAAAATTTCTTTTTTTGATGATTTTTCGTAGGATTCGAACTTAAGAAGATTTGATCAAACATTTCTCATGGAAATTTGCTAGTAATTTGCTATTAAATAGTAAGTGTAATTTACTAATAGTAAGTTGTTTTAATAATAACTAGTAAATTGCAAGTAGTAAAATAGAAAGACTAGCAATTTGCTAGTTAGTCTCGCTAGGGTTAAATTAAATTAAAAAATAAAAACAAAAATTCTTCCTGAATTTTTTTAAGTTGTTTTGTAAAAAAAAATACAATTTATTTGTCATAATAAAGAAATTTAAAGTTTAATTAATAAAGTTTTAATGAAAAAAAAAACTTTATTCTTTTTAACAGTTTTGAATCAAAAATAGTTTTCAACTTTAATTTTTTTTTTTTTTTTTTTTAAACTTTTTATTTATTTACATTTAAATTTAAGTATGTACAAAGTTTCTATACATTTTGTTGCTTTTTGTTTTAAGGTTTCAGGCATTCAATTTGCCTTTTGTCTCTTAATTTTGATTTCATTTACGGATTTTACTTTCTTTTGTATTTCATTTGATTTATTCGGTGTTTTGAGATGCAAGACGACTGTTGAAGTTCGCTTGCAACTTTCCGACGTAGTCTTCGATGGACGGTATTTTCGCTTCTGTATGAAGATCGGTGATCCTTTCATATCTTGTTTTATTGAGAACAATTCTCAAGAATTTGTTTTGCAGTACTTGAAGTTTTTGAAGATGGGTTTTTGCCATGCTTCCAAACGCTGGACAACCATATGTGAATATTGGTCTGATGGCTAGCTTGTAGATGAGAAGTTTGTTTCGTACGTCGAGTTGTGAGTTCCTGCTGATGAGCGGATAAAGCTGTCTTAATGCGGTGTGAGCCCTATTGGTCACATACTCCACATGCGGCTTTAATGTCACTCTCTTGTCGATCACCATTCCCAGATATTTAGCTTCTGTTTCCCATTTGATGTTTTCGTTGAGAAATTTGATGTTATTTCCTGGTAGTTGCCTGGAGTGCCTGTTTGTGATGAATAAGGCTTGAGTCTTCTGTTTGTTGAGGTTGATCTTCCATTTGTTCATGTATTGTTGAACTTTTCTTCCTGTGTGCTGTAGATATGTCACAATATCAGCCGAGTTCTCTGCAGAATGATACAGTGCTGTATCATCTGCGAAAAGACCGATGTTGTTGGTTGTCTCTCTTACAACATCATACGTGAAGATGTTGTAGAGAGTTGGTGAAAGCACTGCTCCTTGTGGCACTCCGAATTTGATTACCTTGATTTCTGAGAACTGACCTTTAATAAAAACTGCGAAAGATCTTTCACTGAGGAAAGATCTTACAGTTTTTATAAGTGGCAGTGGAAATCTCAGTTTGAGCATTTTGTACAAGAGTCCGTTATGCCAGACTCTGTCAAATGCTTTTTCTACATCCAGGAAGATCATGCCTGTTGACTTTTTGTTGATTAAGTTTTCTTTTGCTGATTTGATCACTTTGATGAGCTGGTGAGATGTTGATCTTCCAGTCCGGAAGCCGCACTGCTGGTTTGGGATGATGTTGTTATCCTCAAGATGATCGTTGATTCTATTCAGTAATACTCTCTCCAGTATTTTGCTTATTGAGCTGAGTAGACTTATTGGCCTGTAGCTGCTTAGCTCATTTGCTGGTTTTCCAGGTTTTGGAATAGGAATCACTTTTGCATGTTTCCAAACTTTGGGGAAGTGGTTGAGTTTCAGACACGAATTGATGATGAATTTCAAGTATTCGAAACCTTTTTCAGGAAGATTTTTGATGAGTATGTTGTTGACTTCATCTAGTCCCGGAGCTTTTGGATTTTTCAGATTTCTTATGATGCTCACGATTTCGTTTACATCTGTTAATTCTGGATTCTCATCATTGTCTTGTTCCAATGCTTCTTTGACTTTGTTGTTTACTTCCTGTGTATGTTGTGGATCGTTTTGTTCCAGAGGATTTTCGTGAGCTTCACGAAAATACTCGCTGAGTGCGCTGGCTTTTTCTTTGTTGGTGATGAACGTTTTACCCAGATTTGTCAATGGAGGCATTGTTTTTGAACCTTTTTTGCAAAATTTTGCTATTCTCCAAACTGTTTGGTTTGACGGTTGAATCTCTGAGAGACGCTTATTCCAGTTTTTGTTTTTGAGTTTCAACTTTAATGAATAAAGTAAGTTTTGAGAATCAATTATTTCAGGTAATTTAACTATAAAAAGGTATTGAAAGTTGCAAGATCAACTAAGTTTGATTTTGTTTTTTAAACCTTTAACATCAAATTGAATCAGAAAAGCAATTTTTAACATTGAAAAGTTAACAAAATGAAGATTTCGTGTGAATATAAAAACATCCGGTTTGAGGACAACAATACTTTTTACGGATGCTACATTTACGATCATAAAATACCATTAAAGGCAAACTTTAAGATTACTGGACAACATAAAGGAAGCAAGCAGCATAAAGACATACTTTTTGTTTACATCATGGATTGCACAGTCGCGAACATTCCACAAGGATTCACAAGGCATTTCCCAAATTTAAAAGCACTCCTTATCGAGTCTACAAATTTAAAGAATATCAACAGAAATGATTTGACTGAGTACAAAAATTTAGAAAAAATTATTTTTCGATTGAACTGGATTGAGTATGTCCCAGGCGACTTGTTGAATGACTTTAAAAACTTGAAATATATTAATATTGTTGACAGGAATTTAAAGCTAGTGGAACCAAATATTTTGGATGGACACGACAATTTAAGTTGTGTGCATTTTGGTATAAATCAAAGATATGATTTATACTTTTCAGACTTTCCAAGCAAGCATCCAATCAAGCCACTTACGAACATTAAAAATGCACTCAAGGAAAAGTTTACTAAGTATGCATCAAGTTCTGGAAAAAAGAATAGTAAAGCAATGCAGCAGCGACAGTAACTAACAATTCTACAGCAATCAGAGTCAAAAGAACAACCAAAATCAGGTCCAAACCCTCAACTTGGAATGATTACCAAATTATTAGCTTTCATCCAAGATGAATCATCAAAAGACTTCAAAATTATCATCAACGACAGAGAATTTCCAGTCCACAAGTTCCTACTTGCAGCTCGAAGTCCAACTCTTGATGAATTATTCAAAGCCAACCCTAAAGTTGAAAACTTAAATTTAATCGACATTTCGGTGGAAACTTTTGAGATAATTCTTAAATTTCTTTACACTGATGAACTTCCAGGCGACGATGGGGCGAACTTTCTTCATCTTTTTGCAGCTACTGATAAACTGAAGATTGAGGACTTAATGGAATTCGCTGCAACTAAGCTAATTTATGAAGTGAATCAAAAAAATGCATTAACAATGTTCAAATTGAGTCATAAGCATGGATATGAGGAACTGAAGCAGAAATCATTCAACGAAGTCAAGAAAAAATACTCAAAAATAAATTTTAATGACAAATGGATCGACGATATCAATTTAATGATTGAAATTGTTGCAAATTATGAAAAGAAGGAAGCAGAAATTGAAAAATTGCAAATGGATTTTCAAAAGCTCATGCAAGATAAATTGGATTTGAAGGTTAAAGAGGTGATAGAGGAAAAATTCCAAACAAAAGGATTGTCTTTAGAAAACAGGAATAGCACATAGTCGGCACTTCAAGCTAGCGTAACTGAGGTTTGCTGCTGGATTCCAGCATTGATTGAGTCCAGCACCACGCCATAGTCACGCTGGCTAACCATTCGATTAACTGATTTGTGCTATATAAGAAATCTAAAATGTAAAAAATAAAATCGATTTGTTATTAAAAAATGTTCAACTTTATTCATCAATTTTTCTTCAATTCTACTCAAATGCTTTAATTACTTCCCCAACTTTTTCTGCATTGTTCATCCATTCGTCCTCAAACTTAATTTTTGGATACTTTTCCTTGATTATATCAAATGCTTTTTCTATCAACTCTTCATCATCGTACTTAATACCCAGTTTATAAGCTTCTAGAGCATTTTTTAAGTTTAATTGGCATGAAACATAAATTCCTGCAATTTTCTTTAAATTCTTAATTTTCAGCTTCCCAGCAGCATCCAAAACATGCAAATAATTTGTTGAATTGTCAATTTGAAGTTCATCCGTGTAGAGAAATTTCAAAATTATCTCAAATGTGTGGATTGGAATGTCAACAAGCTATAAGCTTTTAATTGCTGGATTGGATTTTAGTATTTCAGCCAAAACTGGACTTCGTATAGCGAGCAAGATCTTGTGGACTGGGAATTCATGGGAACCAATGATAATCTTGAAGTCTTTTGTTGCTTCGTCTTGGATGAGTTCTTTAAGGTCACTTAACATTCCTTCCTCAAATTTATTGATTTTACGATGAAGACTTCTCAATTCGTCTTTATAAAATGAGATAAAAAAGTCACTGGTGCTTGACATTTCAGCCTTTTCTTCTTTCAATTCATCATTTTTATTTATTAGATCTTCCTGAATTGCTTCCAATCTGTAAACTTTTCCACTCAAATCTTCCTTAATTTTCTTGAATTTTTTGACTTTTTGCTCAAGCTTTTTGACATAACTTTCGACATGTCCAGCTCCACTTGAGTAGAATCTGACTGAAAGATCTTGTCGGAATTCCTTGTAGCTTTGAGATCCTTTCTTATAAATCTCTAGATTGCCAATAAATGCAAGCCATGCCATTTCTAAACTCAACAATCCATCAAAAATGTTCGGTTCGATGGATTGCAATTCTTCGCCAACAAAATAGATTATTTTGATGTCTTTAAATCCTTCGAAGATATCACCTGATAGACTTGAGAGTAAGCTGTATCTAATATCAATAACTTCCAGTTCCTTATACTCAGCTAAATCTTGTTTCGTTAATTTTTGCAATATTGAGTTCCAAATGATCAAAAACTTTAAATTTGGAAATATTTTTGTCAAGTTTTTTGGAATTTTGGTTAATTGACAGCCGTCGAATTTTACAGCTGCAACATCAAGTCTGTTTTTTCCAGCAACATGTTGTCCTTGTATTTTAATATTTTTTAACTCATTATTTGGATTGTTTATTATGTAACATTCGTAAAGGGTGCGGTCTTGGTAGCTTGCCACTTGATATTCAGCTTTGATTTTCATTTTTGAATTGCTTTTTCATTCTAAAATGAGATTTTTATTGAATATTTAATCTCATTTTGCAGGTTGTTAAATGAATTAAAGTTTCAACTTACTTTAGAACTGAAAATTCAGATTTAATTTAATAATATTCAGGAATTATTTTTTTATATTTGGTAAAAAACAGTTGAAGCTGTAAAAACAAGAAGCAAAACTAATCAACACGAAGCTAACTTGTTCAAATGTGCTTCATAAGTTGCTCAAATTATGTTTATACATAAATTCTTGAGGATCAAGTTACAACAAAACTAGGCTGACCATTTGCTTGGTTTTTCAGAAGACAGTCCTCAATTTTTTTCTGTTTTTCAAAAATAAATTAGTTTTTTTTTGTTTTAATTCGTCCAGTTAACCAATAAAATTGGTAAAAACGTGGGATATCCTCTATTTTACTTTCAGGTCCTCTATTTTTTCAAAAAAATATCTGGTCATCCTAAACATATGACCGTCTGCTCTTGAAATGAATCGTGTAAACAAAACAAAATGTTCAACTAAAGATTTAGCGAATCCTTCATTAAATCAAAGGAAAACTAGCTTTTTAGAGATAATTTTTTTCATTTTAATTGCACTTTATTGCATTTATTGACGACATACTGTCCGGAAATAATTCACATTTTACACTTTTGTATTTGTATACATATGAAATAATTTTATGTAGGATCAAACTTCTAATCTTCAAATCTAGGTTTCAAATAAACTAAGGCTCTCGTTTCGATCTTTTGTGGGCGTGACGTGATACTTTTCAGGTCCGTTCTAACAATATTCCATTCGTGGGTAATCTTTGTAGCTCTCGTTCCTATTTCTCCCGCTACACTTCAAGTTCCTGATCCGTTCTTTAATCCAACGTTGCCCAAATGCCCAATTATGGCTTGATCTCGTACATTAAGCAGTTGAAGTATCTTAACTACCGAAAAAAAACAAATTTGAAAATGGCTGGATTCGAACCGACGACCTTCGAGCTACCATACCAAATTTGAGCCAAGTGCCTTACTTATTTGACCAGCGAGGCACTTAAGTGATTAATAATCTCTTTTGTAATTAAGCTGACTGCATCAGATTTATTCCATTTTTTGAGTAAACCAAGATTTCCAATTTATTAATTTATTAATTCTCAAACTTAGTTTTCAATATTAACATTTACAAAATCATTTTCCAATTTGCGAATTTCATCTTCTGCTTTCTTGTATTGTTCAATAGCCTTCTCAACAACTTCAGGTCTTGCTATCCATTCGTCCTTAAACTTGTAATTTTGATAATAAACTTTAAGCTTATTAAACGCTTCCTTTCTAAGCTCTTCATGTTCATATTTGTTGCTTAGTTTAAGAATCTCAAGAACATTATTCTTCTTAAATCGATCAATTAGTTTAGTTGCTGATAATTCCTTAAGTTCCTGGATCTTCAACTTCCCAGCAGCAGCAAAAAAGAGCAAAAAGTTCGTCCCATCGTCGCCTGGAAGTTCATCAGTGTAGAGAAATTTAAGAATTTTCTCAAAAATTTCCACCGAAATGTCAACAAGATTAAGATTTTCAATTGCTGGATTGGCTTTGAATAATTCAGCCAGAGTTGGACTTCGAGCTGTGAGCAAGAATTTGTGGACTGGGAATTCTTGATCTTCAATGATGATCTTGAAGTCTTTTGTGGTCTCGTCTTGGATGAAGGCTTTGAGGTCATCTAGGAATTTATTTTGAGGCACAACAAGCAATTGAGAGTTTTTGAGCTTTTCTTGTTCCAACTCTGATTGAAGGTTAGCATTAATATCCTTAATTGAAGCATTTTGTTGCTCAAGATCTGCTTTTGCATCTTTCAACTGCTGAACTTCATTCCTTAATTCCTCCTCAGAGTTCTTTAAGCTTCTCGAATAATTGACGTATTTTTGCATCAGATTTCTTTTTAATCCTGCTAGACTTAAACCTTGTGGATCCTCAACTGTAAAGCACTCACTAAACTCTGGTAAATTTTGAACAGACACGTAAATCAGCTTGTCAAGTCCTTCAAGAATGTTTGGTTCCACAACTTTCAGCTTGTTTTCTTCAATGCAAATCCAATCTAAATTTCTTGTGTCCTCAAAAAGGTCGCCAGGCAGGAATTCAACTTCATTCTTTGAGCAATGAAATCGCTCCAAGTTCCTGTACTCAACAAAGTCATCCTTACCCAGTTTCTTTATTTGTCCGCCACAAAACCACAACATTGTCATATTTGGAAAGATTCTTGTGAGTCCTTGTGGAACTTTTGTGATTGTGCATCGTCCAAATTCAACATAAATCACGTCCTTGTTTGTTTTGCCGTACTTATGTTGTCCTGTTAATATTAATTCACAATTATCTGGAATTACTTGATTTTTTATTACACAACTGTAATAACTTTTATCGTCACTGAATGTTGTGTATCGGAATCTACATTCGATCTCCATTGTTGCTTGATTACTGGCTTAACACTGTCTGGTAACTTAATTTATGTATGCTAAGAGGCTGAGATTGTTGTTTATATAATAATTGTTTATTCCACAAACTTTTTACACCGGCTGTTCAAAACAAAGCAACTTGATGAGCTGATTGTTGCTCAGTTGATGTTTACAATTTTACTAATTCCTTTGCCATGCTGAACTTTTAAATAAGACCGTTATTAAGAATGAAACAAGATTGGATATTGAGTAAAAAATATTTATTTTTTAATAATTGAATAAATGTGAAAAAAAATAAAATTAATCGTCAAAAGTTGCATTTTCAAATTCTTCTTCCAATTTACGAATTGCTTCCTCATTTCTCTTAAATTGCTCGATAGCTTTAACAACGATTTCTGGTTTTGTAATCCATTCATCTTTAAGCTTATAATTTGAATAGCATTTCTTAACTTCGTTAAATGCTTTTTGTCTCAACTCATCGCATTGATAGCTGTTGCTTAGTTTGAAGATTTCAACAGCGTTTCCGTGGTTAACTTGATCAATTAACATCTTTGCTGCAAAATTTTTTAATTCCTCGATCTTCAGCTTCCCAGCAGCAGCAAAAAGCTGAAGAAAGTTCGTCCCATCGTCGCCTGGAAGTTCATCAGTGTAGAGAAATTTAAGAATTATCTCAAAAGTTTCGACCGAAATGTCTAAAAGCTTTAAACTTTCAACTTCAGGGTTGTTTTTCAGCAATTCAGCCAAAGTCGGACTTCGTGCTGCGAGCAAGAATTTGTGGACTGAGAATTCTTGGTCATCAGTTAGAATCTTAAAGTCCTTGGTTGCCTCGTCTTTAATGAAGGTTTTAAAGTCACCAAGAAATCCAGTTTGAATCTTGACAGTAATGTTAGAATTTTCAAGGTTTTTATGCTCCAATTCACTTTTCAATTTCAAATTAAAGTCCTGTAATTGTTGAATTTTTACTCGTAACTTCTCAAAAATTTCATATTTTTTGGGATAATTTTCAAAAAGTTCAAACTTTTCATCTTCAATTTTTCCATTTTCATGTAAATCGGGATGAAATGAATAATACTTCTTCGTTGACATTAAGTTTTTTCTAAAATCAACAAGTTCCAATTTATCAAGTCCATCCAATATGTTTGGCTCAATAATTTTTAAGTCGTTTCCCCAAAATTCAATCATCATCAAGTTTCTAAAGTCTTCAAACAAATCCTGAGGGAGGAACTCAATTTCGTTATAATCAAAGCGAAAACCCACCAAGTTTTTATACTCAACTAAGTCATCTTTGCAGATATTCTTTAACTTTGAGCTCATAATCCACAAAACTTTCATATTTGGAAAGATTTTTGTGAGTCCTTGTGGAACTTTAGTCAACGTGCATTTGTTAAATTTTACAAAAATGACGTCATCGTTTGTCTTTCCATCTTTGTATTGTCCAATAAATTTCAATTCTTGATCTTCTGATATTAATTGGTTCTCAACCTTACAAGTAAAGACTTTGTCTCCTCTAAGCAATCCATCGGTTTTATTTTCAAGCTCTTGTGTTGATCCATGTTGTTTACCACTTGATGATGCACCAAATATTGATGAAAAACAAGAAGCTTTATTTACTGTTGGCTGTTCTGTTGTTGTGCTTAAACTAGAATTTGACTGTCCAAAAGAAAATATTTTGTTTGCTAAATTTTGTGACTGTGGTTCGAAAGATTTTGGAGCTGATGCGAAATTATAAAATGCTGATGTCTTTTCAAAAGGATTTAAACTGGTGTTCGTTGGCATTTGGATGATTGTTGGTTTTAAATATTTAGAATCGCCTGATGGAAAGATGGATGTTGAAGTATTTGTTGGAGAGTATCGAGAAAATGGATTAATTGGTGATTTGTCTTGTACATGTTGTCCTAACAAAGATGTTAATGATGTGAATACAGACACGCTATTACTTGGTTGACTTTCAATTGATGCAGTTGTATTTTCAGCCTGAGGACCTTTAAGATTTGCAGCATAATCCGCAACCCGCAATTCTTCTATAGACTTATCAGCATATTCCTGCATAAACGTTATACATTGTTGTTTTGTTTGTTCATATGTTGTAAATCTTCCTGTTGTAGCTAATTCAGTTTGTTGTGGAGGGTAAAATTTTGGTTTAGCTGTTGTTGTGGTTGAAGTTTGTGCATCAAAACTATATTGTTTCTCAGATTCTCCAAATTTTATTCTGCTATTCTTATCATTATAACAATCGTCTTCAAAACTACAAAGTATCTCCATTTTTATAAGTTGTTGCACGTTAATTTTAATCTGTAATATTAAAGAAATTTTTCAGGGGTTGACACGATTTAATCTTGATGAATTTTTTTTTCATCCCTATACCAAATTTTTAAGAAGATGAAATAAGATGAAACGGGATGAAATTTTTGTATGAACCAGATGTAAATGATGATATCAATTTTTTAAATATTTGTGCTTGTGAAGTATATGATTTCATATAATTTTTTTTTAAAAATGCTATATAAAATTCCTGTTTTGATTAAATTAGATTAAAGTTGGTTGAAATTGTTGGAAAATTATGATTTTTTTGATATTTTATGCATTTTTAAGATGCTTTGTGATAAAACTTTCCATTTTCAAATTTTTCCATGCATTTCCGAGTTTTTCACAGAGTTTTATTATTTTTTTCCATACATTTTTCATACAAATTTAACATTTTAGTCATAATTTTTGCATCTTTTGTCCATTTGAGCTGAAACTTGACATGAAGGTTCAGTGGCTGTTCTGAATATGAAAAATAAGCTATTTTTGTTTTTAATTAATAGAAAGTGGTGGAAACTCAAATCATTTAAGTACTATTTTTAACATTAATATTTTAAAAATATTGGTCTTTATTTTAAATTATTTTTTGACTGTTGTTGTTTAAAATCATCGTTATAGATATAAACCTCGGTTACATCAGTAAAATCATATCCGGAACCATTTAAGCCATGTCCGAAATTGAATTCTAAGATCCAGTAGGGTAAAAGCTATGTCCCGAACGAAAAACTAAGATCCAGTAGCATTTAAGTCATGTAATATCATTTTTGTATAAAGAGATGAAAAATATGAAATGGGATGAAAGTATTGTATAAAAAGATGAAAAAAAGATGAAATAGTGTCAGCCCCTGGGAAATATGTTGAATAATCTTAATATTGATTATTGGATAATCAATTCAATTTTTTAAAAATAAATTTACTTTTATTTGTTATTTACCTTATTTACTCACTTTAAATGTTTTCTTTCAATTGATTTTTGTTTAACTTGTCACTGTAATTGGTGTTAAATGTTAATAAAATAACATCAAAATAAATTTAAAGCTTAAATTTCAAAATTATTTAAAGAATTCAAAATTCATAAACTTTTTTTTTATTTTGCTTAAATGTTGAATGTATTTGTGTGTTTATTGTATTTGAAAGGTTTTTTTTTTTCATTATTATTTTGTCTATCGTATAAGACTTATCGTGTTGATAAAGATTTATAGTTCAATTTAAAACAATTTTTTTTTAATTTGTGAAAAAATTGCAAATTTTATTTTAAAAAAATTTCAAACATCAATTAGAAAATTTATGGATCTTCTTAATTTCCACATCCAATTCCTCAACCATATTAGCAAAGTCTTTATATCCAGACAGCGAAATTGTTTCTTTCTTATTCAAAAACTTAAAGTCCGTGTGCTCATCCGAGAGTGTTGGATTCTTGTTCACATCTCTAAGCTGTGCCAGCCAGTAAACAACAACTTTTGGCTTACCCTTGACATGATAATTTAAAGTTTTACTCAATTCTTTGTAAATTATCAAGTCATTTTCAGTATATCCAGCTTCCTCACGAGTCTCACGCAGCGCTGTTTCGTAGTCTGATTCACCTGGATCGACCTGGAATTGTTAATTGAATTATTTAACTAGTTTTAGTCTAGATTAATAGAAAGAAACCGTCTTCAAGCATTCAAAATACATATTAAGCCAGTAATGCTCAAACCATGCTCTACGACACGATTTTGTGGTAGTCAAATATTTTAGAAATATCTAGGAGATGAAGTATGCTGCCTTAGGCCAGTGATGATCAACCTATGTGCCGTAGCGCATTAGTGTGCCGCAAACAAATTCAAGAAATCTCAAAAACCGTATGTCGTGTGTGGTTCTGGTCAAGGCTAACCACTAAGCTGTACCGTGCTCCAATAAAGGTTGCCAACCACTGGCTTAGGCTATTAAAAATTAAACTTACATGTCCTTTTGGCGGTGTCCAGTGAAAGCTTCCGTAACTAGCCTTCATCAGCAGATATTGAATTTCATCATGAATCAGTCGGTAAATTAGAAATCCAGCTGCTCTTTTAGGTGCCATTTTAGATGAATTGCTTTTAGTTTGCTTTTAAATTCTTCAATTTTTGAGAGCTTTGGCTTTATTGATTTCAAATTTGCGAGGAAAAATTAATTGAATAATTTTCTAAGCGTACTTTGAAGGTTTAAGACTGAAAATTGAGCAATAAATAAACTAAATCTCAACAATTTACTCAATTCCAACCTCAATAAAATCCACAGTTAATTGCTAAACCTTTAAAAAAATTCTCAAAACTAATCCAATTTGTGAAACTTCTCTTCTTTCAGTTTGTTATTGTTTTTATGTTTTGATCTTCCGGTAAAGTTCAAAAAAATATTTCTCAAAAGCGTCGTACCCCCGTTCAGATTGACCTCAATCCAATCATATGTTTCTGAAATATTTGTAAACAAAACAGAAACCATATGAGTGGAAATAGAAGATTTGGACACATTTTTAGTAGTTTTTGCGTGAGTTTTGAGTTAAATAATGTTGATTTTTGAGGAAATTGAAGATTGTTGTGCAACTTATTGACAGAATTGGATTGAAAGTTGTAGAAATTAGGCAAACAAAGTGAAATAAAATTGTAAAAATTGAAGAGAAATTGTGAAAAAATTAAAAACATGTGGATTTTGATTGCTTAATAAGTTTAGAGCGGTTTAACATTAAGTTTTAAGTTTGTTGCTTTTTAAAATTGACAAGGAATCGGTTAGCAACTCATCATAAGCCTTGAATTCTCTCCTAATTAATGTAATTCAATTATCGCAATTTCAAACATTCAAAATCCAAGTAAAGCTAATTATTTGAACAGTTATGAACCATAAATTCCAGTGTAGATAGCAACTCATAGTCGAACTGGATCAACATCCAATAAAAACACTTAAAAAATCAACCTACAAAGCAGAACAGCCCAAAAATCCATCAAAATCTTTAAAGTAAACATCAAATTAACCACCCAACCATGGACATCCTCTCCGACCCCCTCAAACTAGAACCAAAAATCGAAGAATCCATCAGCATCATCACCTTCCCCACAACATCACCACCAAGATCACCAAATCCAACACACACATCCTCCAAAAGACAACCAATCCCACAACAAATCGAACCATCACCAATAGCAATTTTCAAGTGCTCAACATGCACACAAACATTCGAATTCAAATCACAACAAATAATCCATGAGATGAGCCACAAAGTCAAGTCAACATGTCAGGTCTGCTCAAAGAAAATCTACAAAGGGAATATGAAGGAACACATGAAGATCCATTTAAGGAATAAAAGCTACATTTGCAATTTCTGTAATGAAAAGTTTGCTACCAAGTTCCTCATGATATTCCATTTAAGATCACAGCACATAAAATCTAAGGCTTATTACTGCAATGACTGTGGACGTGGATTTAATGACAGTCGACATTATAAGAACCATTTAGTGACTCATATTGACAGTCAGCCATTCAAATGTGATTTATGTCCAAAAGGATATAAAAGGAAGCAACTGCTGGAATTCCACTTGATTGGTGCTCATCAAACTGAAAGGAAGCTGCAATGCACAATTTGTGATTTTGAGACAATTAACTTACAGGAGCTGAAGAAGCATCGTAATTTTCATTTAAAGAATTTCCAATGTGAAGTGTGTCAAAAAGAGTTTAAGGAACGAAGGTACTTGGCATTGCATCATGAAGCCGTCCATGTTAAAGAAAGAAATTATCAATGCTTAATATGTGAAAAGGACTTCTTTGCTGTACAGTATGTAAAGAGGCACTTGAAGAGGGTTCATGATGGCGATTTGACTAAGTTTAGGTGAGTTGGATTGATTTGTGGATTTATTGTGGCTGTAGAAAGGCACAGATCTGAAAAATAATCCTTTTTATATGGGGAGTAATATTGTACGCAGTATGATTTTAAAATTAGCTGACAATAATGAGCGCAGAACTATTTTCCACATGGCGCAATGATTTTGTGCGCAGTATAATTTTTATATGGAGTAGTAATTTACTGCGCAGAACATTTTTTGTATGGCGCACAAATTCATTCAGATGGTGCATTAATTTGCTGCGCAGATTAATTTTTTGTATGGCGCACTAGTTTAATGCGCAATACAAATTTTATATGGCGCACTAATTTACTGCGCATTAATTTTCGGTATGGCACACGAATTTATTGTGCATTACATTTTTAAATGGTGCACGAATTTATTGCGCTGACTCATTTTTATGTGGCGCACTAATTTAATGCGCAGTGCATTTTTTTCTACGTGTTAATATTACAAATAACTCCTTGCAGATGTCTTGCACCAGAAAAGATGCTCGAGAAGAAGATTGCCGAGAATCGTGTACCAGAACAAGAAATTGTGAGAAAAAGTATGAAAAATATTCCATTAAAAATTCCGAAGAAGAATAAGAAGCCTGCTAAAGCTCCGAAAGTCATGAAAGAGGACCGAATTGAAATTCTTAGTCGTTCTGCTCTTGAGACAGAAGTTGAGGATCAAATGAGTATTGATCAGGCTCAATATAGTGAATCAGACAGAAATCAAGTTGATCAAGAGCACACAATATCCGATTCCAATGGATTAACAGGAATTAAAATCAAATCTGAATATAGTATAAAGCCTGAAATATTTGACAGCTCAGACTTGTTAGTAGAAATTAAGAAAGAGTATGAAGATCCGGATGAAAATAGTCATGACAACCTTCAATATCCATCAAACTATCCTGAAACTCAGTTTATCAAGCAAGAGAACCAGCAACAACCCACACAATATAAAATAGCTCCATACCAACCAAGAATGTCATTCTCAAGCATCCGATATATGGAAAATCAAATCTTTACATGCCCGACATGCTCAAATACATTCCCAAATCGATCATCATTACTCCTTCATGAACCAAAGTGTAAAATGAGGAACAAGGATGAAGACAATCTTAATTGTGAATTTTGTGATAAGAAATTTAGTGATCAATTCACACTGGAAGTCCATGTAAATGTTCGTCATGTGAATGTTAAGATCCACAAATGCAGGGAATGCGACTTCGAGACACATCAATATTTTGAATTTAGAAATCACAGAATGACTCATATGGACTTGGTAAAGTGCGAGAAATGCTCGAAAGAATTCCCAACTGAGAGGCTGATGCTTGAACATGCTAAAGATGCTCACATTGGACCAAGTGAATTTAAATGTGGAACTTGTGCGGTTGGGTTTCGGTCGAGTGTGTTTTTGCAGAGGCACATGAAGACTGCTCATTGTAAGTTGAGGTTGAAGGTGGGGTCGTTGACATGTGGAATGGGATTGGCTCATTTGAGTTCACATCATAAGCCAACGAACCCAAAACCAGCATAAAAAATTCATAAAAATATTTTTAATAATTTTTGCAAATTTTCTATTGTTTGCAGCTGTGTCGAAATTTGACTGTAAATATTGTGAAAAGTCATTTGAGACTAGAAATGAACTGAATCAACATGTGGGCAGTTTATGGAAAATTAAGAAATGTTCGAGTTTTATCAAACCTGAGGTGACGTCAGAAAATTGAAAGTTTCATTGTTGTTGATTTTTAGGCAATAAAATATTGAAATAAAAAATAAATTTTTTGAAATGTGATTTTTTTTTGATAATTTTTTAAATTTTCAAACCATCAAAATTGACCAAAATCATTTGCTGGTTAACAAAATTATTCAAAATTCCACAATCTACAATGTCCTGCGCACTTCCTTTGTTTCCCTAGCGATAATTAATAATTTACAACTTTTTTCACTTTTGTTGTGGCTTTCAAAAAATTATCATGAAGGAATTAATCATTGCATTTGTATTTTTTCTGCTTATTGGAGTTGGAATTCATTTCATAATTTTATACAGCTTGATGGAGTTAGCTAAAGAGTCATTGTATCTACCAAGTGAGGAGAATTTATGGTTAAAGAATGACAAGTTGAGGTGCAGTGGAAGTTCCTGTTCAGCAGATCCTTTCAAAATGATGTAAATTTACAATGTTTTTGTGATACTGCGGAATAAACTTAATTAAGTTGGTAAAACGCCATTAGCTGGGTATTTATAAAAGACACAAATTAAAAACCTCATTTTGAGTAGCTTCTTGTTGATTTTAGATGGTTTTTTGATTTCTTTGAATGCTGTTTGAGTTACAATGACTTATAATATGGTTGGTTAGAAGTTTGCGAGAACAAGAAGAGATCTTGCTAATGACGACGCTTCAAATGCTAGATTCTTGTTTTTAGCATTGTCATCTTGCTTTTATGTTTGATGAATGTTGTTTGTGTTCCTTCATTTTGATCAAAAGCATGAGTTTTGGATGGAAAAATGTCAAATTATTTTAAGTTATTTGGTTGGAATAAAAACAAATACTTCTAGTTAAGTAAGTTCTGTAATTAGGCTTTCCAAATGCACACTTTCCAACCGGACTGGTATGTTTTTTTTTGAAATATATCACACTTTTTTGGCAGCAAAGGTAAAATTAGCTATCAACTTCATGTAAATCATGAAAAAATATTAATTATAGTAATGAAGAGTTGGAAGAAAAACATGGATTTTACATTAGCATTTCAGTTGGAGGCACTGAGATTCAAATTAGAATAGAATCTTTTGTACCACATCCTTTAGATCTACAGTTTATAGTGGGATCCGAACCACTTGCAAGCTCTGCATATTGCAAAGACACGAGTACGTCTATAGACTTGATGTACCCTGCAATGCACCTAGTCACAATTTGAATGTGCAAGATGCTGTAGTGAAATCATCAAGATGGTAGTATATCCTTGTATACCTAGCAAAGGAGGCACATTCTGTGCCAAAGACCTTAAAACTACACCCAACACACGAACCGAGCTTCGTAACTAGAACGGTGAAGATGGAAAAATAGCTTCGAAAATTAAACATTGCCTGGAATTGAACCCAAAACCTTTTGCACGAAAGATCAACGCTCTACCATTTAAGCCTCTTATGCCATTTCACCTCTTGCATGTATCCAAGTTCAACCAAAAAAAGCTACTCTGAATTATAAACAATATTTTAATAAACATTCCATAAACATAGCCTTTGAAGCTTTGAAGATCATTCCGGGTAATTTTTTTTGCAGAATATTTTTTAATTTTCATGGTTTTTGTATGCAAATTTTTAATTTGATGATCAACAAGTTTCATTTTATCCAAAAATGCTAATTTTATCTTCAACAATTATATTTTTAACCAACCAGTCCAATAATCTCATCAATGTTAAGCACATCAACACATGTCAATCTCCTAGCGCCATCTATTGCCAAGACATAACCTCAAAATAAAAATTACACAAGACTCATCCCAACCGGCAATTTCTTTTTTTACTTCATTTACAGCTCATCCAAATCAGCAGTTTTTTTTCTCACTCTCAGTTTACGTTCAGCTCTTGAAGCGATCATGTGTGCTTAGTTCATTTTCTTGGACATCGCGATCGCTTATTTTTTTATACTATCGATACTTAATATTCATTCGCGTACGGCTGTCGATTAAATAATAACAAAATACAATTGCGGCAGTGAATAATGAGAAAAATAAATGAAATTAAATGCAAACAAAGGAAATTGAAGAAAAGAATCAGTTGCAGAACAAAGAAATGAGTTTGAAAAATTGATAAAAAGAAGAAATTTTTGCAGAAGAAAGTGAAATTTTTGAGTTTACGTGATTTTTTTACTGTGGATGAGTCAGCTTTTTTATCAAATGAGGACATAAAGTTTGAGATTTGATATGCAAAAAAATGAGAAACGTTTTATTATTGTCCAACTGAGATACGCCCTAGTGAATTGCCAGAAGGGTTAATTACTGAAATTTGCAATTGTTTGAATGTCAAATAAATTAAGTGAAGAAAAATTATAGTCAAAAATAATAAAATTATAAATTATAAGGTTTGCAAAGGTTACAATCGATGTGTAATTAATTGTTGAAAAATTTAAAATACAAAACAAAAATCAAATGAAAAATTTTAAAACCTTAAAAACCTCAAAATTATTGAAACTTAAATTTTTTAAAATTTTAAAATTAAAATAAACTTAAAATGGGAAAAAAACGTAGTAAAAAAAATTAAGTTGTGAAAAAAATAAAAATTGTAAAAAATAAAACTGTTTAAATTTAGAAAAAAATTTAAAAAAAAAATTAAAACTCAAAAACAATTTAAATTTTAAAAAAAATTAAAATTTTAAAAAAATATAATTTTAACAGAACAGTAAATCATTAAAACTATTTCACAGTTTTTTCAACTTTCAATTAATTCAATTAAGCGAATTTAATAACGAACTCAAAAAAAGACTAATTTGCAAAAATAAATGCTGTCTAATTGAATAAAAGCAAAAAACAAAGTTAATTAAAATTGACGCAGTTTAACTTCTCATTTTATTATTGACAATTTTACACTCAACTGAACAGTGTCAATTTTGTGATGAGTCGCTTAGTGACTTGAATATTGATAATAATAAATGTGATAGTTTTACTGAATATTTTCGGAATTTTAATAAATTTGATCAAGCAGAATTTGAATTGAAATTTCAGATATTAAATTTAAAAAAAAATAATAATAATCCAGTTAATTTATAGACAAATAATTAGTGTGAATTGAGGTATAATGAGTAAACAATTAACTTACTTGCCGGTATAATTACTCACTTAATTCATATATTGTGAACTTTAATTTGTGATTTTTAAAATTTGTTAAAAAAATTGAGTAAAAAGTCTGAATCAATAAAAAATGTTTAGATTGTTTTTATGTGTTCTTAGTAAAGATCGAGGTATTTTCAAGCATAGAATCTAAAAATATTTAAAAAATTGACTTAAAAAATTAAAAAATAAATAAGGCAATCGTTTTGGGCACCAATTGTCATATAAAAACTAAAGTTCAAAATAAATAGTGATTAATAAATACAAAAAAATAGGTGTTTTGAATTAAATTACCAAAAACGAGCAAATTGAAACAAAGTGATTTTTAAAAAACAAAATATAAATTTACAATTTTAAAAATCGTTGAAAAAATTATTTTACATCAGAATTTTTTGCTGGTAAGTTTCAAAATTTAATTAACACAGTTTACATTTTGTGATGTCACAAATATTCTGAAATATGTGATCAATTTTACTTTTTCGATAAATCGCATTAAATCATAAACAAATCATACTAAACCCAGGTGGGGCGTAGCTAAAGTCAACCACACCCCTTGTTAAAAAATCTTTCTTTATTTTGCTAGGGTTTTTGTGAAAAAATACCAAAACCAAATTTTATTTCCCATGCCGAGTTTAAAACTCCCCCTTAAAATATTTTTGGCTACACCTCTGAAACTTGAAACTATCCCGGAAAGCACAAGTCAGTTGTTCGATCAAAAACGAACCCAATCTGGCGTGACTCTGGCATGGAGTTGGATTTAAATCAAATTTACATCCATTTCTGAGCCAAACTAGTTAAGCGTCAGATTTTTGATCGTTTAACCGACTTGTGCTATCCTAGTATGCCTTATGACAAAAATCTAGTCACAACCTCTCAGCACCTTATAGAACTAAGTTGATCCACCCGATTTTAATACAAACAATAAATCCATCATCTCAAAACCCCCTCAACTCCATGAGTAATCACTTACAAGCCACAAACAACAATAAATCTCGTCATAATAAAAATAAATTTATCCCTGAATTTATCTCATTTAAAATGAGAGCGAAAATAAAGCTCACGATAACAAAGATTATCAAGCATTACATGCGGTCAGTCATGCATTTACTCACATTATCGGATGTAATCTCATAAATATGAAATTGAGATGAGAGAAAATAAGTAAATAATTGCTGATTATTACAGCACATGTGATGTAAAAAGACTGGCTGTTTATCGTTGTAATTTGAACAAGAGCGATAAAAAAATGTGAATCATTAGTTTTTTGTGGCTTAATATAAGGAATGAGCAGTGGTTTTGTTATTTTAATTACTATTGGGATTGTTGGAATTCAGTGTATTGACATCAGGCATGAGCCAGGGCTTAGTGATATCACTCACTTGATAATCTCTACAAGTTGACTTTTGCAGTGATTTTTAATGTAATTAAGGTTTGTAATCAGCATTGTGGAGCACCTCTGTTGACCAAATCATGTCTTTCAGATATGTTTAGGATAATTTGTATATTTCAAGATCTTTTGGAGTCTCCCAAGACACTAAGTTGCCACTTGAACCACAAGAACTAGTAAATTTTGTAGCTTGTCGAATTCTATGCCATCAGCAGCCTTGTTACTTACGTGACATATGATTTTACTAAACAAAATTGATCTAGTCCATCTCAGACATCAAAACAAGTTCCACCTTGAGTCAATATTCGTACATCTGCTGAATTTCTGATCATCAATCCTTCAAAACATCAATGTCGTCAAATTTTTTTCATTTCAATGCTTCCAATGCTGCTTTAAAATTCTTTATTTGATTATGAGAATTTGCAATCTTTTATTTGGAATCCCCTACAACTTTTTTTTTTGCATTTGATATAACCAAAAACCTGAACAATTTTGCTTTTACGGCTGTTTTTAAGATGACTGAAAGAGAAAATTTGCATTTTTACTTTGAAATTTTTATCATTTTTGCATAAAATTGGATATTTTTTTCTTTTGTTATATAATATTTTGGTTTATTGACTTTTATCGCAGAGATGTAATTCGATCAGTCTACTTGGGGAGCTTGAAAGTCAAAAAACTTGAGTTTCGACTGTATTTGGGGGGGGGGGGGGGGGGGAACTTCTTCAAATATTAATTCCCAATTTGCGCTAGATTTGATATACATATCTGACTTCATGTCAGAGTCGCAGGCTGACTGTTTGATTTCTGGTCGATTAACTGACTTCTTTCAATTTTCATTCCAATCGTTGAATACAGACTCGTAGACTATCACAAAGGCCATAAATTATTGTTTAATTACTTTACATAAAGCTTAATAAAGACAGTCAAACTTATTTGAACTGTATTTTCATGTTCATTTGCAAATAAGTTGCGTCAGGACGTGACTTTGATTTTTGTATATTCATAATTTTAATTTAACACTATTGCTAAGTATAAACGATTTATTAAGAGTCAATTGAGCAAAGAATTTAAATTTTCAATTTGAGAGCAAAATCTCATCACTTCAGAAGCTATCAATCTCGATTTTAGGACATCTAATCATTAATGAATTGGAGATCTGGCTCTAGATTGTTAATTTTTGTTATTACAAAGCCAAAAGTTGGGTTAGAGTCCACTAAAATAATCAGAAACATTTGATTGTCAAACCTTATCCAACAATTTTAAGTTACTAACAACAATCAACGATTTTTAAACCCCAAAACAACAACAATACATAATTGCACCATAATCGACACAATTACCGACATGCCAAACAAATGTCTGCTCCGTGATAATTAAGTTGTCGCTATTTGCGTTCATTACACCCGTCTGCGAACAAATGAATACCAAAAATGTCTCAAACTCAATAAACCACTTGTAGCAGGCACGTAGTAAGGGGGGGGGGGGGGGGGGGGGGGGGATTTGGGAGACAAATCCCCCTTCGTCTTGAGAAATTTCTTCATTTTGCTAGTTTTTATGAAAAATCCCCCCCCCCCCCCCCTCCCCTAAAAGTTTTTCAAACCAAAAAAAAAATTTCCCCCCTCTTCAAATTCCTGGCTACGCTTTGACTTGTAGTTAACGAGCAAATGATTAAAGTGTCGCGTATAACTTGATGCGATGCTAATCTTTATCAACAATAACATCAAGTAGTCTTTTACCTTCCAAAGCTATCTATCCTAAACAAAACATTACCCATTTAATCATTCACAACACCGATCAGCAACAAAAAAACATCTCAAAACAAATTTTGACAGCCACATCTCATCCGGTCACTAAAACTTAACAAAAACTTTTGCTTTCATTATGACATAATTCCACTCTCATCTCACCGTCGCGCACAGCGTCACTAAAATGTAGAGCGATGAAATTATTATTTTCTTTACATTTTGTTACACGATAAAAGGTGTTATGAGTTATTAAATATGCTGTGTGCATGGCACGAGCTAAGTTACTTGAACTTGACAAAACCCCAAAATGAGAAATGGAATAAATTAATGTTGAATTGAAATGAGAAGTTTAGTTTCGTTGTTGGTTTTCTTTGTTGAAATTGGATTTCTTTTTGGAAGTGTTGAATTGATGAAATGTTGGAACTAAGTTGAAAAATTTGGAGCTCTGTGTCGATTTTGTGAGTTTCTTTGGTCTTGACTTGTGATTTATTCTGTTTAATGGTGTGCATTCTTGAGAACTTGGAGTTCTGTTGGTGTTCTGGACCGAGGCACACTTGTGTCTTATAAGCTGTGTGCGATTTTGGGCATGTTTTAGCATTGAGGAATGCCGATGCTCGATAAGCTTGAATTACACTGGTTTTAAATACTGTACACTCGGCAATCATCCCCAAAAACCCTCAAAATAGTCCTTGCACTACCTGTCATCAATTTTTGAATCTCACTTGGAATCCATCAGTTATTCTGAAAGAGCTGGGATTTTTTGGGATTTTTAGGATCAATCCCGAGTGTATACGTCTTGTCTGGTTTAGACTTTTAAATGGAGATTCTATTAAGCACAAATGAGGACGGAAGCTTAGGTTTGATGAAACTTAACTAAGCCAAAACAATTCGGTTCTTCAAAAAATTATTCATCATTTTGGCGCCAATTTTATTTAACATTGAGAAAAATCAAGAAATTCTTGCTTCTTATTTTCCAAAACAATCTGTAGACTCCAGAAGTTCTCAAGCTGTGTGATGCGGCACATTAGTGCACTGCTAGACTTTTTAGGTGTGCTTCAAAACATTTTAATTAAAAAAGTGTGCCGTGAACGAAAAAATTTTGAGAAGCACTGCTCTAGAAGCTCACAAATCTTCAATAAGGAAGTAAACATATTACAGAAAGATCCGATGATCATAAATGATGACTTTATGATAATAGACATGTAAATGACCAAGACCTTTTCGATAATCATTGTCATAAGCTTTTAAATTAATGTTAACACGGAAATCAAAGTTATTGTTTGTTCTTTTGGTTGCTCGGACATTAGAAAAATCTTGATTTTAATTGACTAGATTCTTGAGAGCATCGGTAGCTTCCTCATAGTTTTCATTAATGTCAACTGATCTACGAATATCAAAAATAGATTTTAATGCTAGAGAATCATGTTCCAAAAATCGCTATCAAAATAAACTCAATCAATAAATAAATTAACGGTAATTCTGGAGAATCTGAACGTGTTTTGTCATTTGGATAAGCTTAATAACAAAGCTTAGACAGTTCTTTATAGTCACAACCAAAAACATCATAAATCAATTCATAATTCACGCACCAATAACCAAATAAATCATCAAAAACCATGAATATTCATATCAAAGCAAATCGATGACAATTCATCCTCTCAAACATGATATCAAGCAAAAACAGAGAAAACAAAGGCTGAAGATATCAAATCAAGCAATAAAGTTTGATTTCTCCTGCTCATCTTCATGGCTAAAAATGTGCTGAATTTCGGATTGACTTCAAAGCCACATTCAAGATCAAGGCAACCTAATTTTAATTTAGAAAATTAAAAAATTGGCACAAAAACATCTTCTCGAAAGCTTCATAGTCAACAGATTATAGATTGTGTATCTAATCTCATTTTGCTACATCTTCCGAGTCAATAAAAAACCGTTTTGCATCCACTTAACAAAAAAAAATAATTTTTAATTTCAAAAACATTGACACTGACCTACGGCAATGATGAGTTTTGAGTGGATTTAAGCTCGGAAAAAAAAGAGAAAAAATTAAAATATAATTTACAGAGAGCGGTTGCTGATGAGTCACATGCTTGCTTTAGAATTAAGTGAGGAAAATATATATTGACATTTTTTGAGATAGTTCAATGTTCTAATGAGTTGAACTAGTATTAATTTGACAGGTATGAATTAACAAGCTGCATAATCTGCCATTACGGGTTAGTCACATTAACAGTCGACTACAAGATAGAGCGAGCACATTATTATTATTATTTATTTGTCGACGTTACCGTCCGGAAGAATTAGTATTTATACATGTTTTACTTTTTACATTGATTAGTGATACATTTCATATCACTATGGGTGACGTAGAATCAAGCTTCTAATCTTCAAATCTAGGTTTCAAATAAACTAAGGCTCTCGTTTCAATCTTCTGTGGGCGTGACGTGATACTTTTCAGGTCCGTTCTAACAATATGCCATTCATGGGTAATCTTGTAGCTCTCGTTCCTATTTCTCCCGCTACACTTCAAGTTCTTGATCCGTTCCTTAATCCAACGTTGCCCAAATGCCCAATTATGGCTTGATCTCTTACATTAAGCAGTCGAAGTATCTAAACTTCTGAAAAAGAACAAATTTGGAAATGGCTGGATTCGAACTGACGACCTTCGAGTTACCATCCCAAATTTGAGCCAAGCGCCTTACCTATTCGGCCAGCAAGGCACTTAACTGCTGCCTACCTTTTTAAAGACACGTGCTACGCATCATAACTACTCCCAGCTTCAGTAAACTTGTCAGATCATTCATTTTCTAAGTCTTAACACCTTACGCGAATGACACAAGTCGGTTTATCGATCAGAAATCCGGCATCAAGCTGCTAAGACTCTGGCATTGTGCTACCAAGCCGGTATGACTCTGACATGTTGCTGGATTTAAATCGAATGTTGCACCGTGCCAGAGTCATTCAAACCTGGCGTCAGATTTCTATTCGATCAACCGACTTGTGCTATTAAAGTTACTTTATAATATGCCAAACTTAACTGATTATCAATAGCACATACTTAGTCTTGAACTGATATTTGAGTTTGTTAATCTTTGAATACTTGACCATCCATAGCCTCAGCCTTGTGTTCATTAAAAATACATTTTTTATTCATTTGCAAAATTTAAATCACAATTAAATGGCAAATTGCAGAAATCTTGTTATTTAAGAAACATTTAGTAATCTTCGGACTTCATCAAGGTTGAATTGGCAATTCGCAATCAATTTTTGCATTTGTTTCATCTTTAAAGCAACTGGGTCATGTTTTACTGATTTTTTATTTGGCAATTTTTCAGCTGTTTGACTCAAAAGTGCAAAGAATTGAGACAAAAACTTATCAATTACATAAGGAGCCGTTCACTTATGTCCAGTGGGGTCAGCAAGAAAAGCACAGTTAAAATTCTTGGAAGTCCATTGCTCTTATTTAAATAATGACCGTTAATTTTGGACGTCATAAGTGAACGACCTCTGAATAAAGTTTGTAATAAGCTTCATTTACCAAACATCTTCACAATTCCACTAAGAAAAGCCTCCAAACAACAACAAATTCAAAACTAAAATCAGCACAAAAAACCTATAAAAGCTTGATGACAAAATCAGCCTGCAAATTGCCATTTTTATTGCACAATTTCTTCGCAATTCATTACATTCCGCATTTATGCAACTCACGAGATTGCAACTCAATTTTCAATCTTTACTGCTGCACTCCGCGATTCAATGACTTTTTAAGTTGATTTACTTGAACTCGAAACTTACTCTCTCGATTTTCTCTCACATTTTTGTTGATGGCGCTTCAAATTGAGCATTGTTGACTTGGACATGTTGAGCACTCTCACTTATTGACATCGATTAGAGCGTCTGAGTGAGATTATTGTAGACAATTTATCACAATCTGTCGTTTTGAGTTAATGGATCGACAAATAGAGAGTAATGTCGACATTTGGGTCAATATTTTGTAATTTGTGATCAATTTTTAATGACTCTGTGTGGTTTATCTTGAATTAATAAAGAATTGCGACTTTTAATCTATTAACTGTTACTTTATACTTTTTGACTCACTCGAAATTAATGATTTAGATCCTCATCACCCCTCAACATCCTCCACAAATTAACCCCGAGTCGAATTGTAAAAAAGTAGAAAAATTCAACAATTGAAAGCATTGAAATGCCAGCAAAAAGTCCCAAAAGTCCACCGACATAAGAAACAACATCCGAGAATGTAAATTGCTGATATCTTCGGAACAAAACGATGTCGTCCATGTTCATTCTCACATTTATTGTTGTCTCATTCCCACCTGATTCATGCTTTGTATAATATTTGATGTTGTAGCTGATTGAGTTGCACAATGGCAGGCACGAGCAGTTCTCTTCTGATGAATAATATTCGAGTTCATATAAAGTATGTTGCAGCATTAAAACACAATCATCAGGATATCTTGATGCATTTAAACAAATTTGATCCTGAGTTATGAAAGGCTGCTCAATGTCCACACATCCACAGCTCTTTAATGTTATGTTTGTGAAGCATTCAATGTCACAATTCTTTTGTGTATATTTCTTAAAAAAGTTTAGTGATCTTTCGCCTTCAAAGTAGCATTCGCGGTCAATTGGTGCCAACTTCTTAAGATTCTCTTCTGTTTTTGTAATCTCAACAGACACAATCACGTCCACACTTTTGTCATAATCGTAAGGAATGAAATTTCGTCTTGGATTAAATGTTGGAAAGTCATCAGAACTATGAATCATGAATGACTGTTTAATGCACTCCCAATATTCTCCTGGGACTCTGTTAAGCTTTAGCGTAAAGGCTGCTTGGTCTAGTTTGTTAAATTTTAGAGGATATTTCATGGATTTTGGGATGTTGGTTAGGCTTGCTGACTTTGTTGTGATGTTTCTGGTGTAGTTGAAGTCTGAGCTGATCCTGAAGGATGCTAATGTTAGTAAGACTAGCATAAAGACCAAAAAAATACTCACTGATCAAAGTTGAACATCTCATCAGCATCAATCATGTTAAATGTGAATCCCATGCCTCTGGATGTTCGAATTTCTGCAAATTCTGGCTGATATTTGCCATTAAATGATGAAAATTATTCACGGAACCAGTCAACTTTTGATTCTTCTTTCAAATAAGTCAAAATTTGTGGAATAAAACTAAAATGTTGATGAATGTGGTATCCGTGATAGTCTTCGTTGCAGAAGAGATATTTAGACAAATTCCTTAAATAAGAAGCCTTATTATTGTCACGCTATGAATTTGTGCTTCAACCTAGTCATTCTAAAGTATTAAGTTGACTCCAAACTAGTCAGTCAACCCCAGTCAACTACAAACTTTACTTAAAACAAAAGAATTTATATTTTTTTTACCTTTTGAATGATGTTAATTCCTTTTCAACTTTAATATTGCTAACGTACTCGCGATTGTAAAACTTGTCGAACAAAGTTTCAGATTCTACCCATTCTAAAGGGACAGTATAAGCAGGTGTTATTGTTACTGCTGGAAATGAAATCTGAAAAATCATTCAAATTAGGAAAAATCAAGAAAAATTTTGAATGCTTTAAATTAAGGTTGACAAGACTCGCTAGACTTAGTTGAGTTCAAAGGTTGTTTCTAAAGCTACTTCGATGCATCCGACCCTTAAATTTTGATTTATTTTTTTTTTTAAATTTCATTTTAAGTCTCAGCATCCATCCCCAAACTTTTATGTATAGTTCAGACCACCAGAGTCTTGCCAACTCTATATCAAATGTTACATCATTAATAGGTTTTAAATTGTCATCGAAAGCTAAGACCAAGCTATCTGGAACTTTATCATTCACACTTAATGTCAAATAGATGCAGCATGTCATTGCAGAAATTATAAAAATGATCCAGAAGAAGCTTTAAAATTTATTAAAAAAAAAGATTTAAAATCAATTTATGACAAGTTGACTAGCTTCCTGTACGAACCTATCAAGTCGAGTAAATTTATTAATATAATTAAGTCCATGAATTGACGATTCGCTGAAGAAAGTTTTAAAAAATTCCTTAAATTGTGACTTCTTTTGATCGTTTTGATTTAAAGTATAAACTTTTGTGTCCACAACATTAAAATTGACAATAAAAACTCGAATTGTGAACCAATAAATCAGTTCAATGAACGACAGTGCTGAAAATCCTGCAAAAAGTCCCAAAATTCCACCAACAAATGACAATAAATCGAGTGTTGTGTACTGCTGCTTTCGGATTAGTGGATTGTAAGTCTCTTGGTTAAAATTTATCAAAACATCCAAGGATTTAATGTTGAACTCATCAAAATCAGATAGAACGGGATAATTTCTAAAAGAATAAATTAAGTTTAAACGACAAACAAATATTTAAGCAACATTCTTACACATCCATAACTGTTTCTGTGGCTTCAAAATTATATTCAACATAATCGCAAGGATTAAAACAATCACAATCTCTTTTCTGTTCCTCAAAGTCATCTTCAGCTTTCTTGTAGCAGCTTTGCTCATTTGCTGAACAAATTCGAGTTGAAGAATTTCGAATCATGAAGAATTCAACGCAGCCACAACGACTGAGCATGAAATCAGTCAGACATTCATTCTCGCAGTTATTTTTCGTGTAGACTTTGAAGAATTTCAGGACTTTTTCGTTTTCCAAGTAGCAGTTGCGTCTGAAATTAAGGAGTTTAATAGTTTTTAGGTTAAATTGCTATATTTTGAGGTTAGAATATTCAGTTTATAAGTTAACATCGTGAATTTTTCAAAATGGTAGACATTGACTTACTCCACAGGCTCATAATCATGAAGTGACTCATCAATTTCATTCAATAATGGTCCAAGTATAACATTAGTTCGGAATAACAGTTTTGCTCTCAATGACTTTGCATTCCTTGATGGTAATTCATAAGGATCATGAATAATGAATAAATATCCATCAATATCATCCTCAATAGCTTGTTCGAAGTCTTGATAATTTGGCATAATATTAGCAAAAAAGCCTGCCTTAATTGTTGAAATTTTCCTTGGAATGGGTTCAGATAATTGATGAACGAATTTTTCATAATCTGGTGCAATTGCTGCTGTATATTGATAATGAAAGTCACTGGATGTTATATTAAGATTCAACATATCACGACTATGGGCCATATTAAATGTAAAGCACAAGCCCCAAGGTGTGATAACTTCATTGCCAAACAATTTGAGTTCCTTGATCCATTCAAAGTTCATTGAAGTTGAAGTTATGATGAATTCTTTAGCAAATTCGTTAATCACGTCAAGAAAGTCATCTGTTGGAATCAAAAAATTTAGTTTTTGGAATGTTCCACGATTTGTGACGAGATCGATGACTTGTAAGCGTTTAAGACTAGAAAAATATGACTTTAAAAATCAAAAGTTTGGAATTTAAATTAAAATTTCATTTTACAGCTTAATTCCTAATTGTTCAAGTTTGATGGTTTCATCCTCAATTTTAGTAAGTATGTCCAAATAACTAAAATTCCCGAACTTCATCTCGTCTTCAAATTCATTTAAATATTCTTGTATCTCATAGAAACTTGTCTCTAAAGTGTGTTTTTCATATCGAAAGTAACATTCGCTCTTAATTTTTGTACAAAATGTTTTCCTTATAAATGGCAGGACATGTGGGCAAATTGTGATGGCTGGAAAGTTCAACTGAAAATGTATGATTTATAATCATTTAGAAAGATGACAGCTAGAATGACTTGACAGACTTGAGAGCATTGACAGACTTGTCAAACTTGACAGACATGGCAAACTCACAGCTAGACAGTCAAATTCATAGACAATAAAGTAATTCGAAGTAAAGAAAATCTGAACAAAATCTACCTCAGACACGAAAACTAATTGATCCGAAAGAAAGACAATAATTGGTAAATTTTGCATTTTAATGACAAGCTGAAAGATCAAAATTGAGCTACAAACAGCAGAACCAGCCAACGCAACGATCCAAAAAAATCTGAAAATTTTTAAAAATTTTTATTAAATTTTAAAATTAATTAAATTTTCAATACTTTTCAGCTAAATTGAATCTTTTGGAGATGTATGCAAGTCCATGAATTGAGGAAATTCCAAAATAATTTTTAAGATTTATTAACATTGTTTATCAACTCAAAAGTTTAAAATGAACTTACTCAACAGTTAAAATGACGTATCTTTAAATTGCACTAGCGTGTTTAAAATGTGATTTTTTTAAATGCTGTTAGATTAAAGATAGTGTAACTGAAACATTAAATATTCATAATTTTTCAAGGTCAACCAGTTCATAGCTTTATCATTAATTCTTCGACCGATCCAAACCATAATTTCTTTCACTAAACATCCTCCACATATTAACCCCGAGCCGGATAGTAAAAAAGTAGAAAAATTCAACAATTGAAAGCATTGAAATGCCAGCAAAAAGTCCCAAAAGTCCACCGACATAAGAAACAACATCCGAGAATGTAAATTGCTGATATCTTCGGAACAAAACGATGTCGTCCATGTTCATTCTCACATTTATTGTTGTCTCATTTCCACCTGATTCATGCTTTGTATAATATTTGATGTTGTAGCTGATTGAGTTGCACAATGGCAGGCATGAGCAGTTCTGTTCTGCAGAAAAGTTTTCTAGCTCATTAAGTTCGTATCGAAAATGGTTAAGACAAAAATTTGGCAAAACAGAAATATTTAAACAAATGTCGCTTGAATGTTGGAATGGATGAGTTAAGTCGCAACAATTGCAATGTTCGAAGGTTATGTTTGCAAAGCATTCAATCTCACAGTTCCTTTGAGAGTATTTGTTAAAAAATTTTAAAGTCTTTTCACCTTTAAAATAGCATTCACGTTCGGATGGCTTGAGGTGCTCTAATCCTTCTGTTCTGATGATTTCAGGGGTCACAGTTACGTCGATAGTCATTCCGTACGCAAAATTAGCAAAATCATACCTTGAACTGAATGTTGGTAAAAAGTCAGGATCATGAACGAGAAGAGAATCAATTAGACACGGCCATTTTCCATCTGTTGGTGGTTTAAACTGCAATATAAGTTCTGCTTGATCCGCTCTATTGAATATCAAAGGATAGTTAAAGAATTTTGGTAATTTTGTTAGATTTTGGTTCCGCATTGTGATGTTTCTTGTATATTTGAAGTCTGAGCTGATCCTGGAGGTTATCAAAATAAGTAGAAGTAGCTAGAAGACCCAAAGCATACTCACTGATCAAAGTTGAACATCTCACCAGCATCAATCATGTTAAATGTGAATCCCATGCCTCTGGATGTTCGAATTTCTGCAAATTCTGGCTGATATTTGCCATTAAATGATGAAAATTGGTCACGAAACCAATCAACTTTTGAGTTCATCTTTAAAACTGTAAAGAGATATGGCACAAAACTGAATGTGTAGCCAAACTTGTATCCTTCATATCTGTCCATGCAAAAATGAAAATGCGTTAAACCCCTGAAACGATGTGATGAAAAATATCAAGTTCTTAACTTTACTAAAGCTTGGGTAGATTAATTTTACCTTTTGAATGGTTCTTTAGTAGCTTTGTTGTTTAAAAGCGATTTTCCATAAGGTGCATAATGTGCTATAAGCGTCCACGTTTTCGTTTGTATCCATTCTCTGGGAATTGTAAATGATGGAACAATTGTGATAGCTGGAAATGAAATCTTAACCAACTATAACTTAATGCTACATAAAAGAAGATCTTAAAATTACTTACATTATCAACAAACTTGTAATTATCATCATAAGCGATAATTCTACTGTTTGGAACCTTTTCACGTGCACCGAGCATTAAATGGACACAAAGCGTCATTGCAGACATTGTAAAAAATGTCCAAAAGATGCTCGATTTGTAGCCAATTTTTGAAAGCTCAATGATGTGATTTAGTCCGTGGACTGACGATTCATTGAAATACGACAGCATCGAATCTCTGATTTTAGTCATGTTGGATTCATTTTGATCATTCTCAACTTCTGGATTGACTTGCTTGAGTCCTATTCTACAATTTTTGATGACAACTCGAATTGTGAACCAATAAATGAGCTCAACAAATGAAAGTGCTGAAAATCCAGCAAAAAGTCCCAAAATTCCGCCAACAAATGACAGAAAATCGAGCTCATTGAACTGTTTCTTGCGTATAAGCTGGTTAAAGACACTAGATTTGTAACGTATTTTAAAACCACGCTGTAGATCACTAATAAGTCCAAAATCTCTAAAATATTAGAGACAAAATTATTTTGAACAACAAAACAAAGTTAAAAACGTTTATACTCAGCAATTCCAAAACGATTCAGCTCAAAATCATATTTGACATAATTGCAAGGCAACAGACATCCACAATCACTTTTCTGTTCCTTAAAGTCATCTGTAGCTTTTTTGTAGCAACTTTGCTCATTAGCAGAACAAATTCGAGTTGAAGAATTTCGAATCATGAAGAATTCAACGCAGCCACAACGACTGAGCATGAAATCAGTCAGACATTCATTCTTGCAGTTGTTTCTCGTGTAGACTTTGAAGAATTTCAGGATTTTCTCGTTTTCCAAGTAGCAGTTCCGTCTGAAATTGAGGAATTGAGAAGATTTTGAGGTTATGTTGTTGTATATTGAGGATAGAAGGTCAGTTTTGTACGTTTTGAGTTTAGAATTATATAAATTTTAAAGGTAAAAATTGTTTTTCATTGTTGGATTCTTCATTATGGAGTTCGGAAGATTTTGAGGTTATTTTGATGAGTTTTGAGGTTATTTTGCTATAATTTGAGGTTAAGATGCAAAAGTTTATGATTAAGATGTTAAAATAGTTAGCTTTGTGGTTAAAATAATTAAATTCATAATTTTGAGGTTAAAATCTAAACCTATGACAATTTTGAGGTTAAAATCTTAGTCTTAATCAACTTTAAGGTTAGAATCTATTTAAAAATTTGAACCCGAAATGTTGCAATCAGTTCATCGCTTCAAACTCACTCAGCAGGCTCATATCCATAAAGTGCCTCATCAATTGAATTTACTTGTGCATCAACTTTAATTTCACTTTGAAATTGTTCATTAAAATTGATAACTTTAGAGTTTTTGGATGGTAACTCAAGTGGATTGTGTAAAATAACTTTAAATCCGATAAAATCATTTTGAATGCCTTCATTTAAGCTTATTTTTCTCGTAAATCCAACCCACAATCCAGCATTTGATGTTGAAACAGATTTTGGGAAACTTGATGGCAATCGATTATTTTTGGATTTGTGGTTTCTTGTCCTGTGAAAATGCTGATAGTGAAAGTCATCAGATGTTGAATTTAGATTAAGTAAGTCATGACTGAATGCGATGTTGTATGTGAAGCACAAGCCCCATGGTGTGATTACTTCTGACATGTAGAACTGAAGTTGATTGATCCAGTAAAAAACGATTGAAATTGTCTCACGAAATTGTTTTGGAAATTGATTGAGGATGTCGAGGAAGTCGTCAGTTGGGATCGAAATATTTAGGTTTTGAAATGTTCCACGATTTGTGACTAAATCAATGACTTGAAGGCGCTTGAGGCTTGAAATTGATGAAATTAATAACCAATAATTCAAATTTATCAAGAATCTTACAGTTTGATGGCAAGTTTTTTAGGCTTAATGCTTCCATTATCAATCCTGTCTAAGAATTCGACATAAGAAATGTTGCCAAATTTCCTCTCATCCTCAGTTTCCTGTAAATATTCTTCATTTTCTAAGAAATATTCCTCAATTGAGTGTTTTTCATATTTGTAATATTTTTGAAGTTTATAATCTTTGACGAAAAACGGCTGCAGTTTCGGGCAAATTGTGACTGCCGGAAAGTTTATCTGAAATTTAGAATTTAATCAAGTGTATATTAAGGAAAACTGGAGTGTTCTAAGTCGTAGCTTAGGTTTCTATCTCAAAATGGGTCTTAACTCCAATTTGACTCCTTTAGCTTCACCAAAAGGCAATAGTCCTAGCTTTAATCAGCTGTATTCTCACCTCAGACAACGGAACTGACTGATCAGACAAATAAGCAACAATTGGAAAGTTTAAAACTTTAATGACAACTTTTCCGATCAAAATTGACGTGCAAGTGACTGAAAAGATCAACGCAATGACCCAAAAAATCCTGAAAAATATTTTTTAATTTAAAATTAAATTTGTGTAAAAAAAACGACGCAAAAAATCACCTCTCAATGAAGTGAAATCTTTTGGAAATGTAGAAAAGTCCATCGATTGTTGAGATTTTCAAATACTGCTGCACATCAAGCTTCATTATTCAAACAAATTTAATGAAATTCAACTGAATTTTACCAAAATATTATGAAAAAGTTTAAATTAAAAATGGAATTTTAAACATTTAAGCATTTTTATTCATAATAAATTCAAACAAGTAAAGAAAATGTATGCGAATGTAGGTAAAGAAGCGCAGTTTCATTTGGACGGGGCATCATCAGTTTTTAAAGTTTTAGATCTAATCATAATTGTTTGCCCATAAAACATTCAATCCTGATCAAATCAACTGCTCAAATTATGTGCCTTTTGTCCAAATTATTCTACAAGTAGCTCCAATGAAGTTGGAGGTCAAATAGCATCCCAATAATTTTGCTTTGAATTACCAATTAAAAATGTTTGTTTAACTCATATCAAGCATGTTTAAACATTAACAGCATGTAGTCACGCAATTGACCGTTATCTTAGATTGGAAAATTTACTGGCAATTACGTTTTAAAACTTAAAAAAAAATCTAATTAGCAATTGATCTCTCAAGTTGCATGACCAAACCTCAAATCTACCCACCCCTCAGCCCCCTCCACAAATTAACTCCCAACCGGATAGTAAAAAAGTAGAAAAATTCAACAATTGAAAGCATTGAAATGCCAGCAAAAAGTCCCAAAAGTCCACCGACATAAGAAACAACATCCGAGAATGTAAATTGCTGATATCTTCGGAATAAAACGATGTCGTCCATGTTCATTCTCACATTTATTGTTGTCTCATTCCCACCTGACTCATGCTTTGTATAATATTTGATGTTGTAGCTGATTGAGTTGCACAATGGCAGGCATGAGCAGCTTGATTCGGGCGAAAAGTCAAGGGATGCATAAATATCTGTTTTCAACTTGCTGGTACAAGTTGAATCCATTCTGGATATATTTAGACACAATTCATTTGGATTGCTGAATGGCTGATCAAAGTCAACGCATCCGCATGTGTCCATTGTTATATTTGCAAAGCATTCAATTTCGCAGTTGTTTTGTGAATATTTTTTAAAGAATTTCAATGATTTTTCGTCATCAAAATAACATCCTCTTTCTGCTGGCTTTAAATGTATCAGATTTCTATCAGTTTTAATGATTTCTGGAGTTACTGTTATACCAATGATCATTCCATTGTCAAAAGCAACAAAATCTTTTCTTGAATTGAATGTTGGCGACTCATCAGATTGATGTAAGACAAAAGATTGTTTAATGCAATCGTGGAGAAAGCTTTGAGGATCTTTTAGAGTGATTGAGAATATTGTTTGGACATTTTTATTGAAGCTTAGTGGATAGTTGAGAAGCTTCATTGAATTTCTAGATCTTGTCGTGATGTTTCTTGTGTAATTGAAGTCTGAGCTGATCCTAGAGGATGTTAGGGTTAGTAATAGGAGCATAAAGACCCAAAAGATACTCACTGATCAAAGTTGAACATCTCATCAGCATCAATCATGTTAAATGTGAATCCCATGCCTCTGGATGTTCGAATTTCCGCAAATTCTGGCTGATATTTGCCATTAAATGATGAAAATTGGTCGCGGAACAAAGCAAGTTGCGTGTTTTCCCTCAGAACAGGAATGACGTAAGGAACGAAGCTAAAGTTAAATTTAAAATAATATGCGTTGTATAAATCCTCACAAAAGTAGTATTTAGTCATAATCCTGAAAGTTATTTAAATATAATTAAGGTGGAGATTTTCAGTGCTAAATCTTCTTACTTCCTTTCATCCACTTCTGTTGTGTCATTATATAAATCATCAAAATATGATGGACCTTCATAAATGATGTCAGAAATATCACTGCTAAGTTCATAAGGAATTGTGAACTGTGGAACAACTGTTATGGCTGGAAATGGGATCTTTGAAATGTAAAAATTAAGATTGACATTTAATTAAGCAAATTAGAGGAACTTACATCTTTGGTCATTTTAAAATTGTCATCATAAGCAATCACTCGACTCTCTGGGACACTTTCTTTAGTGCTCAGAATAAGATGGAAGCATAAACTCAAGGATGTGAGAATGAAAAAGATCCAAAGGATGCTAAAATGAGCAAAATATGATTTATCAGTGCTGCAACCTCAATCTGACCATACCTATTAGTCCACGAAACCTCAATAATGTAACTTAATCCATGAATAGAAGATTCTTTGAAGTACGACATTAGATGTATCCTAATTTTGCCATTTTCCGGAATTTTATTGAACGGATAGACTCTTACATCTGACCTATTTCCAACGAAAACTCGAAAAGAGAACCAATAAATCAGCTCAACCATCGAAAGTGCTGAAAATCCAGCAAAAAGTCCCAAAATTCCACCAACATAAGACAGAAAGTCTAGTTCGTTAAACTGTTTCTTACGGATTAGCTGGTTAAAGACATTCTCTTTGTATTGAAGACGAAATCCGATGTTCATGTATGGAAATAACACATTTGTGCTGCAATAAGAATCAATTAGCCAAGAACACGATGATGCTTTCGATACTTACTCGATGTTTCCATACTCTTGTTGCTCATAGCCATATTCAATGTGATTACAAGGCTTGTAACAATTACAAGATCTTTTCTGTTCTTCAAAATCATCAGCAGCTTTCTTGTAGCAATGTCGCTCATTTGCCGAACAAATTCGAGTTGAAGAATTTCGAATCATGAAGAATTCAACGCAGCCACAACGACTGAGAATGAAATCAGTCAGACATTCATTCTCGCAGTTGTTTTTCGTGTAGACTTTGAAGAATTTCAGGACTTTCTCGTTTTCCAAGTAGCAGTTGCGTCTAAAATTGGCGAATTTGGCGAATTTGGCAAATTGAGAAGATTTTGAGGTTATATTGATGTAATTTGAGGTTAGAAAGTAAGTTTTATAAGTTTTGAGGTTAGAATTTAAGAAATTTTGAGGTAAGAATCATTTTTCATTGTTGGAGTCCAAATTGTGGGATATTTGGAGGTTAGAATTTGGGTCTTGGGACAATTTGAGGTTAGAATTTGAATGGTAGTTATTTTGAGGTTAGAATTTAAATTGTAGTATTTTTGAGATTAGAATTCAAATTGCAGTATTTTTAAGGTTAGAATTTGAATTTTTGATGTTAGAATAATCATGTCAACTTACTCAGCAGGTTCATATCCAGCTAGTGACTTATCAATCGTATTCATTTGTGGATTACTCAAAATGGTTGTTTGAAACTTTAAATTAAGATGTACAATTTTAGAGTTTGCTGAAGGCAGTTCGAGTGGATCATGAAGCAACAAAGTGTAACTTCCGAATGTATTGTTCAATACTTTTTCAATTTCAAACCATTTAAGATTAAATCCAACCCACAATCCAGCTTTTGATGTTGATATTTTTTGTGGTAAATTTTGAGGTTCATGTTCATGTTTATATCGTTTTTGATAGTCGACTGGAATTTCAACTTTTCTAGCATTTTGGTAGTGAAAATCCTCGGATGTTGAGTTGATATGAAGGACATCTCGATGAAATCCAATATTGTATGTGAAGCACAAGCCCCATTGTGTGACAATCTCAGATACAAAGTCCTTAAATTCACCGATCCAAAGGAAGGCAATATTCGCAGAGTTAGGAAAGAATTCTTTTTGAAAAACATTCATAACCTCAAAAAAATCGTCAGTTGGAATTGAAAAATTAAGTTTGTTAAAAATGTTGCGATCTTTGAGGATGTCGACGACTTGAAGGCGCTTTAAACTGGAAATTATTGAAATTAATTAGCAAAAAAAAAATCAAAAATTTAAGAATTTTACATTTTGATTCCCAATTGCTCAGGTTTTATACTTCCATTCTCGATTCTGTCCAAAAATTCAGCATAGCTAATATTTCCGAATTTCATTTCATCCTCAAATTCCTGCTCTTCTTCCTCATGCTCGTAGTAAAGTTGTCTCAATGTGTGCTTTTCGTAGCTATAATGCTTTTGCCGGAAACTGTATGCGCTGTCTGGAATACGGAACAGGTTCCATTGAGGACAAACAGTCACAGCCGGGAAGTTTATCTGAAACATTTTAAAAATAACTTCTAAATTCAATGACTAAAGTAAGCGCGATACTTGCTGCATCCATAAAGTGATGATCCCAATAAAGTATCAAAATAAAGCTAAACTGGGTCCATTGTGTATCTAAAAAATAAAAATTTCATTAATTACTCACCTCTGACACTGGAATTGACTGATCTGACAAATAAGAGACGATTGGAAATTTCATAACTTTAATGACAAGCTGTACGATTAGAAACGACGTGTAAATGACTGATAAAATTAAGGCAATGATCCAGAAAATTCTGAAAATATTTTTTTAAAAATTTATTCATTTAATCTAGAATATTTTATGTCAATTTACCTCTGAGCAATGTGAAATCTCTTTGAAAGATAAGCTAGCCCGTGAATTGTTGATATTTCAAAATACTTTTGCACATCAAACTTCATTTTTTAAAAGCTTTTAAAATTTTATTGAAATTTAAGCTTCACAAATATTTTAAATATGATAAAAATTATAGCATTTGAGCTAATAGGGCTGATCAAAAATGATGTCCATTGAAAAACATTCCTCGTCACAAAGTTTGTATGAAGAAAAATTTTCCCTTGTTTGAACTGTCACAAAATTCCCGTCCCCCAAAATGTTGGACGTCATTAGTAAACGGTCCCTAAATTAGTTTCGTGATTACTTAAAAAATTGAGATTTGACCTATATTTTCGAACCTCGAAGTTTCTATTTCATAACGTGCAATTATTTAATCACGTGCTAATAACCTAGAAAACTGACTTGTCCACGTGTTTAATGATTGACTTTCATCCTACCTCTCAACATCCTCCACAAATTAACTCCCAACCGGATAGTAAAAAAGTAGAAAAATTCAACAATTGAAAGCATTGAAATGCCAGCAAAAAGTCCCAAAAGTCCACCGACATAAGAAACAACATCCGAGAATGTAAATTGCTGATATCTTCGGAACAAAATGATGTCGTCCATGTTCATTCTCACATTTATTGTTGTCTCATTCCCACCTGACTCATGCTTTGTATAATATTTGATGTTGTAGCTGATTGAGTTGCACAATGGCAGGCATGAGCAGTTCTGTTCTGGCGAGAATTCTTCAGCAACATAAAGTTTATTTTGAAGCTTAAAAAAACAATTATTTGGTATTCTGGTAACAGTCAGACATATTTCGTCCTTGATCTTATATGGATGATCAATGTCTACACATCTGCATGCCTTCTTTGTTATATTTGTAAGACATTCAAGTTCACAATTTTTTTGGGAATACTTTTTGAAGTATTTCAATGACTTTTCCCCTTCAAAATAGCATTCACGTTCCGATGGCTTCAATTTTCTTAGAATTTCATCAGTTTTTGTTATCTTTGTTGTTATTCTGACATCAACAGTGGTTCCATAATCGAAAGATGTAAATTCTTTATTTGGACTAAATGTTGGCAAGTCATCAGATTGATGAACGATAAAAGACTGCTTAACACAGCTGTAAGTCTTTCCAAAAGGGCTTTTTAGGATTAATTTGAATTTTACTCGATCATTTTTGTTGAACTTTAAAGGATATTTGAAGGACTTTGGGAGTTGAATTGAGTTTTCTGACTTTGTTGTGATGTTCCTGGTGTAGTTGAAGTCTGAGCTGATCCTGGAGGATGCTTGGGTTAGTAATAGGAGCATAAAGACCCAAAGCATACTCACTTCTCAAAGTTGAACATCTCATCAGCATCAATCATGTTAAATGTGAATCCCATGCCTCTGGATGTTCGAATTTCAGCAAATACCGGCTGATATTTGCCATTGAATGATGAAAATTGGTCGCGGAACCAACAAATTTTTGAATCTTTCTTTGAAACACCAACAATATATGGAACATCGGTGATGTTGTATCCGGCTTCAATGAACCATTCAGCACAAAAGTAAAGTCTCGATAAATTTCTTTAACAAGAAGTTGAAAAACATTTTTAGTATTGATTCAGCATCTAGACATTAAAATTACCTGATAAATGTTGCTTTTGTCTTTACATTTCTTAAGAATTTCTTGCCAGGATTTGGATTTGAAAATGAAAACGAAGAGTTTTTCAATATAAAGTCGAGGGGAACTGTGTATTCAGGAACTATTGTGAATGCAGGAAATGGAATCTACGGATGGTAAAAGATCCTCAGTACTCGTGATAAACTCAAATCTATTGATTTGATCCTTACATTCTCTGTGTACCTAAAATTATCATCAAATCCAATAATTCGACTGTCGGGAAGTCTTTCATGAACATTTAAGATCAAATGAATACAAAATGGCGTCATAAAAACAATCATAAAGATCCAAAGCAAGCTATAAAAAATGAAAATGTTAATCAATTCAAACTAAATCTCAAATTTACTTTTCAATTCTTGTTGACTTGACCATTTGGCTAAAGCCATGAACTGACGATTCACTTAAATAAGATATAATCAGTCCTTTGTCTTTTACTGCTTTATAATCTTGTACAGGAATTGGACCGACTCGATTAAATCGTTTCAAATAAACTCGAATTGTGAACCAATAAATGAGCTCAACGAATGAAAGTGCTGAAAATCCAGCAAAAAGTCCCAAAATTCCACCAACAAATGATAGAAAATCAACCGTTGTGAACTGCTGCTTGCGAACAAGCTCATTAAATGAACTTGCTTTATACTGAATTTGAAATCCAATGTGTAAGAACTTAAGTCTCGATGGAGTTCTGGAAATGATCAAATAATTAATTTTTTCTCAACAACAGAGTCATATTCTTACTCAACAGATCCAAATTCACTTAATTTGTAGCTATATTTAACGTATTCACAAGGATTATAACATTCACAAAAGCTGTTTTGCTCCTTAAAGTCATCTTTAGCATGCTTGTAGCAGCTTTGCTCATTTGCTGAACAAATTCGAGTTGAAGAATTTCGAATCATGAAGAATTCAACGCAACCGCAACGACTTAGTAAGAAATCAGCAATACATTCACTTTCGCAGTTGTGTTTTGTGTAGACTTTAAAGAATTTCAGGACTTTCTCGTTTTCCAAGTAGCAGTTGCGTCTGAGATTGGAGAAATTTTAACAATTTGAGGTTATATTGCTATGTTTTGAGGTTATAGTGGACAATTTTGAGGTTGTAAACTCAATAGTGGTCAATTTTGAGGTTAGAAACCCAGTTGTAGAAAAATTTGAGGTTAGAAACTCAATAGTGGACAATTTTGAGGTTAGAAACCCAGCTGTAGAAAAATTTGTGGTTAGAAACTCAATAGTGGACAATTTTGAGGTTAGAAAACCAGTTGAAGAAAAATTTTAGGTAAGAAACTCAATAGTGGACAATTTTGAGGTTAGAAACCCGATTGTAGAAAAATTTGAGGTTAGAAACTCAATAGTGGACAATTTTGAGGTTAGAAACCCAGCTGTAGAAAAATTTGTGGTTAGAAACTCAATAGTGGACGATTTTGAGGTTAGAAACCTAATTGTAGTAAATTTTGTGGTTCAAATTTCAATTTTGGCTAATTTTGAGGTTACAAACTCAACCGTAAATAGTTTTTAGGTTAGAAAATTAAAAGTAGACAGTTTTGAGGTTAGCAAATCATATTTAGATAATTTTGAGATAAGCAACTGATTTTTTAACGGTTTTGACGTTTGGTGGAAAATTTGAGGTTAGAAACTCAATGGTGTACAATTTTGAGGTTATAAAATCAATGTTTGACAATTTTGAGGTTAGAAACTCAATCTTAGACAACTTTCAGGTTAGAAATCAATATTAAAAAATTTAAGGTTAGAATCTGAAAACCTTCGATTTCAGAAATGACAATTTTTAACCTTAAGGATAGTTTGATCACCAACCCTCCCAACTTACCCAGAAGGTTTATATCCATAAAGTGACTCATCAATCGAGTTTAATTGTGGATCAATTATAACTTTTGTCTGAAATTTTGGATTAAGTTTCAAAGTTGTCGATCTTTTTCCTGGTAATTCATTTGGATTATGAATCAAAATTTTATATTTATCTGAATAGGATTTAAATCCAACCCAAAGACCAGCTTTTGATGTTGAAAGTTTATTTGGTAATTTCAAAGGTGGACGTTGATGTTTCCAAAATTTTGGTTGAAGTTCTCGATGAGTATGAAGATAATGAAAGTTACTTGACGTTGTGTTGAGGTTTAGTAAATTATGACTGAATGCTATGCTGTATGTGTAGCATAAACCCCACGGTGTGATGATTTCTGATATGTATTGTTGGTAATCACCAATCCAGTAGAACACGACACCAAAGTATTCATCAAAGTCTTTACCAAACTCATTGATAATGCTAAGGAAGTCGTCTGTTGGAATTGAAAAGTTTAATTTTGAGAAAACATTTCGTTGTAAGATTAGATCGACGACTTGAAGGCGTTTGAGGCTGAAAATAGAAACCTTAGAATTTAAATCTTGAGATTTTTAATTCATTTTACAAGTTGAGTCCCAACTCTTCAGGTTTGATGATTCCATTTTTGAGTTTTCTCAACGTTTGGATGTAACCACTTTTCAGTAACTTAAATTCTTCCTTATAATTCTCCAAAAACTCGATATCTTCATAAAAATACTTCCTGAACGTGTGCTTTTCGTAGCCATAGAATTTAATTCCACCAAGATATCGTCTCTTAAGATAAGCAATTGATGGTTTGAATCTCGGACAAACTGTGACTGCTGGAAAGTTTATCTGCAATTGGATATTATAATTAAGATTACTAAGTGACAGGCGCTTAGCCAGCAGGGTATTGTCCCTCTTACGTTTAAGGGGGGGGGGGGCAAGATTCTCCTGGATGCGCGCCTGCTAAGTGATTAATTCGCCTTACCTCAGAAACTTGAATCATCTGGTCCGATAGATGAGACACAATAAGGACATGTTGAGCCTTAAAGATAAGCTGGGTGATTAGAATCGATGTACAAATGACTGAAAGAATCATCGCGAAGATCCAAAAGATTCTGTTGAAAAAATTAAACGTCATTTACGATTGACCCTGGAAATTTGGTAATGAAATTTACCTTTCAGCAAAACTGAATCTCTTCGAAATGTAAAATAGTCCATGAATTGTTGAATTTTCAAAATACTTTTGGACATCAAACTTCATTTTTTAATTTCCATCAAACTTACTCGAATTATCACTAGGTCAAAACTAATTTGACATTTCTAATGAATTGAATTTATTTTATGAGGAACTCAATCTGACCTAAATTTTGATCTAAAGCTACATTATTAAAACATGCAATGTATTTATCATGAACATGTGCTGATGCCCCAGATTATCAAATAAACACAAACTTAATTATTACCATCCACGCCAACCCTCAGCATCCTCCACAAATTAACCCCGAGTCGAATAGTAAAAAAGTAAAAAAACTCAACAATTGAAAGCATTGAAATGCCAGCAAAAAGTCCCAAAAGTCCACCGACATAAGAAACAACATCCGAGAATGTAAATTGCTGATATCTTCGGAACAAAACGATGTCGTCCATGTTCATTCTCACATTTATTGTTGTCTCATTCCCACCTGACTCATGCTTTGTATAATATTTGATGTTGTAGCTGATTGAATTGCACAATGGCAAGCATGAGCAGTTCTGTTCTGGTGAAAAGCCTTCAAATTCATAAAGATTGTGTTGAAGTCTCAGATAGCAATTGTTAGCGAATCTAGAAATGTTTAGACACATCTCATCCTTAGTCTTAAATGGATGATCAATGTCTACACATCTGCATGTCTTCTTTGTTATATTTGTAAGGCATTCAAGTTCACAGTTCTTTTGTGAATACTTTTTGAAGTATTTCAATGATTTTTCCCCATCAAAATAGCATTCACGTTCCGCAGGATTCAAATCTCTTAGAATATCATCCGTTTTTGTTATCTTTGTTGTTATTCTGACATCAACGGTGGTTCCATAGTCGAAAGATGTAAATTCTTTTCTTGGACTAAATGTTGGCAAGTCATCAGATTGATGAACCATAAAAGTTTGCTTAACACAGCTGTAGGTTCTTCCAAAAGGGCTTTTTAGGATTAATTTGAATTTTATTCGATCATTTTTGTTGAACTTTAAAGGATATTTGAGAGATTTCGGGAGTTCAGTTAGGTTTTCTGACTTTGTCGTGATATTTCTGGTATAGTTGAACTCTGAGCTGATCCTGAAGGTTATGAAAATTAGGAGAAGAAGCATAAAGACCCAAAGGATACTCACTGATCAAAGTTGAACATCTCCTCAGCATCAATCATGTTAAATGTGAATCCCATGCCTCTGGATGTTCGAATTTCAGCAAATTCTGGCTGATATTTGTCATTAAATGATGAGAATTGGTCACTGAACCAGTCAACTTGTGAATCTTCTTTAAGGACACTAAAGATGAGTGGCACGAAGCTGATATTGTATTGTTCATTAATGTACCATTCAGAACAGTAGTGAAATCTTGTTAGGTTCCTTAAAAATAGCAAGCATTAGCTCAGTGTTGAATGAAACCAGAATGAAGTCTTGTCATTAAGGCTTCTTTTTATGTAATGACGTTTCTATGGTTTACGCGAAATCAAGGACCATTCAATTCAGTAACCAAACCTTATATAGGTCTAGTGAGTCAAGGAAGTCCTTTATCTTGAACTTTATGTAAGTTAGGCTCGATGTCTAGGTTATGTTAATATTACCTGATGAACGGTTCTTTAGTTTTTACATTACTTAAAAACTTTCTCCCTTTTTTAACATTGTATGGCAAGTAAAAGAAGTCTCCAATGATAAACTCAATTGGAATTGTATATTCTGGTACGATTGTGATTGCAGGAAATGGAATCTATGGACAAAATATCTTACTTATATCCTCAAATATAAATCACAATGATTTCTGTGCTTACATTCTTTGAGAACTTAAAGTTATCATCATATCCAATAATTCGACTGTTTGGAAGTCTTTCATGTGCATTCAAAATCATGTTGATGCAAAATGGTGTGATCATGATCATCAAGAAAATCCAGAACAAGCTATGGAATTTAAGAATTTAAATTATATTTTTAAAAAATCACCTTAAGCTTACTTTTCAATCCTCGTGGACCGAACCATATGTCTGAAACCATGAACTGAAGATTCTTTAAAATATGACTTAACAATCTCTTTGACTTTCACAAAGGAATCATTCGAAGAAGCTTCAATAACTGGACGAACTTTACCAAATCTTCTGAGACAAACTCGAATTGTAAACCAATAAATCAGCTCAACAAATGAAAGTGCTGAAAAACCTGCAAAAAGTCCCAAAATTCCACCAACAAACGATAGAAAATCAACAACTGCAAATTGCTTCTTTCGAATGAGCTGATTAAAAAAGTTGTGCTTGTACTGAATTTGAAATCCAATTTCCATGAATTTAGATTTTGATCCTTGATCAACAGCTCCTGATTCACTTGACTCATAATCAAACTTAACAAAATCGCATTGCTCAAAACATTCGCAAGAGCTTTTCAGATCCTCAAAGTCATCAGCAGCTTTCTTGTAGCAGTTTTGCTCGTTTGCTGAACAAATTCGAGTTGAAGAATTTCGAATCATGAAGAATTCAACGCAGCCACAACGACTTAGTAAGAAATCAGCAATACATTCACTTTCGCAGTTGTGTTTTGTGTAGACTTTGAAGAATTTCAGGACTTTTTCGTTTTCCAAGTAGCAGTTGCGTCTGAAAATGAGGAATTGAGAGGATTTTGAGGTTATGTTGCTATATTTTGAGGTTAGATGTCAGTTTTGTAAGTTTTGAGGTTAGAATTAAAGAAATGTTTTGTAAGAATTGTTGTTCATTGTTGGATTCTCAATTATAGAGTTCAAAAGATTTTGAGGTTATGTTGTTTAAAAATTGAGTTTTTAGGTTAGAACCTCAATCTTATTTATTTTGAGGTTACAGTTTCAATTTTGTGAGTATTTAGGTAAGAATTCTGAGTTTTGAATTTTAGGTTAAAATCGAGATATTTTTGAGGTTAAAATCATAATGTCAACTTACTCAGCAGCTTCATATCCATAAAGTGACTCATCAATCGAGTTCAATTGTGGATCAATTGTAACTTTTGTTTGAAATTTTGGATTAAGTGTCAAAAATTTTGATCTTTTTGTTGGTAATTCATGCGAATCATGAATTAAAATTTTATAATAAGCTGAATAAATTCTAAATCCAACCCAAAGACCAGCTTGAAATGTTAAAAGTCTGTTTGGAGATTTTACAGGTGGACGTTGATGTGTCCACAATTTAGGTTGAATTTCTCTAAGAGTATGAAGAAAGTGAAAGTCATTAGATGTTGAGTTAAGATTCAGTAAGTCATGACTGAATGCAATGTTGAATGTAAAGCACAAGCCCCAAGGTGTGATGATTTCTGATATGTATTGCTGATAATCGCCAATCCAGAAGAACACTATTGAGAAATATTCATCAAATTCTTTAGCAAACTCATTAATGATGCTAAGGAAGTCGTCAGTTGGAATTGAAAAATTCAGGTTTGAGAAAATATTTTGATCAAGGACAAGATCAACGACTTGGAGGCGTTTGAGGCTGAAATATAAACTTTAATATTTAAATCTTGAGAATTTAAACTCAACTTACAAGTTGAGTCCCAATTCTTCAGGCTGGATGCTTCCATTTTCGATTTTTCTTAACATTTGCATGTAGCCACTCCTGCCAAGCTTGACTTCTTCGTTATATTTTTCTAAAAATTCAACTTTTTCATAGATATACTTCCGAAATGTGTGTTTTTCATAGCCATAAAACTTTATAGCACCAAGATATCGTAAGTTAAGGTAATCAAGTGATGGTTTGAATCTCGGACAAACGGTGACTGCTGGGAAGTTTATCTATAATTATATAAGGTTTTAGGGGCGATTGACAGTGCCAAAAGGGAGTACAACTACAGTTTTAAAAAGTGCAAAAACCTAAGATAGATAGCCTCAGTAACAGCTTGCAGAGCTTCATTGAAGGGTATAAATAAGTACCAACTTTGACTAGAACAGATGCTCCAGGTAGCTTTAGAAACCTAGGCTCTAGTTTTAAGGCTACCCGAGGGAATCCTACCCTAGTCTTTACTGTACTCGAATGCCACAAGTCAGTTAATCGATCAGAAATCCGACATCAAGCCAGTGTGACTCTGGCATGGTACTGGATTTAAATCAAAGCTAGCACCATGCCAGAGTCATGCTAGCTTGACGCCAGATTTCTATTCAATTAACTGACTTGTGCTATTCAGGATAATTCGTCGAAATTAGCTTCTAATCTAGGGTGCCTCAGTTAAACCTTGAAACCAAGCCCTGCTCAATTATTACTTAACAGCTGACTCACCTCAGACACAGAAACCAACTGATCCGAAAGATAAATCACAATAGGGAAATTCTGAATTTTTAAGGCAAGCTTACATATCAAAACCGTACAGCAAATGGCTGAAGATAAAAGAACGAAAATCCAAAAAATCCTGTAAAAAAATAAAAAAATTATTTAGATTCCCGAACCTTTTGGTACAAAACCTTCAGAAACCTCAACCTTTTTAATAATAAGGCTTACTAAGTTTTCCAGCAGTTAATATAAGATGCCCAGTTTATCGAAAATGCAAATGTTCTCGTTCCTTTTAATACTTTACCTCTGAAATGAACTAAACCTGCTTGAAGTATAAGCAAGTCCGTGAATCCTTGCAGTATTAAGATACTTTTGTACCTCGAATTTCATTTTTTTTATTCAGTAAAATAAACCAGCTTGAATTGTAAATCATATAAAATTTAAAAAAACTATTTTTGTTCTTTTATTGAGTTAAATTTGAATTAAAAACAGAAATTAAAAATAAAATCACGCATTGCACTATCAAAACAACGAATCAGACATAACTACACAAACCAAATTAAATTCAAACTTGACAGTCTTTCTACTATAATCAGCGTTGTTGATCCTTGATCTATCACAGAACATTACAACTAGAATCTTATTATTCATGACCAAATCAACCCTAACCACCCCTCAACATCCTCCACAAATTAACTCCGAGTCGAATAGTAAAAAAGTAGAAAAATTCAACAATTGAAAGCATTGAAATGCCAGCAAAAAGTCCCAAAAGTCCACCGACATAAGAAACAACATCCGAGAATGTAAATTGCTGATATCTTCGGAACAAAATGATGTCGTCCATGTTCATTCTCACATTTATTATTGTCTCATTCCCACCTGACTCATGCTTTGTATAATATTTGATGTTGTAGCTGATTGAGTTGCACAATGGCAAGCATGAGCAGTTCTGTTCGGGTGAGAATGTTTCAATTGTCAATAAATCATGATGAAGCTTTTCTGGACAATAGCTTAGCAGGCCTCTGGTGATATTCACACAAATATCTTCTGTTGACTCAAATGGATGATCAATGTCAGCACATCCACATTTGTTTATTGTTATGTTCGCTAAGCACTCAATCTCGCAGTTCTTCTGGGTATATTTCTTCAAGAATTTCAACTTCTTTTCATCCTCAAAATAACAATCACGTTCTTGAGGCTTCAACTTCCTCAAATCTTTGTCTGTTTTAGTGATTTCTGGAGTGATTGTGACTTCAATGCTAGTTCCAGAGTCAAAAGACGCAAATTCTTTTCTTGTGCTAAATGTTGGTGAATCTTCAGGCTGATGAATCATAAAGGACTGCTTAACACAGTTCATGAATAGTCCTGGAATCTTTTTAAGCTTTATTGAGAAGTAAGCATTGCTCTTTGTGTCGATTCTGATGGGATATTCGGTGAACTTTCTGACATTTTCTGACTTTGTTGTGATGTTTCTGGTGTAATTGAATTCTGAGCTGATCCTGGAGGATGCTTGGGTTAGTAATAGGAGCATAAAGACTTAAAGCATACAAACTGATCAAAGTTGAACATCTCATCAGCATCAATCATGTTAAATGTGAATCCCATGCCTCTGGATGTTCGAATTTCTGCAAATTCTGGCTGATATTTGCCATTAAATGATGAAAATTGATCACGGAACCAATCAATTTTTGATTCCTCTTTCAAAGCATCAAAGATATGTGGGATATAACTAAAGTCATAATTTGAGTAATATCCAGTGTAAATCTCATTGCAAAAATGAAACTTTGTCAAATTTCTGTGGGTTTGATCTTTTGAGAATTATTTCATAGCTGATTAAACATTAAATTCACCTTATAAATGGTTCTCTTGTTTTCTCATTGTTTAAATACTTTCTTCCATAAAATGGTGAGTTTGCGGAGATCCAAAAGTCTCCTAATAACCACTCTTTGTCAAGTGAAAATTCTGGTACAATTGTGATTGCTGGGAATGGAATCTGTAAAAATGGCTATTTGGATTAAAAACATTTAGTATCAAAGGAACTAGCTACTTCTTCATTAAATCTCAAGTTATCATCATAAGCAATCATTCGACTGTCTGGAACTTTTTCTCGAACACTTGATATCATATGGAAGCAGAAGTTCATAGTGAACATGATGAAGAATGTCCAAAGGATGCTGAAATTTACCTTTTTTAGTCTTATTGATCCTTTTTGAACCTTTCTTACTAACCTTCCAATCCGTGAGAACTCAAAGACATCATTAAATCCATGAATCGATGATTCATTAAAATAAGACAAAAATGAATCGAAAATCTTTAAAATCTTTGACTTTGTCTTAACAACTTCATCTATTGGATAGACTTTAGTGTCAATTTTCTTACACTTTCCAATCACAGCTCGAATTGTGAACCAATAAATCAGCTCAATAAACGACAGTGCTGAAAATCCAGCAAAAAGTCCCAAAATTCCACCAACAAATGACAGAAAATCGAGAGTATCGAACTGCTGCTTGCGGACTAGCTCATTGAAAGCATTGTTCTTATATCTAATCTGACCACCAATTACATTGTACGCTGAATATGACTTTTGGCTGCACATAATTTAAAACAAAATACAAAAATTATTACAAGTTAGAGTTAAACATGACCATTAATATTGAGCAGATCCCTTACTTGTTTATTTAAGCAACAAATTCTCTCAATAACTCCATAATGTACTTACTCAGCAGCTCCATATTCGTTTATTTCATACTCATACTTAACATATTCGCATGGATTGTAACATAAACAAGCACTTTTCTGTTCCTCAAAGTCATTTTCAGCAGTCTTGTAGCAATTTTGCTCATTTGCCGAACAAATTCGAGTCGAAGAATTTCGAATCATGAAGAATTCAACGCAGCCACAACGACTGAGCATGAAATCAGACAGACATTCATTCTCGCAGTTGTTTTTCGTGTAGACTTTGAAGAATTTCAGGACTTTCTCGTTTTCCAGGTAGCAGTTGCGCCTGAAATGGAAGATTTTGAGGTTATGTTGCACTTTGAGATTAGAATCTGAATCTTAAGCAATTTTGAGGTTAGAATCTGAATCTTAAGCAATTTTGAGGTTAGAATCTGAATCTTAAGCAATTTTGAGGTTAGAATTTGAATCTTATGCAATTTTGAGGTTAGAATCTGAATTTTAAGCAATTTTGAGGTTAGAATCTCAATCTCATGCAATTTTGAGATAAGAATCACAATCTTAGGTCACTTTGAGGTTAGAATCTCAATCTTAAGCAATTTTGAGGTTAGAATCTGAATCTTACGCAATTTTTAGGTTAGAATCTGAATCTTAAGCCACTTTGAGGTTAGAATCTGAATCTTAAGCCATTTTGAGGTTAGAATCTGAATCTTAAGCCATTTTGGGGTTAGAATCTCAATCTTAAGCAATTTTGAGGTAAGAATCTGTATCTTAAGCAATTTTGAGATTAGAATCTGAATCTTAAGCAAATTTGAGATTAGAATCTCAATCTTAAGTCACTTTGAGGTTAGAATCTCAATCTTAAGCTATTTTGATGTTAGAATATCAATTTAAAGCCACTTTGAGGTTAGAATCTCAATCTTAAGCCACTTTGAGGTTAGAATCTCAATCTTAAGCCCTTTTGAGGTAAGAATCTGAATCTTAAGCAATTTTGAGATTAGAATCTCAATCTTAAGTCACTTTGAGGTTAGAATCTCAATCTTATGCAATTTTGAGGTTAGAATCTGAATCTTAAGCAATTTTGAGGTTAGAACCTGAATCTTAAGCAATTTTGAGGTTAGAATCTCAATCTCATGCAATTTTGAGATTAGAATCTCAATCAAAAGCCACTTTGAGGTTAGAATCTCAATTTTATGTAATTTTGAATTTTGGGAACTTTTGATTTAAAAATCTTAGATTCAACATCTTTTTAGGTTGAAGCTTCAAAAAAATTTAAATTTTCCATGTTTATAATCAGATTAACTTACTCAGCTGGTTCATAATCATACAGCGACTCGTCAATCGAATTCAATTGTGGCTTAAGATAAATTTGAGTTTCATAATCAGTATTAAGTTTGATCATTTTTGACCTCGCTGTTGGTAGTTCATAAGGATCATGAATTAAAACTGTGAATCCACTAAGACCGTCGTCACCCAAAAGATTTTCACGTAGCAAATATTTTGTTTGAAATCCAATCCACAAGCCTGACTTTGACGTTGAAATTCTTTTTAATTCTTTTGGTGGTTTTTCATGCTTCCACAGTCCTCTTTGGAACTCTTTCATTGCGTAAATGTAGTGAAAGTCATCAGATGTTAAGTTAGCTTCCATTAATTCATGACTAGGTGCAATATTGAATGTAAAACAAAGACCAAATTGAGTAATAATTTCTGATGCATATTGTTGAAACTCATCAATCCATTTGAAGACCAGAGCAAAATAATCGATGAGGAAATCTTTGTCAAACTCATTGATGACGTCAAGGAAGTCATCAGTTGGAATTGTAAGATTTATTTTCTGAAAAGTTCCTCGATTTGTGATCAAATCAATGACTTGAAGGCGTTTTAGACTGAAAAATCAAGTTTAATTTAAAAATGGCGGAAGAATTAAAAGAAAGTTGGTTCTTACAGCTTAATTCCTAGTTTTTGAGCATCAATTGTTCCATTTTCAATCTCTTCTAAAGCCATAACGTAACTGAATCGTTCAAAGTTAATTTCATCTTTTATTTCGTCATTCGATTCTTCTGGTTGATAGTAGTACGTCCTTAATGTGTGCTTCTCAAAGCGAGCATATCGATATCCAACGCCACGTTTACCCAGGAACGGTATAACTGGCTTCAATCGAGGACAAACTGTAAATGCTGGAAAGTTGATCTAAAAATAAAAATCATTAAGTCACTTTGAATTAACTTAAAGTTAAGCTTAACCTGCCTCAGAAACAGCAATCATTTGATCTGATAAATGTGACACAATTGGAACATGTTGAGCCTTAACAATCAGTTCAGCGATTAGCAGTGATGTGCAAATGACTGAAAAGATCAAAGCGAAGATCCAAAAAATTCTGAAAATTGGTTTAAAAGTTAAACGACATCAATTGACATTGAATTTATTTAAATTTACCTTTCAACAAAATGAAACTTCTTTGAAGTATAAAAGAATCCATGAATTGTGGATATTTCTAAATATTTTTGGACATCAAACTTCATTTTTGTTTAAACTTTGACTTTTGAATGCGGAAAAATGTTTATTTTAAAATTGTGTAATTTAAATCAAGCTACAAAATCTACAAAAATAAAAAAACATGCTTTAAAAATTTCCTTTTCATTGAATGTCACTTCCGTGTATGTTTTTCTATTTCATGTAGTCCAGCAAGATCGATCATGTCAAATTATTTCAATCTCACATCTAATCACCCCTCAACACCCTCCACAAATTAACCCCAAGTCGAATTGTAAAAAAGTAGAAAAATTCAACAATTGAAAGCATTGAAATGCCAGCAAAAAGTCCCAAAAGTCCACCGACATAAGAAACAACATCCGAGAATGTAAATTGCTGATATCTTCGGAACAAAACGATGTCGTCCATGTTCATTCTCACATTTATTGTTGTCTCATTCCCACCTGACTCATGCTTTGTATAATAATTGATGTTGTAGCTGATTGAGTTGCACAATGGTAGGCATGAGCAGTTCTGTTCGGGTGAAAAGTCTTCAGATACATAAATGTCACGCTGAAGTTTGCTTAAACACGTGGTCTCTGATCTTGATATGTTCAAGCATATTTGATCGGAATTAATGAATGGCTGATCAATGTCCACACATCCACATTCTTGCATTGTGACCATTGTCAAGCATTCAATCTCGCAGTTCTTTTGAGAATATTTTTTAAAAAACTTCAATGATCTTTCACCATCAAGATAACATTCTCGTTCTTGTGGCTTTAACTTTTTGATATTTTTGTCTATTCTGGTTATTTCTGGAGTGACTGTTATGTCCATTGATGTTCCATACTCGAAAGAAATGAAATCTTTTCTTGCTGTAAAAGTCGGAACAAAGTCAGGATGATGGATTAAAACTGATTGCTTAATGCATCTCCAATATTCTCCATCCGGTCTATGAAGATTAAAAGTGAAGGCTGCATGGTCTAACTTCTTGAATGTCAGTGGATATTTGTGAGATTTATTGAGTTGCTGCAAGTTGCTGGGCATTGTCGTGATGTTTCTGGTGTAATTGAATTCTGAGCTGATCCTGGAGGATGCCTGAGTTAGTAAGAATAGCATTAAGACCCAAAAGGATACTCACTGATCAAAGTTGAACATCTCATCAGCATCAATCATGTTAAATGTGAATCCCATGCCTCTTGGTGTACGAACCTCTGCATAATCTGGTTGATATTTGCCGTTAAATGATGAATATTGCTCACGGAACCAATCAAGTCGTGAATTTGCTTTCATAACCTCAAAGATGTATGGTACGAAGCTGTACTGATATCCATCTCGGTAAGCATTAAAGTCTTCCATGCAAAAATAGAATCGAACGACTTTTCTGAAATTTAAAATGTTTAAGAATTTTGAGGTTAAGTGGATTAGAGGCATGAAGCTTTGATTGTGACAAGGATAAGATACTCATGTCCAAAAGTGCCTTAAAGCCACACATATGATGCAAACCTTTTGTAGTTCTCCCGTGTTGTCTCATTAAAATTATCCTCATATAAAAATGACCGTCCAGTCATCATAAACAAATATTCGGTCACTCTTCCAATGAATGAGAATTGTGGGACAATTGTAATAGCTGGAAATGGAATCTTTGAACAGACTTTGTTGGTTTTGGTCACTAAATTAGATAAATTGATGAAAATGACTTACATTCTCAAGTAGCTTAAAACTGTCATCGTACGCAATAACTCTGCTGTCTGGGACACTCTCTTCAGTGCTAAGGATCAAGTGAAAACAAAATGTCATTGAAGTTAGGATAAAAATGATCCAGAGAAGCCTAAAAACATGAAATAACATTTTAATGGACTTGTAGGTTGACTGTCTAAAGTCAATAGCTTACCGACTTAGTCTTGAGAATTCAGCAATATAAGTCATCCCATGAATTGACGATTCATTTAAATAAGAACTTATAAATCCTTTAATCTTCGATATTTTTGAATTATCTTCTTGATTTTCCACAACAGGATCAACTCTTCTCTTCCTATATTCAGCAATAACTCGAATTGTGAACCAATAAATCAGCTCAATAAACGAAAGTGCTGAAAATCCTGAAAAAAGTCCCAAAATTCCACCGACAAAAGCCATAAAATCAACAGTTGTGAACTGCTTTTTGCGTCCTAAACTGTAAAATTCGCTGTTTCTATATTGAAATTGAAATCCTATGTGAAGGAATGGCTGGCTTGTTTGAGTACTAAACAATTAAAATTAGAATTAAAATTGCAGCAACTTTAAGTACTTTTACTTACTCTGCTAATCCAAATGACTGCATTTCGTACTCATACTTGACATATTCGCATTGCTCAAAACATTCGCAAGAGCTTTTCTGTTCCTCAAAGTCTTCTGCAGCTTTCTTATAGCAGCTTTGCTCATTTGCTGAACAAATTCGAGTTGAAGAATTTCGAATCATGAAGAATTCAACGCAGCCACAACGACTGAGCATGAAATCAGTCAGACATTCATTCTCGCAGTTGTTTTTCGTGTAGATTTTGAAGAATTTCAGGACTTTCTCGTTTTCGAGGTAGCAGTTGCGTCTGAAATTTTAGGAATAAAGGGGATTTTGAGGTTATGTTGATTTATTTTGAGGTTAAAGAGGACAATATGTCCAATTTGCAGGATTAAGATTCAGATTTCAAAATATTGAGGTTAGAATTTTAAACTTTCGTGTTTTGAGGTTAGACTTTGCAAATTTCAAAATATCGAGGTTAGAATCTCAATTTTCTGGTGTTTTGAGGCTAGAATCTCACTTTTTAGGCTTTTTGAGGTTAGAATCTTAATCATGGTCCATTATTAGCTTCAAATCTTGATTTTTTGGGCTATTTGAGGTTAAAATTAAAAATATAAATCCTTTGAAAAAAGGTTTTTGTAATTTAAACGAAACACGAAATTGTTTGAGGTTAAAATCTTGAGTTTCAAAGTTTTGAGGTTATTAAATGTTAATCAATGATTTACAGATTTTTAAGATTTTGAGGTTAAGTCACAAAAAAATGACTTAAACCTTTTGATTAAAAAGGAAAAAATAAGTTAAACTTACTCAGCAGGTTCATAATCGTAAAGGGACTCATCAATTGTCATAATTTGCCCATCAATTAACACTTTTGTCTGCAATTGTTTGTTAAAATTCACAGTCTTCGAGTTCTTCGATGGCAGCTCAAAAGGATCATGAAATATAACCACATATCCATCAAAATCATTATGAATCAGCTCAAAACTTTCTTCATTTTCCTCATTATTACCAAATCCAACCCACAATCCAGCCTTTGATGTCGATACCTTTCGTGGTAATTCATCAGATGGATGTGCATGCTTGAATCTTTTTAATCGTTTATAAATATTTGCTTCTTCATAATGAAAATCTTTTGAGGTTTTGTTAAAGTTTAATAAATCATGACTGAATGCACTGTTAAATGTTCGGCATAGTCCCCACTTAGTAATGACTTCTGTGACGTATTCTTGTGGCTCATAAATCAGATAAAATACAATTGATGAAGTGTCAGGATCAAATTCTTTTTGGAATTGATTCATAACCTCAAAAAAATTATCTGTTGGAACTGAAATGTTGAGTTTTTGGAATATTTTACGGTTCGTAAGGATGTCGATTACTTGAAGTCGCTTTAAACTGTCAAAAATTAATAATTAGACTGAATTTTAAAGAATTTATTTTTTTTACATTTTTTCTCCTAATTCCTAGGGTTTAATGGATGCATTGGCAATGTTGTCTAATATTTCCACATAACTGATGTTCTTCAATCTGATTTCATCGTGAAATTCTTCCATTAATTCTTCATTTTCGTACTCAATCTTCTCTAGATTATGATTCTCATAGCGATGTTTCTTGTCAAATTCGTAGTGGTCAACAGAGAACTTACTCACCATTCGTGGACATATTGTGACTGCTGGGAAATTTATCTAAAATATTTGAAAATGAATTTTGATTAAAATGTTAAATTGTTGCCTTGAAAAGGACCTAAGCCTTAGCTACACTCACCTCCGACACAGGAATTGCCTGATCTGACAAAAATGTGACAATGGGAAAATTTTGAATTTTTACAACAACTTCGACGATCAAAATTGAAGTACAAATTACTGAAAAATTGTATAAATGTAACTGCTGGAAAATTAATCTGCAATTTGAGTTATAATGGAAATTTTTAAGATTTTTTAACTATGCTTCTAGCCTTGCCACAGCAAAGGTTTAGTCGAATTCGAACTAAGCTTACTTCAGACACACCAATTGATTGATCAGACAAATACGAAACAATTGGAGATTTTATTATTTTTACTACAAACTCAATAATCAAGTCCGAAGTATAGATTGTCGAACAAAGCAGCACAATTATCCAGAAAATTCTGAAAATTAAGTTAACGTTTGCGAATAATTCAGACTTTTAAGCACAAACTTACCTCTCAATGGCATGAAACTTCTTGGATATATAGACAAGTCCATGAATTGTTGAAGTCTCAAGATACTTTTGCACATCAAACTTCATGACTTCTTATCAATCCTGAAGTTATGACTGTAATGTTGACCAGAACAGAAGGATTTAGAAACTTTATTGAATTTATAACATTTCAAATTTAATGCATGTTGCTGCTAACATAATATAATATAGTCCTAAAACTGAGTAGTCGCTGTTTATAATCTCAAATCAGATCTAACAACATGAACCTCAGTTAGATTCAAACTGATATAAAATGAACTTGACCTTTATTGAATGACATGTCCCTACTGGCCATATTAAGCAACACTAGCTTCTATTATCTCAATTTGAGATTCTCAACTTCCTTGTCTAAATTACATCTAACCACCCCTCAACACCCTCCATAAATTAACCCCGAGTCGAATAGTAAAAAAGTAGAAAAATTCAACAATTGAAAGCATTGAAATGCCAGCAAAAAGTCCCAAAAGTCCACCGACATAAGAAACAACATCCGAGAATGTAAATTGCTGATATCTTCGGAACAAAACGATGTCGTCCATGTTCATTCTCACATTTATTGTTGTCTCATTCCCACCTGACTCATGCTTTGTATAATATTTGATGTTGTAGCTGATTGAGTTGCACAATGGCAGGCATGAGCAATTCTGTTCTGGTGAAAAGTCAAAAAATGTGTAAAGATCTCGTTTAAGAATGCTTAAACATGTCGGCTGTGATCTTGATATGTTTAAGCACATTTCATTTTGATTGCTGAATGGCTGATTAATGTCAATGCATCCACATCTGTTCATTGTTATGTTTGCCAGGCACTCAACATCACAGTTCCTTTGTGAATATTTTTTGAAAAATTTCAGTGATTTTTCTTTATCAAAATAACATCCTCGTACAGATGGCTTTAAGCTTCTCAGGTATTCTTCAGTTCTGATGATTTCAGGAGTTACAATGACATCGAATTTTGTTCCATATTCAAATCCCATGAAATCCATTCGAACATAAAATGTTGGCAAGTCATCAGAACTGTGAATTATAAACGATTGTTTGATGCAGTTTAAAAGAATTTTTGGAGGCTTTGTTATTATGATTGAAAATTGTATTTCATCTCCTCTGTTGAATTTTAGTGGATAATTGAAGGACTTTAAGATTTGAGTTGAGTTTTCTGATCTTGTTGTGATGTTTCTGGTGTAGTTGAAGTCTGAGCTGATCCTAAAGGATGCTAGAGTTATAAAGAGAGCCATAAAGACCCAATGAATACTCACTGATCAAAATTGAACATCTCATCAGCATCAATCATGTTAAATGTGAATCCCATGCCTCTAGATGTTCGAATTTCGGCAAAATCTGGCTGATATTTGCCATTGAATGATGAAAATTGGTCCTGGAACCAGCCCACATTTGACTGCTCTTTTAATACAGTGATGAGATGTGGAATAAAGCTAAAGTTAAACCTTAAGCTGTATATGTTGAACGATTCCTCACAAAAATTGTATTGTGTCAGGTCTCTAAAAAGGACAATAAATCAGCTAAGCATCTAAAGTCATGAAGGAACACATTTACTTACTTTTTTAATTTTAAAAATGTTTCTTGATTCATTTTTCTCATAATTTTTGGTCCATCCCAGCTTGCCTTAAATGCAGCATTAGCCAATTTATTAGTTATAGAAAATTGTGGAACTATTGTGAATGCTGGAAATGGAATCTGGAACTTTGAGGTTAGGAATTGGTTCTAATGTATTCAATTAAAAGCTTACAGATTCAATTATCTTGAAGTTGTCGTCATATGCAATAACTCTACTGTCTGGGACACTTTGATGGGATCTTAGAATCAAGTGGATGCAACATGTCATCGATATAAGAACGAAGAAAGTCCACAGTATACTAAAATTATTTAATATCTTCAGTTGAGCTTTAAAATTTGTAAAAACTCACTTGATGATCCAAGAAAATTCAGAAATATATCCAAGTCCATGAATCGATGACTGTCTTAAGTATGACTGCGTAAATTTCTTAATCTTTGTCAATCCTTGAACTCTTTCACGAACTCTGGACATCGAATAAACTTTTGTATCTATTCTCTTGACATTTAAAATTATCACTCGAACTGTAAACCAGTAAATAAGCTCGACAAATGAAAGTATTGAAATTCCAGCAAAAAGTCCCAAAATTCCACCTACAAAAGCCAAAAAATCAACAATTGTAAATTGAGTCTTGCGGATGAGTCTAGGAAACACATCTTCTTTATATTGAAGCCGAAATCCGATGGTTAAGTGTGGAAGTAAGGCTTCTAAACTAAAACAAGCAAACAGATCAAATTAAAAATGGTTCTTCTTAATTATTTTATCTTTACTTACTGCGTAAATCCATATTCCTGCTTCTCAAATTTATAATTGATATATTCGCATGGCTGAAAACATTCACAGAAGCTTTTCTGTTCCTCAAAGTCTTCTGCAGCTTTCTTGTAGCAACTTTGCTCATTTGCCGAACAAATTCGAGTTGAAGAATTTCGAATCATGAAGAATTCAACGCAGCCACAACGACTGAGCATGAAATCAGTCAGGCATTCATTCTCGCAATTGTTTTTCGTGTAGACTTTGAAGAATTTCAGGACTTTCTCGTTTTCCATGAAGCAGTTGCGTCTGAAAAAGAGGATTTGAGAAGATTTTGGGGTAATGTTGCTATATTTTGAGGTTAGAATGTAAAAGCTTTCCAAATTTATTGTTTGGTTAGGTTAGAATTAAGGAACTAATTTTGAGGTTAGAATTTTATATTTGTGACTTTTTGAGGTTAAAATTTTAAGCTTGCAACTTTTTTAGGTTAGAGTCTCAATTTTAGAGCATTTTTAAGTTAGAATTTTATGTTTGTGACTTTTTGAGGTTAGAATCTAAAGCTTGTACCTTTTTGAGGTAAGAGTTTCAATTTTAGGACTTTTTGAAGTTAGAATTTTAAGCTTTTTTACGTTCATCATGACAAAATCAACTCACTCAACAGGTTCATAGTCCATCAATGACTCATCAATGGAATTTTGTTGCGGATTAACTTGAATAGTAGTTTGGTACTTAACATTCAGTTGTATAATCTTAGAATTTGCTGAAGGTAACTCGAATGGATCATGCAAGAGTACTGTATATGCCTTAAATGTATTTTTTGCAATTCTATCTTTGTCAGCATACGCAAGACTAATTCCAACCCATAATCCAGCTTTTGATGTTGAGATTGTTTGTGGAAGGTCCTTTGGTGGAGTCTCGTATAGATATGTACTTTGATATGACGGCATTATGTCTTCTTTGGATGAAGCTTGAAAGTGAAAGTCGTCAGAAGTTGAGTTGATGTGCAGGACATCATGACTGAATCCAATATTGTATGTGAAGCACAAGCCCCATTGAGTGACTATTTCCGTTACATATTGTCTTTTCTCATCAATCCAATAAAATACAAATGAAAGAGAGCCTTTAAGAAACTCATTTGATATTTCAAGAAAGTCGTGAGCTGGAACTGAAAAGTTTAGTTTGAGGAAAACCTCACGATTCTCTAAAATGTCGATGACTTGAAGACGTTTAAGGCTGAAAATTTAACACTTTTAAAAATTATTTGTTCAATAATTAAAATCTTTACAGTCTAATTCCTAAATCTTCAGGTTTGATGCTTCCGTTTTCAAGTTTGTCTAGGAATTTTCCATAATCATAGCTGCTTAGTTTCCGTTCATCCACAAACTCTTGTTGCTCTTCCTCAAATTCATAATATGATTTTTTTAAAGTATGCTTTTCGTAATAGTAAGGCTTACTTTGTTTAGAATAAGGCCCACGCGGGATACTAAATGATAATTGTGGGCAAACTGTAACTGCTGGAAAATTAATCTGCAATTTGAGTTATAATGGAAATTTTTAAGATTTTTTAACTATGCTTCTAGCCTTGCCACAGCAAAGGTTTAGTCGAATTCGAACTAAGCTTACTTCAGACACACCAATTGATTGATCAGACAAATACGAAACAATTGGAGATTTTATTATTTTTACTACAAACTCAATAATCAAGTCCGAAGTATAGATTGTCGAACAAAGCAGCACAATTATCCAGAAAATTCTGAAAATTAAGTTAACGTTTGCGAATAATTCAGACTTTTAAGCACAAACTTACCTCTCAATGGCATGAAACTTCTTGGATATATAGACAAGTCCATGAATTGTTGAAGTCTCAAGATACTTTTGCACATCAAACTTCATGACTTCTTATCAATTCTGAAGTTATGACTGTAATGTTGACCAGAACAGAAGGATTTAGAAACTTTATTGAATTTATAACATTTCAAATTTAATGCATGTTGCTGCTAACATAATATAATATAGTCCTAAAACTGTGTAGTCGCTGTTTATAATCTCAAATCAGATCTAACAACATGAACCTCAGTTAGATTCAAACTGATATAAAATGAACTTAACCTTTATTGAATGACATGTCCCTACTGGCCATATTAAGCAACACTAGCTTCTATTATCTCAATTTGAGATTCTCAACTTCCTTGTCTAAATTACATCTAACCACCCCTCAACACCCTCCATAAATTAACCCCGAGTCGAATAGTAAAAAAGTAGAAAAATTCAACAATTGAAAGCATTGAAATGCCAGCAAAAAGTCCCAAAAGTCCACCGACATAAGAAACAACATCCGAGAATGTAAATTGCTGATATCTTCGGAACAAAATGATGTCGTCCATGTTCATTCTCACATTTATTGTTGTCTCATTCCCACCTGACTCATGCTTTGTATAATATTTGATGTTGTAGCTGATTGAGTTGCACAATGGCAGGCACGAGCAGTTCTGTTCGGGTGAGAATGTTTCAATTGTCAATAAATCATGATGAAGCTTTTCTGGACAATAGCTTAGTAATTCTCTTGTGATATTAATACAGATGTCATCAATAGTTGTATATGGCTGATTAACATCAACACATCCACATCTATCCATTGTTATATTTGTCAGGCATTCAATTTCACAGTTACTTTGAGTGTATTTCTTAAAGTATTTCAACTTCTTTTCATCCTCAAAATAACATTCTCGGACTGTTGGATTTAAGTGCCTTAAATTTTTGTCTGTTTTGGTCATTTCTGGTGTGATTGTAACGTCAATGCTGGCACCAGAGTCAAAAGATGCAAACTCCTTTCTAGTACTAAAAACTGGTGAATATTGAGGCGCATGAATCATAAAGGATTGCTTGACACAGTTCATGAATAATCCTGGAATCTTCTTGACTCTTATTGAAAATATTGCTTGACTCTTTCGGTCAAGTCTAATTGGATATTTTGTGATTTTTGTATTAGTTTTTGACTTTGTTGTGATGTTCTTTGTATTGTTGAACTCCGAGCTGATCCTGAAGGATGTTAGGGTTAGTAATAGAGCCGTAGAGACCTAAAGGATACTCACTTCTCAAAGTTGAACATCTCATCAGCATTAATCATGTTAAATGTGAATCCCATGCCTCGGGATGTTCGAATTTCAGCAAATTCTGGCTGATATTTGTCATTAAATGATGAAAATTGATCCTGGAACCAATCAACTTTTGATTCCTCTTTCAACGCATCAAAGATATGTGGGATATAACTAAAGTCATAATTAAAGTAGTATCCAGTGTAAATCTCATTGCAAAAATGAAATTTCGTCAAATTTCTAGGATAAATATTGGAAAAACTATTAAACCTTGAACATAAATTGGTTAAATTAAGTCACAAACCTTTTAAATGGTTCTTTTGTGGTTGCATTATTTAAAAACTTAGTTCCTAGATAAGGAATGTTTGCAATAAGCCAAAATTTACCTAAAAGCCAATTTTTGTCAAGTGAAAATTCAGGAACGATTGTTATTGCTGGAAATGGAATCTGAAAATAAATAATTTTTATTTATCCGGCTTTTCTGTTTCACGATGCACCTTGATGGTAAGTCATGTCGGACACTAGTGTGCCGCGGCACATGGGTTAGCCATCACTGACCCAGACAACGACCCAATTAAACTTCGATGACGATTCTTAGCTTCAACAATCGTACTTTGAGCTACTTACCTCTTCTCTAAACCTTAAATTGTCATCATAAGCAATCATTCGACTGTCTGGAACCTTTTCTCGAACACTTGATATCATGTGGAAGCAGAAGTTCATAGTGAACATGATGAAGAATGTCCAAAGGATGCTGAAATTTACATTTTTTAGTCTTATTGATCCTCTTTGAACTTTCTTACTAACCTGCCAATCCGCGAGAACTCAAAGACATCATTGAATCCATGAATCGATGACTCATTAAAGTATGACAAGAATGAATCAATAATTTTTAAAGTCTTTGATTGTTCCTTAACAGTTTCGTCTATTGGATAAACTTTGGTGTCGACTCGCTTACAACTTCCAATCATGAGTCGAATTGTAAACCAATAAATCAGCTCAATAAACGACAGTGCTGAAAATCCAGCAAAAAGTCCTAAAATTCCACCAATAAATGACAGAAAATCGAGAGTATCGAATTGTTGCTTGCGGACCAAATGGTTAAATACGTTGTTTTTGAATCTGATGTGACCACCAACGGCATTGTATGCGGTATTCGATTTCTTACTGTAAGCAAATAAATGAGTTTGTAGAAATTTACACGAACAAGAAATTACTTACTCTGCTGCTCCATATTCATTGATTTCATATTCAAACTTTACATGTTCGCAAGGATCAAAGCATCCACAAGATCTTTTCAGTTCCTCAAAGTTCTCAGCAGCTTTTTTGTAGCAGCTTTGCTCATTTGCCGAACAAATTCGAGTTGAAGAATTTCGAATCATGAAGAATTCAACGCAGCCACAAAGACTGAGCATGAAATCAGTCAGACATTCATTCTCGCAGTTGTTTTTCGTGTAGACTTTGAAGAATTTCAGGACTTTCTCGTTTTCCAAGTAGCAGTTGCGTCTGAAATTAAGGAAGAAAAGAGATTTTGAGGTTATGTTGCTTTGTTTTGAGGTTAGGATCTCAATTTTATAGACTTTTGAGGTAGAATTTCAATTTTGGACATTTTTGAGGTTAGAAATTTAATCTTGGACATTTTTGAGGTTATAAATTTAATCTGGGACATTTTTGAGGTTAGAAATATAATTTTAGACATTTCTGAGGTTAGAAATTCAATCTTGGACATATTTGAGGTTAGAAATTTAACCCTTGGTTATTTTTGAGGTTAGAAATTCAATTTTGGACATTTTTGAGGTTAGAAATTCAATCTGGGACATTTTTGAGGTTAGAATTTCAATTTTGGACATTTTTGAGGTTAGAAATTAAATCTGGGACATTTTTGAGGTTAGAAATTCAATTTTAGACATTTTTAAGGTTAGAAATTTAATCTTGGTTATTTTTGTGGTTAGAAATTCTGTCTTGGTTATTTTTCAGGTTAGAAATTAAATCTTGGACATTTTTGAGGTTAGAATATTGAATTATTGCCTTTTTTAGACTAAATTCTTCAATAACAACTCACTCTTCCGGTTCATAGTCATACAAAGACTCATCAATAGAATTTAACTGTGGATTAAGGCTTATCTTTGTTTCATAGTCAATGTTAAGTTTGATAATCTTGGACCGTGTCGTTGGCAGCTCAAAAGGGTCATGAATAATGACTCTAAATCCACTAAGTTCATCATATCCAATAAGATTTTCACTGACTAGGCTGAGAATGTTAAATCCAATCCATAATCCAGATTGTGATGTAGCGATTCTTTTTAATTCTTGTGGTGGCTTTTCATGCTTCCATAAACCTTTTTGAAATTCTTTCATTGCATAAATGTAGTGAAAATCGTCAGATGTTAAGTTAGTGTCCATTACATCATGATTAGGTGCAATATTAAATGTAAAGCACAAACCAAGTGGTGTAATTATTTCCGACACATATTGTTGATATTCAGCAATCCATTTGAACACAATGGCAAAGTAGTCACTCAAAAAATCCTTATCAAACTCATTTTTGACGTCAAGGAAGTCATCTGCTGGGATTTTAAGGTTAATTTTCTGAAATATTCCGTGATTTGTGATCAGGTCGATGACTTGAAGGCGTTTAAGGCTAAAAAAATTAAAAAATTACTAGAATTGAGTTAAATTAATCATAAAATCAGTTCCTTACAGCTTAATTCCTAATTTATGTGGATCTAATGTTCCATTCTCAATCTCATCTAAAGCTCTAACATAGCTAAAATCATTAAAACTTGATTCATCCTTTAATTCCATGTCAGATTCTTTAAACTCAAAATAATATGTCCTCAATGTGTGCTTTTCATACCGAGCATATGAATATCCAACACCAAATCGACGTAACCTCATGATTACAGGCTTTAATCGAGGACATACTGTAATTGCTGGAAAGTTAATCTAAAATTGAATGTCTTTAAAGCATTTCCAATTATTAAGCAAATAATACGACTTACCTCAAAGACAGGAATCATTTGGTCCGATAGATATGACACAATGGGAACATTTTGTGCCTTAACAAGCTCAGTGATTAGCAATGAAGTGCAAATGACTGAAAAGATGAGCGTAAATGTCCAAAAAACCCTGAAAGAATGAAATTTTATGAGTTCTGTGTTGAAATCTTAGTGCAGTGTTTTCTCAAACTTTGGTACGCGAAGCTCACTTATTTGGTCTAGTGGCTTTTTAAGCCACACAGCACTTTCTTATTCTAACCTTTCGACAGCATGATATCTCTTAGAGATGTAAGCCAATCCATGAATTGTGGATATTTCTAAATATTTTTGAGCATCAAACTTCATTTTTATTCAAACTTTTATTTTTGAATGCGGAAAAATGTTTATTTTAAAATTGTGTAATTTAAATCAAGCTACAAAATCTAAAATAATTAAAAACATGCTTCAAAAATTTCATTGTCATTAAAAGTCACTTCCGTGTATATTTTTTATCTATTTCATGTAGTCCAGCTTGATCTATCTAATTCAATCTCATGTCTAATCACCCCTCAACACCCTCCACAAATTAACCCCAAGTCGGATAGTAAAAAAGTAGAAAAATTCAACAATTGAAAGCATTGAAATGCCAGCAAAGAGTCCCAAAAGTCCACCGACATAAGAAACAACATCCGAGAATGTAAATTGCTGATATCTTCGGAACAAAACGATGTCGTCCATGTTCATTCTCACATTTATTGTTGTCTCATTCCCACCTGACTCATGCTTTGTATAATATTTGATGTTGTAGCTGATTGAGTTGCATAATGGCAAGCATGAGCAGTTCTGATCGGGTGAAAAGTTTTCTTGTTCATAAAGATCATATTATTATTATTATTATTATTATTATTTATTCAATTAGTTTGAGAAGCCAGAGCATCGCCATAGCTTCATTACATTTTAAACAATGGTACATTTAGTTCCTCTTATCGAGGACACAATTGTGAGTAACAGCGTTTTATAAAAACTTTAAAGTGCTCACAAAGAGGTTCATTACATTTTAACGATATTTTCTAATATAAAAGTTTGAGGTGAATTTATGTTGTGTGTGTTCAGTAGAAAGTTTAATTGAGTTTAATAACAATCAGGAGTAGTGTTTTGTGATTTTAATGCAAATGGTAAGGATAATTTAATTTAATTAATGCATGAATTTGTCAGTGAATTTTTCCTTGTTTTTTTTTTTTTTAACGGAATTTTGATATTTGAAATTTTCGAGGTGAGTTTAGTGGTGGAAAATTTGTTGTTTATGTTTTCATTTAGTGTTTTGAATAACAAATTAAAATAAAAGAATTCCAACGATGTCAGTCAAATAATCAAGTTGCAACAGATCTAAAATAGCTGGATAAGGATGTCAAGCAACAGTAAATCGTTCCAATTTAATCCAGTAAGCTTTCAAATATAGATAATTATTTTCTGTTTGTTTTCCTTTCTAGGCAATTATGTATTTTTTCGTGTATTGACCCCAATGTTAGCAAACAGAAATAAAAAGGTTCTTATTCTTCGAATTTCGAATTTTCGAGGTTCTTATTTTTCGCAATTCAAAATTTCGAAGTTCTTATTTTCAAAAATGAACGTTAAAAGTCCTTATTTTTCGAGTAATTGTTTACATTCGCGAAAATTACTAAATTTAATCAAAATGGGCAAAAAGTGCTGTATAAAGCAATGCAAAAGTGCTAAAAGTGATAAGAAACTACATCTTTTTGAACTTCACAAGCTGTCATATCATTCAGATCGATGGATTTCATTTCTAAAAGAAAATAAAGTTCCGTACGCTGAAGATAAAAAATATTTTATATGTGAATTACACTTTAGGGACGATATGATAGCGAGAAATTCAACAAGAATGAGACTAAAGAATCATGCATATCCATCAACAGTAAGCTATCTCCCATTTCTTATTTAATAATGTTGTTTTGACTTTTTCATATATTTTCTTTTAATATTTAAGTCCGTCAACAAAACTGTTCTTAGCAAGATCTTAATTCGCAGGCGTATCGATAAGAACAATAATGTAAGTGACAATTCGACTGGCTTAGCTGAAAATTTGGATCAAGAAAATGTAGATCAGGAAAAACCAAAAATTAATGTTACTTCAGATATTTCTTATTCTGAACCATTAATTACATTATTATACAAACAAATTGCTGTATTGACTGTAGAATTACAAAATGAGAAGGATCGTACAACGGAATATAGGCTTAAATACGAGAAAGTTCTTTGTGAACTTGAAGAATTGAAAACTGCTGTTAATAAATTTATTAGCAATGACCAGCTTCAGCTAATGAAAGGCAAGCAAGTTAAGAAGTGGAGCAACGAAACAATACAAAAGTCAATAATTCTTAAGCAGTTAGGAGGAAACAAAGGACTAGATTTTTTAAGGGCTTTTGTTGTTCCAGTTGTATCGTCTCGTGCATTAAACAATATTATAAGTGAACTTCCATTTTATCCAGGAATCGCTTTTTTCAATATAAATATTTTAAAAATGCTAACAGATAATTTTCTGCCGTTCCAATTAAGAGCAGACATTAAAATTGATGAAAAATCGTTGATTCCGGGAAGATCTTATAATCATTCAAACAGTGAATATGTTGGATGCGTGACGATCCCAAGCTCAGAAGAACTAGCAAAAAATGTTTTTGTCGCATATTTGACTTTAATGAATATCCGAATTAAAATGTTAGTCGGCTTTCAATTTACGGGTCAGTCATTTGATGGAAATTTAATGAAAATATTTTTATGTGACTTAATTAGCACAATTGAAGCAAGCACCAAAATTAAAGTTGATGTCATAACTACAGATATGGGACCAAGTAATTGTTCGCTTGCTAAATCTTTTGGCTTGAGTTCGAAAAAATACAGTCGTGATTGTTACACTGAACATCCTGTAGACAGTTCACGTAAATTATGGTTTAATTTTGATCCCACACATAACGCAAAAAATTTAGCAGGAGGTTTGAGACGATATGATATCACAATACCAGATTTTATAATTTCAAAATACAATTTAACATCAAAGATAGCAAAATTCCAGGATGTTAAGAAATTATTTAATGCTCAGTCTAAAATGATATTTAAACCTGCACCATTATTAAAAAAAGAAGTCATTAAACCTGATCATTTTGAAATTATGAGAGAATCCACAGCATTTAATTTGTTTAGTGATGAAGTATCATATGCCATTGATTTTTTGAATTCTTCATCAATAATTGAAAATATGTTACACGATAATTTGGAATTTGATTGTCCATTAAGCGCGACATCATGGCTACTAAAATTTTTCAACAAGTATTCTAATTTAATGCTTAAATTTGTTTGGACACCACAAAATTATGAGGAATATTCAGATTGGCTTATAAATGAAGCAGTGCCTGTAATGGAATCATTGAAGTTTGATAATGCTTATTTAAGATCTACAACTGGAGCTGTGATTAATATTTTTACAACAGTCGATATTATAAGGCTATATTTTAATGAAGGAATGGAATCATTTAAAGCGGAATGGCTTTCAAGCAATGCAATTGAAAATTTTTTCTCACAAGTAGTGCATTATTCAAAAAAGCCATCAGCTCTTAACTTTATGCAGGCTGCGAAATCACTTTCTTTGTGTAATTTTATGGAACGTACACTTGATACAAAAATTTATCCATGGAGTGTAGAAAATGTTTCAACATGCTCTCAATTTCTTAAAATATTAAGGGAAACTGCTAAAGATACGACTAATTTAGATGATCAAGAAAACAGTTTTTCATTGGATGTTCCCCAAGAAGTTACATGGAAATCTTTATTTAAGAGTAATTTGGAGTTTAATTCGTTCTGCTTATCAATGAAAAAACTTATTTTTAAGTTAATAGCAAAAGTAGATTGTGATGGATGTAAATCGAAATTTATGGAGTTTTCGCTAAATCCAATTGAAGGAAATTTGTTGTCGTACATCCATGAAAAGTCTCCTTGGGACATTTCTATAGAAGTTCAATGTTTTTTTGTGGCTATGGAATATATTTATAGAGAAATCAAGAAAAAAACCTCAACATCAAGTGCCATATTTAAAAAAACATTCGCTGAAACAATTTATACTCAATTAGACATTCTTTTTGAACATTGCTCGCTAACAGTAAACATGTTGATACAAATGTTTGTTTGTTTTCGGCTTAAATTAGATAATCACTGCCGTGAAATTCATAGAAGAAATAAGTTTTCTTCTAAATGTAACTGAATAAAAATATTCAAAAAATAACGAACTTTTTTATTTCAAATTTTCCAAACTTCTCTGATCTTCGAAAAAATTCAAAAAAAAATTGTTTTAACGGTTGTGATTCTGTTTGCTAACATTGGTATTGACCATTAAAGCACAATTCGATGAATTCCTCATTCCGTATGCTGCATTTTAGTGCCCACTTGAAGGCGTGTACGTGTGGTAAGTGTTTGATATCATCGCTTATGCTATTAAAGATATTTACAGCATAACATGAGATTCTTTTCTTTCCGCTTTTTGTTCTAGAAATAGGCTTCAACAGCTTTCCATTATCTTTTGTTCTTTTACTTCCAGATGCCTTACTGAATGTGATATTGGAATGGATATTTTTCTTAAGGTTGTTGTACACAAATGCTGCTGTATTCACAAAGTGTATTGCACGTAACGGAAGACAGTTTTGGACTTTATGGGTGTACATTTCTACACATATTGCAATAGATTAAAGCAATAATCTATACCTTTAGTCGATATGTTAAGACAAATGTCATTCATTGACTCAAATGGCTGAGTTATGTCTACACAGCCGCATGCATTCATTGTTATATTCGTAAGGCATTCAACCTCGCAGTTCTTTTGAGAATATTTTTTGAAGAACTTCAGAGATTTTTCATTTTCAAAGTAACAACTGCGAAGTTCTGGCTTTAATCTTCGAAGAATTTTATCAGTTTTGATGATTTTTGGAGTCACGATAATGTCAATTTCAGCGCCATGTTCAAATCCAATAAAATCATTTTGTGAACTAAATGTTGGGAGATATTCAGAACTGTGTACAAGAATGGATGGCTTCTTGCAATTGTTAACAATTTCGGAAGGTTTTGTTAGTTTTATTGAAACAGAAGCTCTGTCTAATCTGATGAATGTTAAAGGATTCTGAGCTGTTTGTGGTATTTTTGATAGATTTGATGATCTTGTTGTGATGTTTCTGGTGTAGTTGAACTCTAAGCTGATCCTTGAGGATGTCTGAGTTAGTAACGGGAGCATAAAGACTCAAAGGATACTCACTGATTAAAGTTGAACATCTCATCAGCATCAATCATGTTAAATGTGAATCCCATGCCTCTGGATGTTCGAATTTCAGCAAATTCTGGCTGATATTTGCCATTAAATGATGAAAATTGGTCGCGGAACCAGTCAATTTGTGAGTTTTCTTTCAACATGCTAAATAGGTACGGCACAAAACTTAATTTATAGCCATTACTGTATCCTGTGAAAGTCTCGTAACAAAAATGAAACTTTGTTAAATTTCTGAAAAACATCATTTGTTAGTCTAAAGAACATTACAGCATAAATGACACATAAATGTACCTAATGAATGGCTCTCTGGTTGTCTCATTTTCCATCTCAGCTTTCCCATGTTTTGATGCTATAGCTTTAAAGTAGAAGTCTCCAATAAGCATTCGCGTAGGAATTGAAAAAGTTGGAACCAATGTGATTGCCGGAAATGTAATCTAAAATTTCAAATTCAAATTTAAAATAGGAGGATTGTTAGGGGTCGTCCCTATCATTACCCCCCCCCCCCCCCTTTCCCCCTAGACATTGCCGCTTGTACCTTGATATCATAAACTTACCCACACGCCTTTAAATTCATTTCTTGTTACTTACATTCTGTACCGATTTAAAATCATCATCATAAGCCACCATTAGACTATCCGGAACCTTCTCCTGAGCATCCATTATCAAATGAGAGCAACAAGTCATAACAACCAGCACAATTAGCATCCAAATAATACTGATTAAAATTGGTCAGAATGAAAGATCAAAAGTTCAAAACCTTAAAATTAATCATCACACCTGCCAACTTTAGGAAATCCAGTAATGTAGCCAAATCCATGAATCGATGACTCTTTCAAGTATGAATTAATTATTATCCTTTTTTGTGAGCCTTCTTGTGCCTTAAATTCTCTTATCGAGTGCACTTTACTGTCAGGTTTCCTCGAATTATCAACAAAAACTCGAACCGTGAACCAATAAATAAGCTCAACTAAAGAAAGAAGCGAAAATCCAGCAAAAAGTCCCAAAACTCCACCAACAAATGATAGAAAGTCAAGCGTTGTGTACTGCTTCTTGCGGACGAGTTGATTGAAAACATTGCTTTTGTATTGAAAATAAAATCCACTTGTTAGGAACGTGCTAGACCTGCCAGTACTAAAATTTAGAATTTATTGGAAGGCTTATAATTAATTTAACTTTATTATTTGAGTTATTCTTACCCTGCAGGGCCATGATCATGATACTCAAAGTTATAATTGATATATTCGCAAGGCTGAAAACATTCACAGAAGCTTTTCTGTTCCTCAAAATCTTCTGCAGCTTTCTTGTAGCAACTTTGCTCATTTGCCGAACAAATTCGAGTTGAAGAATTTCGAATCATGAAGAATTCAACGCAGCCACAACGACTGAGCATGAAATCAGTCAGACATTCATTCTCGCAATTGTTTTTCGTGTAGACTTTGAAGAATTTCAGGACTTTCTCGTTTTCCAGGTAGCAGTTGCGTCTGAAATTGAGGTTAAAATTTCGATTTTGAATTTTTTTGAGGTTAGAATCTTAAGTTTGTGTCATTTTGAGGTTAAAATCTTAAGTTTAAGTCATTTTGGGGTTAAAATCTTAAGTTTATGTGATTTTGAGGTTAAAATCTTAAGTTTGTGTCATTTTGAGGTTAGAATCTTAAGTTTGTGTCATTTTGAGGTTTGAATCTTAAGTTTGCAACTTTTTGAGGTTATAATCTTAAGTTTGTGACTTTTTGAGGTTAGAATCTTAAGTTTATGACATTTTGAGGTTAAAATCTTAAGTTTGTGTCATTTTGAGGTTAGAATCTTAAGTTTGTGTCATTTTGAGGTTTGAATCTTAAGTTTGCAACTTTTTGAGGTTATAATCTTAAGTTTGTGACTTTTTGAGGTTATAATCTTAAGTTTGTGTCATTTTGAGGTTTAAATCTTAAGTTTATGTCATTTTGAGGCTAGAATCTTAAGTTTATGTCTTTTTGAGGTTAAAAGCTTAAGTTTGTGTCATATTGAGGTTAAAATCTTAAGTTAATGTCATTTTTGGGGTTATAATCTTAAGTTTATGTCATTTTGAGGTTATAATCTTAAGTTTGTGTCATTTTGAGGTTAGAATCTTAAGTTTGTGACTTTTTGAGGTTAAAAGCTTAAGTTTATGTCATTTTGAGGTTAAAAGCTTAAGTTTGTGACTTTTTGAGGATAGAATCTTAAGTTTGTGACTATTTCGTTTGATTCAAGCTCTTTCATGTTCATCATGATTAAATCAACTTACTCAGCAGGTTCAAAATCAACAAGCGATTCATCAATCGAGTTCATTTGAGGTTCAATTAGTATTTTAGTTTGAATTTTCAAACTTGTTTCTGCCATTTCAGAACTTTTTGATGGCAACTCAAATGGATCATGAAATAAGCTAACATATCCATCAGCATTTCCACCTATGTATGGAGCGAGCTTATTAAAGCCAACCCATAATCCAGCATTTGCCGATGAAATACTTTTTGGTGAAACTTCCAACGGCTGATTTGGCATCGCTTTAATTGTTAGCTTTCGAATTGTGTTTTGATAATGAAAGTCTTCAGAAGTTGAGTTAAAGTTCAATAAATTATGACTGAATGCAATATTGTATGTAAAGCACAAGCCCCATTGGGTGATAATTTCTGAGATACGGTGTCGATATGTTCCAATCCAGTAAAATACAATTGAAAAAACATCATCAAATTCCTTGTCAAACTCATTGATGACGTCAAGAAAATCGTCTGTTGGAACTGAGAAATTTAATTTGTGAAAAGTTCCACGATTTGTGATCAGATCGATGACTTGAAGGCGTTTAAGGCTGCAGAATGGTGGAATTTTTAATCAATAGTTTTATATAAACAAGATCTTACAGTTTTGAGCCTAGTTCTTCAGGTTTAATGCTGCCATTCTCAATCTTGTCTAAGAAATCGACATACAGAATGTTCCCGAACTTCCTTTCATCTTCAGTTTCTAGCAAATATTCTTCATTTTCATAAAAAATCTTTCTAAGTGTGTGCTTCTCGTAGTATCCGAAACTTTTTTTTTCCTTTAGCAAGCTTGTTTTAAAACTTGGACACACAGTGACAGCTGGAAAATTAATCTGGGAAAAGTATGGAACAAGAATGTGGAGCTGATCATCAGAGACTTAGACAGAGAGCTTAAAGACTTAACTTAATGACGTTAAGTTTAAAAATCCAATTTGATTCAATTCAGAAAAACATTATTCAACAAACCTTAGACACAGGCACTGACTGATCAGATAGATAAACTAGAATTGGAACATTTCGAATTTTTGTGACAATCTGAACGATCAAAACTGAAGTAAATGTGGCAGAAGATGCCAAAGCACAGATCCAAAAAATCCTGAAATTAAATTAACAAAAATTAATTCACAAATTTAATTTTTTCGATTTTTTACTAAGTCAACCTCTCAATAAAATGATATTTTCTTGAAATGTATGCAAAACCATGAATTGTTGAAGTTTCTAAATATTGCTGCACATCAAACTTCATAGCTACTAAGTCAGCGTTGCTTAAACTGTTCACAATCATAATTTATGCAAAAAAAAAAATATAAAAGTTGTTGCATGTTGCACAGTTTTGAGTTAAAAATAGTATAAAGCTATCTAATTTGACAAATCTACAAGATCCTTGAGCTAGTTATAAGTCAAATGCGATTTTTAAATAGAAATTGTTAATTTTAACACAAGCTTGATCTTCAGCCTTTGATTAAAAGCCAATGGGTGCCTACAACAATGTAGACCGTTATTTTTTCTAAAATTCAAACCTGTTTCGAAAAAATTCGAAAAATAATTTTTTATAAAAAATTTTGAAATTTTAAAGACCGTTAAATTTATTTATGAACAAAAATCAATTCTTCGAAGCAAATTTGTTTTTTGAATATAACAATCGACAATGAAGCTCAAGTTTTGATCGAAAAGTTACAAAAAATAATATTAAATTTTCAATAGTCTTTGAACAATGCTCAAATGGAATTTCAACCTGACTAAGAACAATATCTGAAAATTTTGTCTTGAATGTGTTACGATCACTTACAGCAGAAATCTCACTTCCGTCGACACTTATGTTGTTTGATTTTAAAAATAACAACCATTTATCTTTGTTTAATGAGTGCTTAGGTACTTTAAAAAGATTTGTAATTGTTTTATTTTTGTTGCAGCTTGCAATTTTGCAGGTTTTACCCATAATTAATGAAAATTAATCAAAATTTTACTGATGTAAACAAATATAATTTTTTGATGAAATATTTTTAACGGAATTTCATTTTTTGAAAAAAATTCAAATTAGAATTTTCGATTTCGAAGAATAAGGACCATCGGCACCCATTGGATTAAAAGTACAATTTAATCTAGAAATTTCTTAGTTTTCTCTCCACAAATTAACTCCCAACCGAATTGTAAAAAAGTAGAAAAATTCAACAATTGAAAGCATTGAAATGCCAGCAAAAAGTCCCAAAAGTCCACCGACATAAGAAACAACATCCGAGAATGTAAATTGCTGATATCTTCGGAACAAAACGATGTCGTCCATGTTCATTCTCACATTTATTGTTGTCTCATTCCCACCTGATTCATGCTTTGTATAATATTTGATGTTGTAGCTGATTGAGTTGCACAATGGCAGGCATGAGCAATTCTGTTCGGGTGAAAAGTCAATGAATGTGTAAAGATCTCGTTTGAGATTGCTGTTGCAAGTTGAGTCAGCTTTTGATATGTTTAAACAAAATTCATTTGGATTGCTGAATGGCTGGTTAAAATCTACACATCCACAATTATCCATTGTTATGTTTGCTAAGCATTCAGCTTCGCAGTTCTTCTGAGAATATTTTTTAAAATATTTCAGTGATTTTTCACCATCAAAATAACATTCTCGTTCTTTTGGCTTCAATCTCTTTAAATACTCAACAGTTCTAATGACTTTAGGAGTCACAATCACATCGATAGCTGCTCCACTATCAAAAGCCATGAAATCCATTCTGACATTAAACGTTGGCAGATCATCAGATGTGTGAATGATAAATGATTGCTTGATGCAGCTTACTTGAGTTGCAGGCGATGGAAATAGCTTGATGGAAAATTTGACTTGATCATCTTTATTGAATTTTATTGGATATTTGATAGATTTTGGGATTTGAGTTGAGTTTTCTGACTTTGTTGTGATGTTTCTGGTGTAGTTGAAGTCTGAGCTGATCCTGAAGGATGCTAGAGTTATAAAGAGAGCCATAAAGACCTAAAGGATACTCACTGATCAAAGTTGAACATCTCATCAGCATCAATCATGTTAAATGTGAATCCCATGCCTCTGGATGTTCGAATTTCTGCAAATTCTGGCTGATATTTGCCATTAAATGATGAAAGCTGCTCACGGAACCAATTAATCTTTGAGTTTTCTTTTAAAACAGGAATCACGTAAGGAACGCAACTAAAGTTGAAATTCAAATTATAAGCATAAAACACTTCCTCACAAAAATTGTAATGCGTCATGTTCCTAGAAGGCAAAAACTAAGATTCGTAAGGATCTTCGACATAATGATCAAGATTAAAATTTACTTCTTAAATTGAATTAATGTTTGTGAATCCATATTTCTCATAATCGAAGGTCCATCATAAATATTCCAGTACATTTCAGCAACAAAAAGTGGAGTTCTAGAATATTGTGGAACTATTGTGAATGCTGGAAATGAAATCTACAATTTTGAGGTTAGGAATTGGTTCTTATAAGCTCAACTAAAAGCTTACATTTTCAATCATCATAAAATTATCATCGTAAGCAATCACACGACTATCTGGGACACTCTCTTTTGTGCTCAAAATCATGTGCAAACAGAAAGTCATCGATGTGTAGACGAAGAAAGTCCACGGAATGCTAAAATTATTAAGGAACTTCAATTGAGCCCTAAAATCAGTTCAAAGCTCACCTGCTGATCCAAGAAAACTCAGAAATATACCAAAGTCCATGAATTGATGACTCATTCAAGTACGACTGCGATACTTCTCCTACTAAAGTTAGCTTCGAGTTGATATCCTGTACAAGACCCAATGAATGTACTTTCGTGACATGCTTCTTTCGATTTTTGGTAAAAACTCGAACCGTGAACCAATAAATTAACTCAATAAATGAAAGAACTGAAAATCCAGCAAAAAGTCCTAAAATTCCGCCAACGAAAGCCAAAAAGTCAACAAATGTAAACTGCTGCTTACGGATGAGTTCAGTAAAAATATCTTCTTGATATTGCAATCGAAAGCCGGTAATAGAATATGAAATCATTGCTTTTATGCTGTAAATATGAAAATTAACACAATTAAACTCCTTATTGATGCTAGTAAATTAACGTACTATGAGTATCCATAATTTTGTTTTATAAAGTCATACTTGACATAGTCACAAGGATTAAAGCAGTCGCAATAGTTTTTCTGTTCCTCAAAGTCATCAGCAGCTTTCTTGTAGCAGCTTTGCTCATTTGCTGAACAAATTCGAGTTGAAGAATTTCGAATCATGAAGAATTCAACGCAGCCACAACGACTGAGCATAAAATCAGTCAAACATTCATTCTCGCAGTTGTTTTTCGTGTAGACTTTGAAGAATATCAGGATTTTTTCGTTTTCCAGGTAGCAGTTGCGTCTGAAATTTAAGATTTGTGAGATTTTGAGGTTAAGTTGATTTATTTTCAGGTTATGTTGCTGTATTTTGAGGTTATGTTGCTGTGCTTTAAGGTTATGTTGCTGTATTTTGAGGTTATGTTTCTGAATTTTGAGGTTATGTTTCTTAATTTTGAGATTATGTTGTTGTGTTTTGAGGTTATGTTTCTGAATTTTGAGGTTATGTTGTTGTATTTTGAGGTTATGTTGCTGTGCTTTGAAGTTATATTGCGGTGCTTTAAGGTTATGTTGCTATATTTTAAGGTTATATTGCTGTGCTTTAAGGTTATATTGCTGTTTTTTGGGGAAATGTTTCTAAATTTTTTAGGTTATGTTTCTGAATTTTGAGGTTATGTTGTTGTATTTTGAGGTTGTGTTGCTTTGCTTTGAGGTTATATTGCTGTGCTTTAAGGTTATGTTGCTGTATTTTGAGGTTATATTTCTGAATTTTGAGGTTTTGTTGCTGTATTTTGAGGTTATGTGGCTGTGATTTGAGGTTTTGTCAGGCTACAACAATGTTTCTCAAACTCTGCTCGGCGACCTAAAGGGTTTGAAAATTTTTGAGGTTATATATAGCTTACTCAGCAGGTTTATAATCCGTCAGTGACTCATCAATTGAATTTTGTTGTGGTTTAATCCAAATTGTCGTTTGATACTTAATATTAAGCTCAAATATCTTAGACTTTGATGATGGCAGCTCAAATGGATCATGTAAAATTATTGTATGCTCTTCAAATGTATTATTTGCTATTTTCTTGATATCATCTACATGAAGATTAAATCCAACCCACAATCCAGCTTTTGATGATGAAATCATTTGTGGCAGTTCCTTTGGTGGATGATCAAAGCGAAATGTTTTTTGGCTAATCACTGGCACATCGCGTTTTAAAGCAACTTGATAATGAAAGTCATCAGATGTTGAGTTGGTGTGCAGTAGATCATGACTGAATGCGATGTTGTATGTGAAGCACAAGCCCCACTGTGTTATGATCTCTGATGCATATCCTTTGTACTCATCAATCCAAAAGAATGCAATTGACATCGAGCCAGGAAAGAACTTTTTCTTAAACATATTCAGAATTTCAAGAAAATCGTCAGTTGGAACTGAAAAGTTAAGTTTGTGGAATATATTGCGATTCTCAATGATGTCCATGACTTGAAGGCGTTTAAGTCTGAAAATTAGTAATTTTTAATTTTTAGGAGTTTTAAATTTTTTTTTTAAAGTTTTACATTCGAATATTCAATTCCTGAGGTTTTATGCTTCCATTTTCCAGCCTATCCAAAAAGTCTCCATAACTTATGTTCCCAAATTTCCTTTCATCCATAAACTCAATCATCTCTTCCTCATATTCATAGTAAAGCTGCTTCAGTGTGTGATTCTCATAAAAGTAATTCTTCCGATTTTTGGAATAGGATCCAAGTGGAATTCGATACTTCATTCGTGGACATACTGTAACAGCTGGAAAGTTGATCTGCAATTTAAATAGGAAACTTAACTTACTGCCAGGGCCTAGCCAGGAGGGTCAGGACCTTCTCTCAAAAAAATGTCGAGCCATGCTCTTGCTGCGGTCCACACCCTCATTCGCACAGACATAGACAAAACTAACCTCAGATACAGCCATTGACTGATCAGACAGGTACGAGACAATAGGAAATTTTCGAACCTTTATTATGTATTTAGTAATCAATATTGAGGTGTAGATAGTCGAACAAAGCAGCACAAAAATCCAGAATATTCTGAAAATTAATTTAAATGTCAACAATTGCCATTAAAACTTTAAAACCTTGATTAACCTCTCAATAGTATGAAATCTTTTAGATATGTACACAAGTCCGTGAATTGTTGAAGTCTCAAGATACTTTTGCACATCAAATCTCATGACTGCTTGTCATAGGCAGCAATAAATAAAGCAATAATTTTTAATATATTTTATTGACATAATTTTATTGCATGATTCTGCTGACATGTGAAGATCAAAATCATGTTGAATCTAAACATTAAATATAGACACGACTTTAGCTCGACAGCATTACCGTGTTGATGATTAGACATCATTAGATCAGTGATGGTCAACCCATGTGGCACGGTACACTTACGAAAAATTTGAAAAATCTCAAGAACCGTTTATTGTGCACGGTTTTAGCCATGTTGCATCATTAATATGTGCCGTGAATACAAAGGTTGGACACCACTGCATTAAAGACTTTAAAGTTCTCAGTAGTGTCGTGATGAATGTTTTTAAGGGCATAAAATAGTGATTAATTGCTCCAACCTTTTCTAACTGTTTAGCTATGCTCGTTATGAATGAAAAGCTTAGGCTGATGAGAGGATTGAAACTCAAAGATGGTAGATTGATTCCTCACAACAATTTTGACTCATTACTAACCTGAATGGCACAAGTCGGTTAATTAATCAGAAATTTGGCACCAAGCTGGTGTGACTCTGGTATGGTGCTGGATTTATATCGAAGTCAGCACCATGCCAGAGTTATTCTGGCTAGGCACCGGATTTCTATTTGATTAACCGACTTGTGCCATTCGGGTAACCCAGAAGCCACCTAATAATGATCCATTAACTGCTAATTGTCAAACTTTTAATCTAGTTCCATTAATCTTACTGACTAGATTATTTGTGTCTATTAATTGCTGTCCATCAAAACATCTAATTAGCAATTGAACAACAGCTTCTCCAATAATCAAAATAAATTGTTGTTTTAAAAATAATTGAGTTGAAGCTTTGTGACTTTCTGAAATTGTCAATTAGACTGTATCTGTGCTGTTAACTGTAAAGTTGAAAATTAATTTTTTTGAAAATTATTGAAAATTTAAACGAAACGCATCAAAAAATTCTAAAAGCTATTTTTTCTCTTCAGATTGAGCAAGAAGAAACCCACAAAATTAACCATGAAGACTGTTTGTGTCATTCTTCTTGCATTCCTGTCCATTGGAGCTGCTTCATCCTATCAAATTGGTCTCGGTCGAGCTGATGTGACTGGTCCAAGTGTCGAAATTGCTTTTGTAAGTTTATAGGATTATTTAGAACAGTATTGTCCAAACTTTTTAAACCAGGGCCGGGGGAAAACCACTTCGTGGAAAAAAAATCATTTTTGATCCAAATTAGCTCGACTTGAAACACTGAAGGTTATAAGCTCTAGAGCAGAAAAATTGAAAAAGATTGGTTCACATAGTATTGTCATTCTGCCAGTTCCAATGGCAAAGCCCGATAGCTTAAAGGTCTGAGCACTTGACCGGCAATCGAGAGGTGAAAGGTTCGATTCCTGCTCGCGACGAACCATTGAGTGAATTTCTTTGTTCTCAACAATTTTTAATATTTGTATGTAACAAGCAAAAATCTTGTTGAACCTTAAAGTTCTTTCATTTAGTAAGTTCCATCAAGTAGTCTTCCCCCTGGCCGCTTCACAACTTAAAGTAAGCTATGATCAAACTCGCATACAGCATACGGCTCGTGTCTTTATAAATAAAACAGTTCGAACAACACTGATTTAGAAGGTTTAAGACAGGTGTTCTCACACTATGGTCCATGAAATGCTAACGCAGTGGTTCTCAAACTATGACATTCTAATATTAGACTGAAAAATACTAAAATTGTTATAAGACTTTTTAGACTCAGTAATAAGGAGTCGAGACAAGTCTAAAAAGCTTTAAAAAGAGTTGAGAACCACTGCATTCCGAAATAAAATTTATCTAATTTCACTAATCAAAATTAGATGGGCTACGCACAACTTAACCAACGTGGTCACGGAATTCACACCCGACTTTATGCCAGAACATTTATTGTTGAAGATGAGAGGAAAAGTCGTGTCGTCTTTGTCAGCGTTGATGCTGGAATGATCAGTCATGCTGTTAAACGCAATGTCATTCGTGAATTGCAAAAGAAATTTGGAGCTACTTATCGTTATGATAATGTGATGATCTCTGGGACTCGTGAGTATATCTAGTCTTCCTTAATTTATTCTATACTTTTCTGAGCTACCTTAATGGCTCCTCATGTCGATTCCTCATTAAACTACTTTTTTTTTTCTCAATAGACACCCACAGCGGCCCAGCCGGTTTCCACATGTTTGTACTCTATGACTTGACAGCTCTAGGCTTCGTGTCTGAGACTTTCTATGCCTTAGTCAAAGGAATCACACAATCAATCATAAATGCACACAACAATATGAATGAAGGTCGAATTTTCTTATCAGAAACGGAAATTTATGATGCAAACATCAACAGATCACCAATGTCTTACAACAATAATCCGGAACAGGAAAAAGCTCAGTACAAGGATAATACTGATAAGAAGCTTATTCAGTTGAGGTTCATGGATAAGAACAATAAGAATGTGATGGGAGCTTTTAATTGGTTTGCAGGTAAGTTTGCTCACTTGTGTACCTTGCTGTTTATGAGTGGATATCCCCTAAAATAAATCACTTATTGTCTCTTATTTCAGTCCATCCAACATCAATGAACAACACCAATAAGTTCGTCTCATCAGATAATGTTGGATATGCTTCGATATTGCTGGAACAAGAGTACAATAAGGACAGTATGGTTGGAAAAGGAAGCTTTGTTGGAGCTTTCTGTTCAGCTAACTTGGGTGATGTGTCTCCAAACATTATGGGACCTAAATGTGCTGTAAGTATAGACTTGAATGAATAGGAACCTTTGCTTGGGATTGATCCTTCGACCAGGATAAACCCTAACCCAATCTATCCTCATTAAAACTTCATTTAAACTCCAATTCACAGATCTCTGGCTTATCATGCGATCCACTTACATCAGCATGTCCCAACAAAGACATTTGCTTTGCATCTGGTCCCGGACGTGATATGATGGAAAGTACAAAGATCATTGGCACTAGAATCTATCGCGGTGCATCAAAACTACTCTCAACTAGAGTTGGACGTGAAATTACAGGACCTGTGGCATTTATTCATCAATTTGTCGATATGCCAAAGCAAGCTGGAGTTTACTTCAATCCAAAAGTGAAGAGAGCTGAGAACTATACTGGATGTTTACCGGCAATGGGGTACTCGTTTGCTGCTGGAACAACAGGTTGGTTTTACTTGAGTTTTCTGGTTAATTTTCGGCCATTTTGTATTCTTAAACTTCACCATTTTGAATTTTTATGTTCACCATTTTGAATTTTCATTTCAACCATTTTGAATTTTTAAGAGCCATTTTGTTTTTGTTTCCTCTCAAATTTAATTACACGCTTTTTTTCTTTTATTACTTTTAGACGGCCCAGGAGCATTTGACTTCCAACAAGGCACAGTCAGTGACAACGACTTCTGGAACACAGTTCGTGACTTCATAGCAGAACCAACTCTATGGGATAAGCAATGTCATGGCGCGAAACCAATTCTTCTAGCAACTGGACGTGCTGCATATCCATACCATTGGCAACCATCAGTTGTTCCACTTCAGCTCTTTGCAATCGGTGACATGTTGATGTTTGGACTTCCTGGTGAATTCACAACGATGGCTGGACGTAGATTAAAGAGTGAAATACAGCTGTTTGCTAAAAGTAGGAACAACGAGTTCCAGTCGATACTTTGTGGATTGTCAAATATTTACACAAGTTACGTCACAACACCTGAAGAATATGAAATTCAAAGATATGAAGGAGCATCGACCATCTTCGGTCCACATACATTGACAATCTACATTAATAGATTCGTGAAGCTTCTCGACGCTTTGATGCGTGGCAACTCAGTCGATCCAGGTCAGATGCCAATGAATCAAGACTCGAAGCAAATTTCTTTAGTCACAGCTGTTTACTACGATGGACATGCAATTGGAAGTGGATTTGGTTATGTCGTGAATCAACCTAGAAAGTACTACAGACGCGGTGAACTCTTGATTGTCTCATTTGTAGCTGGAAATCCTAGAAATAATTTAATGACAGACGCAAGTTACTTTTATGCTGAAAGAATCGTCAATAACGAGTGGCAGGTTGTAGCTACGGACGCAAATTGGGAGACAAAGTTCAAATGGACGAGAGTTTCAATGATTTTAGGCAGAAGTGAAATTGAATTTTTCTGGGAAATTCCAGAATCAGCACCGAGTGGTGAATATCGAGTCAGACATCGTGGATCCTATGCTTATATACTTGGTGGGGTTTATTCTTATCAGGGATCGACGAATCATTTTATAATTCAATAAATTGGGCTGATTGGTGCTGACTTTTGAGGTTAGGATTGATTAAGTTGAATTTGAAGATGGTCAGTAAGGGCTTGTTATTGAAATGTTACATATTGTGCTACAAAATTATACAAAAATTTATCCAAATATTTTTTTTAATTTATTTTATTGTAAGAATTTGTAGATTTTAAGATTGATGCATTAATTTATAAGCATAAGTTATTTTATCAAAATTTTTATGTTTAAAAATGAAAATAAGATTTAAAATTAGTAAAATTTTGAGGGGTAAACAACTTGATGGGGAAAAAATGATGCAATGAATCAAAGATGTGGAACTGTTTGATAAAGGATTGTTCATCTTTTTTGAACATTATGATCACTTCCAAGTCGTTTGAGAAAAAAATACTGAGGAATCGATTTTAAATTAATATTTGTCCCACCAAATTGTTCTCCCCTTGAGCTCAAGTGTCAAAAGTTGAAATAATTTGTAGGATAAATAATAATTTAGGCTGGGCTAAAATTGACATTCAGTAGACTCAGGCGCGTAGCCAAAGGGGGGAGGGGGGGGGGGAGAGAGAATTTCTGGAAACCCCCCATAATCGGGGGGTTAATTAATAAGAAATCCGGCACCAAGCTGGTGTGACTCTGGCATGGTGCTGGATTTAAATAGAAGTCAGAACCATGCCAGAGTCATTCCGGCTTAGCACCGGAATTCTATTCGATTAACCGACTTGTGCCTTTTGGGCGTCTTCCCCTTTGAATATGCCCCTGAGTGGACTTATTGACAAAATATATTTGAAATTTTAATTTAATCAGATAGACTGCATAAATATTTAAATTAAAAAAATTTAAAAAATACATTTTTAAATTAGCTTTTGTAAGGATAATGTAAGAATAATAAAAATTGAAGTAAATTTCAACTTTTTTACTTTTTTTCTGACAAAGATTAAATTTTGTAACCCTAAATCCGTGATTTTCCACTTTTCTGACGACTTATTTTAGATGAAATTTCAAGCCAAAAACTCCATAAAAAGTAAATTTCAGTTTTTCAAGTTCAATTCATTTTCATTATCAAGAACAATTTGTAATTCCGTATTTCTCAAAATCATTGATAGTAAAAATTAATTATTGAAATTTCATTAGGAACTTCCTCATTATCTTGAGTGACGTCATCTACTAAGAAATTCTTTTGATTGACAGATCATGAACATGCTGCATTGTCAGGTTTAATGTAAATAAGCAATTGTGTAATTGGAATTTTATTTTTTATTGATCATCGCTGATCGGATGTGAATTTGCATCAGATTATAAGTAGATGTTGAAGCTACGTGACGTGAAGTGGAAGTAAAATAAAAAAATAAAGATAAATCGAGAAAAATGTTTAAAATCATATCAGTGTTAATTTTTGTGGTACTTAGCATGTCAATTAATGGATTTACATCTCCTGTGACAGCCAATTCAACTACAGCAACGCATGCCTCAAATCTATCAAACGCTCAAGATCTTCAATCATTCTTCACAGATTTAATGAACAAATTCTCACTTCCATCATCAAATCAAACAGAAATTGAAGACTTCATCAGATCATCCAAATTTGGACCTTCAACAATCCTCAAAAGCTTCTCAGAAAAAATCACAGACATCCAAAATAATTCTCCAAATTCAACAGTTTTTATTGATTGCGATTTAAAACATAAAAAAGCTTTAAAAAACTCAAAAATCTTCGGCTTTAAAAACTGCGATCCGGTGAAAATTTTGACAAATGAAAAATTTACAAGCATTTTTGACATTTTTCCGTCAGCTTTTTTGGTGACTTTTGAGGTTCAAGGGGATGTGAAGGACTTGAATAGAGGCAATATAATGATGAATAAGCAAGGATCTCATCAAGAACGTTTGAAAAGTTCAACTAAAATCAACATAACCTCAAAATTAAAGAAACGAGAACAATTTGAGCATTTTTCCAGCGTGGAAGTTCAAAGAATTGAGGAAAACTTTAACAATTTCCATCGTAGCTTCTTAATTTTGATACACAAAGAAGCAAATGAGTCTGAAACAGCAGAAATGACTACAAAATTTAGTAAATCAGAGCAAACTTCCGACTTACCCAAAACAATTGACAACAATTCAAACAACACCCCAGCAGCCCCCTCAACTTCCCCCCAATACTCAACATACCTTATCGAAAACTCCCGCCTGACTAACCTCAAAATCTCCGATGACGACAATTTTTCTCTCGGGAATTTCATAACTTCCCTCGACAGCCAGCTCACCAAATCAACAATCATCGACTACTCTGAAAAAATCACAGAATCATTAACCAACAATTGTGGAATCTGCCTACGAACACTTCAGCTTCTCAATCTAAAAACTTACTTATTCAATCTGGAAATTCCCAACGGAAATCAATTAAGGAAATTCCACTGTGACATCGACTGCTTCCGAACACTTTTAATTACTCCGACTGACTTTAATTTCACTAAAATTCCAGAATACATTAGCATCTTATTGCATGAGAAGTTCATCAAGTCATTGAGAATGACAACGTCTGACGTCATCAGTATGGATGAAAATACAACAGTTGATGAATTTATTGAAAGTCATACAGTGACGATGGAGCTTGAGGGACTCACAACTTTCGCATTTTTACAGAGACAATTTAGAGTTCTTGAGTTTTTGGTACGTGCTGAATGTCCTTATCCTGTGAATTTCACTAGCAGCAAGGATAGTTTGAGATTGTATCCAATGAAGAATCGATTCGTACAAAAGCTTGAAAAGCACAAAGAGAATATAAAGAATTTCCATAATGATATTAAAAATGGCAATGCTGATGCAGTTAGGAGGTTCCTTAAGGAAAATAAAGACACCAAGTTTGCAAGAGATGAAGAGAATAAATCAGCATTGAAAGTGGCTTTTGATAACGATCAGCTTGAGATTTATGCGATATTGAAGAGTCATGGGATGATGTTGAGCAGTTTGGAGGAGGTTGTGGAAAAATACAAGAAGGTATTTGCTCTATTTCGTTTGTGTTTAGTCTTTAATCCAATATTTAACCAAACTATCTAATTTTGTGTCTATTATCAGTAATCTAGTACGTTATTAATCAAATGTCTACATTCTAGTCCTTCAATGTCTAGTACATCAATGTCTACATTCTAGTACTTCAATGTCTACTTTCGAGTACTTCGATGTCTAGTCCTTCAAAGTCTACATTCTATTACTTCAATGTCTACTTTCTGGTACTTCAATGTCTACTTTCTAGTACTTCAATGTCTATATTCTGGTACTTCAATGTCTACTTTCTGGTATTTCAATGGTTTTAGGTAACTAAATTTTTATAAATTATGTACTAGATTATAGAGATGAAGTACTAGATTAGACCACATAGTACGTGATCAGATAGTGAACGACTATTTTATTTATTGAAGTACTAGATTTGAAAGTTAATGAACTAGAATGTAGATATTGAAGTACTAGAATGTAGACGTTGATGTACTAGAATGTAGGCATTGAAGTACTAGAATGTAGACATTGAAGTACTAGAATGTAGACATTTAAGTACTAGAATAATACATCTCTATAATCTAGTACGTTACAAACTAGTCCTACAATATCAAATCTAGTCCTTAATTGCCAAATCTAGTACTTTAATAATAGACTTTGTAGTAAAGCTAATACCTCATAGTTTGATCTAGTATCTTACCTTATGCATTGTTAATCTTAGTAAAATTCATTACTAAAAAATTTATTTCCATCATATTTTAACCCAACAGATCAACGACCTCAACGAGACAGAAAAAACTTTAATCCGTCATTCCAACTACAAACTTCTTACACCAGTTGCCAAAGATGACGACAATTACATCGAGAAGCTAGTCCAAAGATCAAAATTCAACTTTGATCCTTCTCTCTACACAAAAGATGCAATAATCTCAGAGATCCGTCGTGCCTTTACAGATGTAAACCAAACAACACCAGAAATTCTTGAAATTTGCTCAAAATCTGAAGACTTAGTTGTAATTTTTGACTTTGACTACTCAGTTGTTGATGAATTTGAGCCTGGAAGTACAGCTGTTGGACTAGCTCAGCGTCAGTATGATTATGTTGTGATTGCAGCTAATGAGTTCCTCAGTTTTAGTAAAAATGACAGAAACTATGCTTTAGGGACGCTGTCACATGAATTGATGCACTATGCGATGTTCTTGGTCTATGACAATGACGCATATCCATACCAAAAAGATGATTTGGAGACTAAAAGTTTGTTTAGGAACTTTTCTGAAAAATGTAAGGAATTTGAGAAAACTGAGCCACATCTTGCCTATCCAGATGGCACTAAGGCTGATGAGTTTGTCATTGAACTGATTGCAAGAGTTCCGGACATACTGTTAATGAGGAAGAATCAACAACTTCTACTTGATGTTATTAAATCTAAATTTTCTGAGCTTTTTGACTTTTATTATGGTCAAATTCTTCAAGACATCCGAGCTATGACAGCTACAATGGGCGATAGGGAGAAGATTAGAGAAGTCAATCAATGGCTTGATGTTGTTAGGGAAATTGAGGAGTTCCAGGTTGAAATCATTGTCAAGGATGTTGAATCAGATTGTACTAAGGAAGAGAGGAAGGATTGCGAAGAAGTTGATGACGAAGTTGATGCAAATGAGTCCGAAGAGACTACTGAGGATCGAGAAGACAGTGGTAAAGATGATAGGAAGGTTCAAGAGGTTAGTACACAAAAGATCAATGGAGCTGAAGATGACAATAAGATTCAACTTAGAGAAAATGGTCAAAATTCTACAAAAATTAATGAGATGGCTAATAAAAGTGGTAAAAATGGTGAGTTTGGTGAAAATGGTGAGTTTGGTGAAAATGGTGAGTTTGGTGAAAATGGTGAGTTTGGTGAAAATGGTGAGTTTGGTGAAAATGGTAAGATTGGTGAAAATGGTGAGTTTGGTGAAAATGGTGAGATTGGTGAAAATGACAAAGATAATCAAGAACCTGAAGACTATTTTGAATCCAATGATAATCATGAATATTCAGAACACAATGAAAATGACATTCAACATCCAGGATCAACTAAGAATAATCAATCCACACCTCAAACTACTCTCACATCGTCTACATCCAAACCTGAAAAAACCACTCTACGCTCAATTCCAAACACAATCCCAGAATATAATCAATCAGCAAACGATGAAGACAACCAAACCAACAACATTGCAGCTCTCATTGAATCAACGACTAAAGCTAAGTTTTCAACCAATGATGAAGATTATCTTAAATCAGAAGAGTTAGAAGATGCAGAACAGCTGAGAACGCAAGACAATTACTATTATGATGACTATGAAGATGAAGATGATCCAAATTACTTCAAGAAAAGGAAACCTGTTGATAGAAGTAGATTTTTGAGAAGGGGTTCTCAAGTTGATGATGAAGATGTGCTTAAAAGTTTGAGGAGAACGGATCATTTTGCTGAAGGGCTGGTTAGAAGTCCCTCGGATAACCTAAAAGGGAAGAAAAGTCAAACGAAGTTGAGAAAAACGCTCAATAATGTTAATGAGGCTCATTTGAGACAAGGTGGAGATAAAAATGCAATTAAAGAAGGGCCACAAGTTCCAAAGTTGCTTAAAAACGTACAGAAACTCAAAAGAACCAGAACTCTAACAAAAACAATCGAAAATCAATCGAAGAATTCCAAAAAATTCCCAAAATCTCATCAAAAAGTCTTCAAAAGATCAACAAACCTCACAGATCATAAATCCGATCCTCAAACTTTCAACGATCATCAAAACTCATCAGCATCCACTCAAAACTACAACTTAGACGACTTCATAGTCAACCTAGGCTTCAAACTATCATTAAACCAAAGCCAACACGCAATTTTCACAAACTTCCCAAAAGCAATCCTCAAATTCATCCACAAGAAAGTCATTAAACACAGACAACTTGCAGTTTTCATGAAATTATCATCAGGACATCTCGAAAACTTCCATAAAATCATCAATGACTTGTCAAATCTCAATTCTGAGGTCCTCTTTGTCATCGATTGTGATGATATTGCATATCTGCCAGGATTTTTTGATACTCTTAATGGATATTCATTCAAGCATGTCATTTATGTTGCTGATGTGAAGAATTTTGAGGATTTTCAAGATTATAAAGTTGAGATGCGGGAGTTTTCAGTACTTTGGGATGACGTGTGTCCAAAAAGTCAGGACTATTTAAGCAGCTTTGTTTTTTACTTCCAAAATGATGAGATTGAACTCGGACAAATTATTGGAAAGAACAAAAGCATTCTGAATCAGTTTGCGATGAACAAAATCTACAGTCAAGATGTCTACAGCATTGCAACTGACTCTGTGCCTGAAAATGATGAATTTTATGTTGAAAGGAGGTTGATTGATGAAGATGGGAGGGTGTGGGGGGTGAATATGGTTGTTAGGGAATTATTTGAGTTAGAAGAAGAGGATGAAGTTGAAGCTGATGATAATGAAGATGTGGAGGAGGATAGGGTGTGGCCGAAAAAATACGGAAATGTTCATCGATTGTCAAAGATTCAAAATAGCACGAATAAAGCAAAAATTGGAGAAAATCAAAAAAATTTGAACAAAAGATGGACAAACTTACAAAGCTCTTCAGAAATTGAACCCAAATCTTTACAAAATTCATCGGATTTTCTACAAAAATCATCCAAAAACTTCAAAAAGTCTGCTCAAAAATTCAAAAAGTATCATAAAAAATCTATTGTAAATTCAGATTCAATTTTGAACAGCAAAATGAACAAATTAAGTTCAAATGTTAACAATAAGTCACCAAAAGCCATAACCAAGACAAAATCAGCTGACAATCTACTCCGAAAATCATTAAAAATGCATAAAAAATCAACAAAACACAAAGATGTCATAATCGATGCCACAAATGTAGCCGCAGCTGAATTAAGTTCCTCAACTACCCAAAACTTCAAAGCCAAGTTCAAAAACCAAAGAAATTCAACAACATTCATCTTAACCAGCCCACCAGCCTCCGGTAAATCAACAACATTAAAAGAAATGACAGCAAAAATTCGAGAAATTTCGCCAACTTTGTGGGTTGCTTATGTCAACTTATCAGACATTGATGTTAAGTCCAACTTTACATCTGAAGATATTTTGACATTCTTAACTACAAATGTCCTTAAATTGACAGAACTTGATGCTTTGGTCTTCAATCATTTATTAACTGAAAAACGAATTGTGCTCCTTTTTGATGAATTTGACAAAATTGATGAAAAATCGAAAGAAAATTCTGTGAAAATCTTCAAATGTTGTGAGGAACATTCAGTCACGATGTGGATTTCAGCAAGACCAAGAAACCAGAAACTTCTTCAACATAACCTCAAAAATCCAAAAGTCTTCAATCTTTCTGAATTTTCAAAATCTGACACTGAAAAGTTTATGGAATTTTTTGATGAAAATCGCGAAGCTGAAATTTTGGAATTTTTTGATAAAGTTGGAAATGTCGGAAATCCAAAAATGATTCATGAAATTGCTGAGATCTTTGAGAGTCGTGAGAATATTTCTAATTGGTATTCAATTTACACACAATTAGTTCTTAACAGGAACTTTGAGAAGTCAGCAAAAGCTCAAGAAACCAGTGACATTGACGAAGCTTTAAGCTCACCACAAAAGCTCTTAAAAGCTCATCAGATCGCAGCTTTAAATTATTTATATCCCCAAAAATTCTTAAAATCCCTCAATTTGACAATCGAATCTACAGACAATCTTGAAAACTATGAAATAATTTACAAATGTTCAGAAAATGAAACAAAATTTGTTCATGAAAGTTTTGCTGCTTATTTTGTTGCTCAATATTTTGTGGACAATTTGCTTAAAATTAATATTTTAGACAGCAATAATTGGAAACTTTTGATTGAAGCTACAAAATTAAAATGCTGGAGAATTATTGGTAAATTTTTGAATGACTTTATTGAAATTAATAACAATAAGCTAGACTTGAATAAGATTTTTAAGGTTAGGAAAATTTTGGATTAATTATTTTAACATTCAACATTTTGAAGTGAATTGTGATTTAGCCGTAGGGCCGTTCACTTATTACGATTAGAGTGGAAGGTGGGAGGGGAGGGGGGGGGAGTGGCTGTCTGAGATTTTGTGAAACTTATAGAAAATTTACTTTTTACATAATTTATTTAAATCTTTTACATTACGTAATAAGTGAACGGCCCCTTAAACCAGTGTTGCCCAAACTATGTGCCACGGCATATTAATGAGCTTTAAAAATATTTTTGAAAGGTCTCAAACCGCATGCTGTGTACGCAGGGGCGTAGCCAGAAAATTTTTAAGGGGGGGGCCCATTTTCGAAAATTAAAAAAAACGTTGTTTTGTATCCTTAAATCTATATTCATTCTTCATAAGTTTAAATATTTAATTCATTATTCATACATTAAATTTACTTTTTCGTGGTGATTTTGAAATTTCTTTCATCACTTCCTCTACATTAACTGGTTCTACTCTATAAATACTTAATAAAACAATTATCAGATTTTCGTAGGGGGGGCCCGGGCCCCCCCCCCTGGCTACGCCCCTGTGTGTACGACTTCTGTCATGACTTACCCCTAAAGTTTGCCCAGGCTGAAAAAGTTTGAACAACACTGCCTTAAAAGATGTCATATTTAATTCAACTGTCTGCTAGCCTTACGTTACCATTGTGCAACTATTTTGTTTATAATTTAGGGCTGTTCCTAACTCAATAAAATAAGATTATCTGAAACTGTCGAATCAAAGTTGTTGGATTTTTGCATTGCACTACTCTTCTTATTGCGACCAACTGCAAGTATTTAACTGAAAAAGCGATTTCTGCAAGTTCATCGTGATTTTCGTCATTCAGTTTCTAATCTAATCTGCATGAAAGTAAATGCCACTGACTCATGCCTCAAACGTGACCATTTTATCTGTTTTCAACAGCATTTTTGAAACTTGTTAAAAAAAGGTAGCTTAATAATTCACTTTGTTCGTTCGTTCGTTCGTCTCCAGAAAAACTTTTTAACCAGGCATCGTAAAGAGCTCGGGATTGTTTTATTAGCTCCGTTACTATCGGTTTATCGGCCCACTGAATGGTTAAAATTATTCAAACTATGTATTTATGCTATAATTAATGAGTTTTTTTTTATTTCATAAACAAAACCACGCGATGAGTTAATTTAAAAATTTGAATTTTTTTCTACCGTTTTAAAAATTGTTCAGGGTATGTTCAGAAATTTAAATTTATTTCGACCGTTAAATTATTTGAATTTTAAAATACCGTTAAAGGTCAAAAATCTTTTTGCTGTACCTAATGTTTAATAGTTTTTGATATGCAACGAATATGATTTGATAAAGGCAAAATTTTAGAGCTGTTTGCTAATTAATTCGCATTTTAATGATTATAAAATCTTGATCGCTTCGTCAAAAATGCGCCGAAGTTCCTCGATCAATAACACGAGGAGTTTTGTAATTTTTATCTTATCATTGAATGAAAAAATAACAATTAATTCAAATTTAATCCATTTTTTTTAGATAATTTAAATCTTTTATTTTTGTTGATTAATTCAGTTGATATTTATAGCTTGTGTGAGTAAATTGGAAGTGTCTTTTTTGGCATGTAAGTTAAATAAAATAAATTGTAAACTGTAAGCATAGCAAAAAGTGTTCAATTGTTAATAATAAGCTTCCCCAGTGCTTGGCATATATTGTGGTTCTTTGTATACCGAACTACAATCTCCTCCAGCAGCATTGTCCAAACTTTTTGAGCCACGGCACACCTGAGGTGTCAGCCATGATTTCTATTGCACAGAGTATAAACAACACTGCCCTAAATTGTCAAAATCATATTTATCCTTTTACAGAACTATAAAATGGAGATCATCTGTGAATTCAGCATCCACATTGGCTATCGATGCACCATTCTGTCCCAACAAATCTACGAAAATACCGAACTTAAATTTATCGGCAACCACAGAGTTGGAAAATGCAACGATGACGTCACAGAAATCAACTTTAAAGACTGCATAGTCTCAAAAGTCCCACAAGGACTCACAAAGTCTTTTCCAAATTTAAAGTCATTGACAGTAACAGGCACAAAGATGAAGAAGTTGACTAAACCTGACTTGGCTGAGTACAAAAATTTCAGCTTTTTTGACTTTTCCAACAATAAAATTGACTTTTTGCCTGACGACTTGTTTGAGGACTTCCAAAATTTGGAGTATATTTCGTTTTATGGCAATAAGTTGGCAATTTTTGAGCCAAATTTGATTGATGAACTTGATAAATTAGAGACAATTGACTTGCGGGGTGACACTAAGTACGGGTACATGAATTCTAATGTTGCAGCACCGAATTGGGATCCGGAATTGAATCAAATAAAAAGTGAGCTTCGTAGAAAGTTTTGTCAAAATAGCAGCTCAGTTGTGGCTGAATATTTACTTAAACAAAGGCTTAACATTAAGTCATTGAAGAATGAGAATGAATATTTGACAAATACGATCCAAAAGTTCCAAGAAAGCCATCAAGGAACTCAAAGTTTAGTCGATGAACTTGTCAATGAGAACCAAAGCTTAAAAATTGATGTCAAAATGTCAAGCCAGAAACTTCAAATTTTGCAGAGTTCCAATACAAAATTATCACAAAGGATTCAGCTGCTCAGCCATGAGTTGAAACAGCAAAAATCCCGCAATAAATTCATAAATAATATCAAAAATTTCCTAATTCAAGACGACATTTTTAAGGACTTTAGCATTCAAATTGACAAACATGACTTTCCAGTCCACAAATTCCTGCTCGCAGCTCGAAGCCCAACACTGGCTGAATTACTGAAGAACAACCCTGAAGTTGAAAATCTAAATTTAATCGACATTTCTGTAGAAACTTTTGAAATAATTCTTAAATTTCTCTACACTGACGAACTTCCAGGCGACGATGGGACGAATTTTTTGCATCTTTTTGCAGCTGCTGGTAAACTGAAGATCCAAGAACTTCATAATTATGCAGCAACAACGAGCATTTCGCTGATTAATGATGAAAATGCTTTAGAGATCCTGAATTTAAGCAACAAGTATGGACATGATGAGCTGCGACAAAAAGCATTTGAAGAAATTAAAAGAAATTATCCAAAAATTGAGTTTGAAGATGCATGGATATACGATGGCGCCAAAATTGCAAAGATTGTTGAATTTTTTGTTAAAATGAAGAGAATGGAAGAGGATTTTAAGATGGTCATGAAGGATGAATAGCTTGTTGTCATTATTTATACTTTATTGGACTTTTGTGGTGTGAATTTAATAAAAAAAATATTAAAATGTTTAAATTTAAATTTAATTTGGCTTTATAAAACCAAAACAGGCTCCGATGGTATGGACATGTTATATGAAGACTTGTTAGGCTGTAAGGTCTTCAAATCCGACTTTGTAGATGGAAAGAGATCGCGTGGAAGGTCAAAAAACTCATGAAAAGAGGCTGTTGAAAAGGAAAGTGTTGCAGACGGTGGCCAGCGAAAGAGCTAGTTTTAGGGGACGACTAAGGAAGGTCATCGATCACAATTGATCTGTACGACCAGCGAAGTAAGTTAAGCAAGTAACCCGAAACCTACAAATTCTGGTCAAATACTATCAAAATTCAGGAACATACAATAAGACACGTGGTTGAAAGTAAAGCTTCAACCGTCGTTAAACATTCAAAAAGTTTCCCGCGTAAAATTTTTAAGTTTCACGATCTGCTCACCAATACTAATAAATATAATTGAACTTGGCATTTAAGTTTGGTTTTATTTTAATTTTGAAGTAAATTCTGTCAAAAAAATTGAATTTGGTCTGCTTTATTGCTATAAACTTTTTAACAAGCCAATCCATCAAGCAGTCAGTCAACTTAAACTTCAATTCAAACTCTTAAACTAATTAACATTGAAATGAATATTCAGTGCCACTTTGATACTGGAAGTGCCTATCGTTGTGTTGTATTTGACAAGGAAATACCCGAAAATGGGGAATTTAACCTAATTGGGACTCATTACAACGGAAGGACACACGATGAAGTAAAAGAAATTTTATTTAACAATTGTCAGATCACAAAAATTCCGCAAGGATTGACAAAAACATTTCCAAATCTAAACATCATTAACATTTATCACTCGAACTTGAAAAACTTAGTAAAGGCTGACTTGGAAGAATACAAAAATATCAAAAAATTTACTGTTTTCGATGATCTGATCGACATTGTGCCTGGTGACTTGTTTGAGAACTGCAAAAAATTGGAGAAAATAGTAATGAATTTCAAATCGTTGACCGTAGTTGAGCCTGACATTTTGGATCGACTTGATAAGCTCAAATATGTTGACATGTCAGAATATGGATTTTATGATTCAGCTACAAGTAATCCGAGCGCATCAACAAACTTGGATCAGATTAAAACGAATCTTTTTGATAGATTTTTTAAACACGACGAAGTTTTTATTAAAAATTTTGTTCGCAGGCTTCAGAGGAAGGTTCATTATCAACCTCGCTTTATACCTGTACCCAGACCAGGACAGACAGTTGAAGAACACATCAAATTACAAAATGAATTTTACAGCGACATTAAAGCTTTTACTCTAGACGACACCACTAAGGACTTCCAGATTCAAATCGACAAACATGACTTTCCAGTCCACAAATTCCTGCTCGCAGCTCGAAGTCCAACTCTGGCTGAATTGCTTAAAAACAACCCTGAAGTTGAAAATCTTAATCTTGTTGACATTTCTGTGGAAATTTTTGAGATAATTCTCAAATTTCTCTACACTGATGAACTTCCAGGCGACGACGAGACAAACTTTTTACATCTTTTTGCTGCTGCTGGGAAGCTGAAGATCAAAAAATTGATGAACTTCGCTGCAAATAAGCTGAATGACATGATTGATGAAGAGAATGTTCTTGAAATATTTAAAATCGCCTGCAAATACGAACAGCAGGAACTGAAGCAAAAAGCTTTTGGATTAATAAAAGAAAAATATCCTAAAAGTAAATTTAAGGACGAATGGATTGACGATGCTGAAAAAGTTGAAAAGCTGATTGAATTTTTGAAGAAAATGGAAGAAATGGAAAAGAGTTTTGAGGACATGATGTGATTGGAAGTGAAAAATTTAATAAAACTTCAGGCTTAGGGGTTGTCAGGGATGATGAAATAATAAATTGCAATTCTAATAATTTTTGATTGTTTTAATTCAGTGTTTTTCAAACTTTTCAGGCCGCGATGTCTTGACTTTTTAAAAATAACTAGGCTTTTCGGAAGCGTCCGTGATATTTTGATCCAATTTTTTATAAATAACTGTAAGACTTTTGTAACCGTAAAGTTTTTGAGGGTCGGTTCCTCATAAACCTTCACATTGCTTCACAAACCCCCTCAAATTTTGACTCCCCTTCTCCCCCCCCCCCCCCCCCCCTAAGTCAACAAATGGCTTCACACTGCTTCCGTTCTGGAGTTAGTCAGAGAATTGCGACTTTTTTTTATTTATAGTTTTATTTTGATAACCATTCTTATTAATATTTGAACTCTAATTTACAATATTAAAGCAGTTAGGTGCCTTGCTGGTCGAATAGGGAAGGCGCTTGGCTCATAATTGGGATGGTAACTCGAAGGTCGTCGGTTCGAATCCAGCCATTTTCAAATTTGTTCTTTTTAGGAAGTTTTGATACTTCGACTGCTTAATGTACGAGATCAAGCCATAATTGGGCATTTTGGACAACGTTGGATTAAGGAACGGCTCAGGAACTTGAAGTGTAGCGGGAGAAATAGGAACGAGAGCTACAAGATTACCCACGAATGGAATATTGTTTGAACGGACCTGAAAAGTATCAAGTCACGCCTACAGAAGATCGAAACGAGAGCCTTAGTTTATTTGAAACCTAGATTTGAAGATTAGAAGTTTGATCCTACATAATATTAATTAATATGTGTACAAATACAAAAGTGTAAAATGTGAATTTATACCGGACCGTATGTCGTCAATAAATGCAATAAAGTGCAATTAAAAAAAAAAAAAAACGTTATTTAAATTGATTATTTATTTGAAATGTTTCATTGCAAAGATTTAGCTTGAAAAAAATTAAAAAATAAAAATAAAAAAGCAATAAAAAAATAGCAAAAGTTTCCGAAACTGTTTTTTATTCAAAAACTTTCTCACATAAAAGCAAAGTTCAAAATATTAAAAAAAAAAACTACAAATACATTCAAAATTATTTCAGTTTATTCAAAGCCTTCATCGCATTTGGTTTTGTTTTGTCAAAATTCATCACAATTTATAATAAATTTTAAAAAGAACTCAAAGTGTGAATTTTAAACTATTTTAAATTATTTTTATAATAAATAAATTGGTAAGTTAAATGTGATAAAATATAAAAAAAATTTATAAATATTGATCATTAACAAGTTATAATTTTGTGATTCATGCTCGCTTCCTGCATCGATATGACTAATTTTTTATCATCATCTTTGTGCACTCGGAATGAATTTTAGTTCTTTGTCTAGAATCGTTTAATCTTTTGTTGATTAATTTGCATTATTAATTGATTGTTTGAGAATGTTGAGAATTAAATATAAAAAATTATTTATTAAGTTTTAAATAAGCTTGAATCTTAAGATTTAAAAATTAAATCTTATCAACTTTAAAAAGTTTTTTTTTAAATTTAAAAGAAAGAAAATAAAAAAGTCTGATTTTCGTGTAAGTTTATCAAGAAGTTTCACTTAATAGACGTCCATAAAAACACATAAATCAGGTAGAAATGAATTTGATCAATTTTAAAAAATTCTATAAATAATCCCGAGTAGCACCAACCCATTTGAACAATGAAATAATTGGGTTATCGTGCGTCACAACGATAAAATTTGCGGCATGACGTGCTTTTTTCTACTTGATGATGCCTTGACGTCGACGTAAAATCAGTTGTTGTTGTTGGTGCTACTCGGGAATAAATTTGAGTATAAGTTTTAAGTTAAGATTTAATAAATAATATGCTGACATGTAGTCTTGTAATGAAAAATTCTAATTACATTTACCGTGCAACATGATCTGCTTTTTAAATATGAGAAAATTTTGAATTCATCACCTTTTAAAGCATTGTAGTTGCTGAAGGTTCCAGATGTGGAGCTAGAACTTTTTTTATGGGAGTTTGATTTTTTTGTCATGAGCCAGAAGATTCAGGTGGACTTTTGGGGTTTTTTACTCAAAAAACTCTTAGCAAAATCAAAAAACTTTTTAAAAAGGGGGGAGGGGGTTGGTTGGTTAGGCGGGATTGGAGATTTTTTTGTAAACTCCTAATCTAGAAAATTTTGCTAGCTACGCTAATGGATTCTTGGAAACTACAAGATAATAAATATGATACCTTGAGACAGTAATTTGAAGGAGGGGGGGGGGGGATAATTATTTTTAAATTGATGATTTGAAGGGGGATTTTTTTTAAGTATTATCATATAAACCCCATTGTGAAGAATTTTCAGACTCTTTTGGCTGCTTTCTGTACTGGAATCTTGCAATTTGTATCCAAAATCTCCCCCCCCCCCCCGGTCACATGGCTACGCGTCTGACTTAAACGAATAAATCTGAAATTAAATTTCAACTTCTAACTAGCTTTATTTCTTTATTTTAGAATAAATTTCAATAAATAACCCTTTTGAGCACTAAAAAAACCCAACAATGGAAGTCCACTGCACGTTTGATTCAACAAAAGACTACATCTGCACTGTCACCAACTGTCAAATCTCCAATGGCGTTCAATTGAAATTTTCCGGAGACCATAACGATCCAAAAACTGACGACGATGTTGTTGGAATCAAATTTGTCGACTGCTACATCACAAAAGTTCCGCAAGGACTCACCAAAAGGTTCCCAAATTTAAATTCGCTGACAATCAACAAAACGAACTTGAAATCATTGACAAAATTTGACTTGGCTGAGTACAAAAATTTCAAGGAATTTGACTTTAGCAACAACCAAATTGAGTTCCTGCCTGGCGACTTGTTTGAAGGTTTTAAAAATTGCGAAAAGATTTCATTCAATGGCAATAAATTGACACTTGTTGAGCCAAACATTCTGGATGGATTGACAAACTTGAAAGTTGTTAATTTGATTGGAGAGACTGCATACGGGTCACTTAACTTGCCTGCAGCTGCATCCAACTGGGATCCTAATTTAAAGGACATTAAGTTGGCAATTTTGAACAATTTGATGGAAAATGACGATCAAATCGTTAAAGATTACATCATAAATTTACAGTTGAAGATTCAGACGATCAAGCAGATTGACAGGCACGAAATTGATGAACTTACTGAAAAAAATCAAAGTTTGGAGCAAGCCAACAACATCCTCAAATGTGGAAATCGACTTTTGAGTGAATCAAAAGAGAATTTACTGAAAGAAGTTGAACAGTTAAAGGCAAACGTTGAGCAATTGACAGTCACTGAAGAGATTCTCAGACAAAAAATTAAGGACCTTAAACAGGAACTAGTCGAATCAAATGAATGCAGTGAGACTGTCAAAAAATTGTGTGAAGTTGTCGAACAAGAATTTGAGGATTATAAGAAAAATATTCATGATAAATCAGACACCGATGATTATTTCAGCACTAGCATCAAATCATTTATCCAAAAAGATGAAATCTTTAAGGACTTCCGCGTTCAAATCTCTGACCAAGAATTTGCTGTCCATAAAATTTTGCTTGCTGCTCGTAGTCCAACTCTGGCTGAGGTTTTGAGAAAAAATTCGGATGTCCAAAACCTTAATTTAGTCGACATTTCTGTGGAAATTTTTGAGAAAATTTTGAAATTTCTTTACAATGATGAACTTCCAGGCGCCGACTGGACAGACTTTTTGGGACTTTTTTCAGCTGCAGGACGATTACAAATTCAGGAGTTGAAGGATTATGCAGCACAAAAGGTGATTAAGATTGTTGGATCAGAAAATGCATTGGAAGTCCTTAACTTGAGCAACAAATACGAACATGATGGATTGATGCAAAAAGCATTTCAAGAAATTAAGAAGAAATATCCAGAAAGTAAATTTAAGGACGAGTTGATAAGCAGTCGTGAGAAGGTTGAGAAGTTTATTGAGTTTTTGAAGAAAATTGAGGAAGCTGAGAAGGGCATTGAGAGCTTTGCATGAGCTGAATGGTTGAGTTTGAGGTTAAGTCAAGGGGAACACAGCTTGATGGGAAAAAGTTTTGATGAAAAATTGCAAACAATTTCGTAATAAAAATGCTCAGACATTTTAAATAGATTTTTTTTTTCAATATGCTGTTTTCCCCCTTTGGATTAATCATTAAGTATTCAAACGAGCTCTGAATTCGCATTAAATTCAGAAAATAAAATTATTTTAACATTTTTCCTTTTTTAAAAAATTATTTAATTTTTTTTTGTATTATTTTAGTATTTTCAATAATAGTTGGACCTAATAAAATTAACTTGAATATATTAAAAAAATTAAAACCATAAATATGAGCATTTTTAAGACATCCACATTATTTAGCAACTATAAAGCACATGTTTTAGACAACCCTGCATCGATTTGCATTACAATTGCAATCAGAAGTTTTGAAAAAGGTTTTGTTGAGTTCAAACAATTCCTCAATGGTGAAATTCCAACAATTTGTGAGTGCTGTTTCCGAGGGGAAGACAACAGAAAGGGAAATTTCCCATCGATTTGTCTATTTAATCATGAATTTTTTGCATTTTTCAGGACATTTTGAACAACAAAATGATTAAGTTGACTGTAAAGCGACGTCGTGTTAATGCTACAGCACTATCAAGTCGGCGGTTGGCTTCTTTTCCTTGCTATATAAAAATACCTTCTGAACTTCTCAAAAAATGTAAAAATTTAATTCTGGATTCTAGGGGTTCATCCGGTACCTTATGCTAGTCATAGATCAATTTTATGTAACCTTATATAGTAGTTCAGTGGCTCAGTAGTCAGCTTGGCGGCACAACGCGCGTATTTCTCAATAAGACATTTAATAAAGTCAAGGAAAATCTCAGGATACGCCAAATTGGAGGTGTACAAGCGCCCAGTAGCGCTTTATGAGCATGCAATTTGAAGTTTATCAGCTTTTCCGAGAAGTTAAAAATTATGAAACGAATAAAAGTGAACAGACTTCGATGGGCTGGACATATTGTGAGAAGATCTGTGGAAGCTTTGTAGATTGTAAGAGATCACGTGTAAAGTCAAATTTCCAATAACTGTGGATCAAATATTGTCAAATTAGACAATGAATTAAAGTTTCTGAAACTCGAACTCACAAATACAAAGAAAAGACAGTTGAAAAAAGTTGATGATCAACAAGTCACCAACACAATCATAATTGAACCTCAAACATTCTTTAAAATTGAATTTGTTTCATTTAGCAGACAATTTTGAGAGTTTTTAATTTAAAAATTCAGTTTTATTCGGAAATCTGATTTGGCAACAGTTGAATATTGTAAGTACGTGTGATTAATTTAATAAAATTAAAGGAAATAAGCACATGAAAGGTTGAATGTCAAAAAATTAAAAAAAAATTGTTTGTTTGTGACTCACACTTGCATGGCATTTATGTACTCACTGTTTATTTAAATCAATTTTAAGCGGGTAAGAAATATGAAAAAATTGAGCACAGAACAAGACAAGTTTGTTTTTGAACTAAAAAGAATCAAGTTTATTATTATTCACTTCACTAATGATTTTGAAATTAGGTCTCGTTCTGCTTTAACACCATAATAGCTCAAAATAGGCGCGTAGTCATTGGGGGGTGGGGGGATGTAGTAGTAGGAATTGGGTGACAAATTTCCCTCCGATAGCAGAAATTTATTCACTTTTTTGAACACCCCACACCCCCTTTCCCCCCCCCCCCCCCCCCTTCCCCCCCTCCTCCCCACATCCAATTCCTGGCTACGCAACTGTTTCAAAAAAATATTTTTCTTTACACATTTTAATAAATTCTCAATAATTCCAGAAAAAAATGGAAGTAATTTGTCAATATTATGTCAATGTTGGATACGCTTGTGTTGTGGATTCTCAACAAATCCCCGAAAATGTTGAGCTCAGATTCATTGGAGTGCATAAAGACGGCAAAACGGATGATGATATAATTGGAATTTTGTTTAAGGACTGCAAAATTCCGAAAATTCCACAAGGATTGACAAAAATCTTCCCGAATCTTGAAATCTTAAAAATTCGAAGCTCAAATTTGAAAAGTATTTCAAAAGCTGAATTGGTCGAGTATAAAAATTGTAAAGTTATAGATTTTTCTTGCAATAAAATTGATTTTCTTCCCGGCGACTTGCTTGAAGACTTTAGAAACTTAGAAAGTGTAACTTTTGAAGGAAATACGCTGTCAAGTGTCGAACCGAATATTCTTGATAGTCTCGAGAAGCTTAAAATTGCCAATTTGAATGGAGATGTCCAATACGGAACTCTTAATTTGGGAAATGCTGTGTCAAATTGGAATTATTATTTAAATCTTGTCAGGAACAACATCCTTGACAAAATGATTCAAAATGAAAATAAGCAAATCCTTAAAGATTTTATTTTTGGTCTACAATTTAAAATTGAAACAATGAGAAAAGTTAACAGAAGATCCATGCAAGAGCTTGAACAAAAGAACCAAAACCTTGAACAAGACAATGCCAGGCTTAACGAAGAAAACCAAATCTTACAAAATGAGAATGTAAATTTGAACGAACAAAATCGAAACTTTAATCATGAAAATCAACTTTTAAGAAATAACGATGAAGGCTTAAATCATGAAATTCAGGACTTAAAAGACCAACAAGAACAGTCAGCTCAAGAAATTATTCAACACCATCAAAGAAATTTGGAACTGATTCAAAAAATTGCCGATCTTGAAGCAGAATTTGAAGCGAAAATCATCGAAAATCAACAAAATGTGGAAAATTTCTGTGCAGACATCAAAGCCTTCATTCAAGACGACACCAATAAGCACTTTCAGATCACAATTGACGATCACGAATTTCCAGTCCATAAGTTCTTGCTCGCAGCTCGAAGTCCAACTCTGTCTGAATTGCTGAAGAACAATCCTGAAGTTGAAAATCTTAATTTGGTTGACATTTCTGTGGAAATTTTTGAAATAATTCTTAAATTTCTCTACACTGATGAACTTCCAGGCGACGATGAGACAAACTTTTTGCATCTTTTTGCAGCTGCTGGGAAGCTAAAGATCGAGGAGATTAAGAAGTTCTCAGCTCAAAAGCTCCTTCTTAAAGTTGAAGCTGAGAATGCTTTGGAGCTTCTCAACTTGAGCAACAAATATGGACACGATGAACTCAAGAAAGCTGCATTTGAAGAGATCAAGAAAAACTACCCGAAAATGGTTTTGAGTGATGAGATTGTTGATGATGGCGAGAAAGTTGAGAAACTGGTTGTAATTATCAAGAAAATTGAGGAAATGGAAAAATGTGTTGGGGGCTTGATCGAATGATAATTTAAATAAGCTTGAGTTATCAAGAGCATAGAGAGGAGGGCGAGCTAAGAAATTGACTTAGGGAGGCCATGGATCACAATTTATCTGTAAGGCCAGAGAACCAAACAAACAAATTAAGTTGACTTAAACCTTAACGAGTTCTGAGTTTTAAATTTATTTTTTTTTTTCAATTTTAAATTACAATTTAAGTTGATGTTTAATAAAAAGAACCAATAAATCTACTAAAATTCAACCAAAACTATTACAAAGTTTGAACTTCAATCATTTTCCCGCCAAAATTATCAAAAATTTCAAATTTATTTGCCGGTATGTAGCTACACAAATGGTACACAGCTCACCAATACACTCACATTTGAACCTTTTTGAGGGTACAAATCTTTCATTTGTTATTGTTTTTACTTTGTAAAATACAAAAATAACAAGTTGTTTATAGTTTTCCAGAATAATGGACAGCTGACTGAGTCGTTGCCACAAAATAAATCATAATTTAAACAATTTAACAAAATAACTTAGTTAAAAATAGCTTTAAGGTGCTAAGAAAGTGATAAAATGTCAAATAATGACGAAAATCATCAAAATTCAGACATAAAAATCAAAGACGAACCAGTTGAAGAATCCAGCACATCAATCCACAACCATAATCTACATCCATTCAATATAAAACAAGAACCAGAAGAAGAATTTGAGCTGCAAATTCCAACAAATCAAGAATTTAATGAACATGAACAACTTGAAGAAGCTCGATCGTGTAAAAAACTTGTGATATTTCCAAAAGAGTACGTAAAAGCAGCACCTTACATGTGTCAAACGTGCATGAAGCGATTCAGTGACAAAAAGATCCTCCAGCAGCACAGAACGACGCATGAAAAGACGACAATTTGCGAAATTTGTAAAGTTGAAGTTAAACAAAATCTTTTAAATTCTCACATGAAAACTAATCATGTGTTAAGGAAGAGCTTTGAGTGTCCGACTTGTCACGCACAGTTTAAGGTTGAAACGAATCTTCAGCATCATGTGAAGAAGCATGATATGAAATTTGTATATAAAATTGAGAAATAATAAATTTATTTTTAAAATCTGTTGAATTTTATTTTATTAATTTGAGGGGAAAATAATATGAAATTTTGCTACATGCTGTTATCCCCTTGATGAAAATTTATTATTTTTTGAACGTCTGCCAGTCAGCCAGTTTCACTACTCTTGCAACATATTCAATCAAAAGATTCCATTTGGAATGGATTTTAGATGAGTTTGTTGATTTTCGTGGTTCTGGACAGTCAAATTATCAAATATTCTACAGTAACTCAACTGCTCATAAAGGCAACAAGTCACTCGATAAATTAAAACTTAAACTTGATGAAGAATTCAACAAAAATCAAAATTTGTGCATCAAAATTGAAGCAAATGTGTCCAAAAACTTATCAAATGAAGTCAAAAGTTTCCTGGCTCAAGACGAATCCTTCAAGGACTTCAAAATCACCATCGAAGGTCAAGATTCACAAATTCCTGCTTGCAGCTCGAAGTCCGATTCTGGCTGAGATCCTTAAATCCAATCCAGAAGTTGAAAACCTTAACTTGGTTGAAATTTCGGTCGAAATTTTCGAAATAATTCTTAAATTTCTATACACTGATGAACTTCCAGGCGACAATGGGACGATCGTTTTGCATCTTTTTGCAGCTGCTGAGAAGCTAAAAATCGAGAAAATAAAGAATTTTGCAGGAACTAAACTAATAAACACGATTGACCAGGAAAATGCATTAAACATCCTCAAATTAAGCAACAAATATGAACACGAGGAGCTCAGACAAAAATCATTCAACAAAGTCAAGAAAATGTATCCAAAATGTGACTTTAAAGACTTCCACAAAACAAACTTTGAATTGATGATGAAAATTATTGAACAATTTGAAAAATACGAAAATCTGTTCGTAAATTGGAAGAAGAATTTAAAATTGTGAAGGTTTACGGAAGGGATATAAAATGATTTTTGTAGAGTTGCGTGTAGGGGTGTAGGCTAGAGGGGGTGGAACAGGGGCGTTGCCAGGGATTTGTAAAGGGGAAAACTTTTAGGGGGGAGGAGGATTTTTTGGTGTTTTTCATAAAAACTCTAGCAAAATCAAGAAATTTGTCAAGACGAAGGGAGATATGCCCCCAAATCCCCCCTTGGCTAAGCGCCTGGGGTAGAAGGTTCGGGTTTACAAACGGTAACAATGAAGTTTACACTTAATTCGAACTAAAACAACTTCTATGAAACAGACGAATGACGAATCACAATTCTGGATTTTTGCATTAAACCTTTAAATTTGCATCTTGTCATAAAATCTTACTTTACTACATCTATGCTTTCTCGAAATCCCGGTCCCGACAAATTTTCGGGATCGGGATCGGGATTGAAATTTTTCGGGATTTCCCGGGAAATCCCGGGAATCCCGAATATGTAAAAAAATTTAAAAAACAGCATTTTTCTGCTTTTTTTCCCAAAAAAAATTATATATTTTTTTGCTACTTATACGGTCATTTATTCCTTAATTAATTAGTTATACTTTATGTGTTACAAGGTAGATGTTTTGATCCATGTTTCCTTTGAAAAATGTGAACATAAACAAAAATAGAAAATAAATGTTGATAAAGATGTAAGTTAAAAGGTTATAGAAAACGGTGTGAATTTAATAATAAAAATTAAGCATTAATGAAAAAACTTTTAACAAATGCAATTGCATTTAGATTCTTGTCAAGTAAACGTTTTCTTTGTTTTGTAAGAATGTTGTTACCAGAGATCCAAGCCGATTTTTTCGGCTTAACTCAATTTTTGATTATTTTGATAGAAAAAAGCCATTTAACACCCATTTTAAGTATTTAAATTGAACTTTACATACTTTACTATGATTCTGTGAAATATTTTTTCAGCATGTAGCTATAGTAAGCTCTGAATTTCAATTTAGCCGATTTTAAGCCGATCGGCTTAAATTTCGGCTTAACATTCTTTAACTTGAAATTCTGAGCTCACTATAGCTACATGCTGAAAAAATATTTCACAGAATCATAGTAAAGCATGTAAAGTTCAATTTAAATACTTAAAATGGGTGTTAAATGGCTTTTTTCTATCAAAAAAATCAAAAATTGAGTTAAGCTGAAAAAATCGGCTTCGATCTCTGGTTGTTACTAATAGAGAAATTTCGTTCGCTTTGAGTTGAGGTCGGCTGCATTGTTATCAATTCATCGTAAAGTTGATCTAATAAAACGGTTCTCTTCTTATTTTTGTCATACCAATTAAACTCTCTTTTCAAGTTATTTGGTTCTGTTGCTGCTGCATCTGTTGTTAATGATGTATATTCAGATATGCTTAGTTTCAGTCTATCTCGAATAGAAATGTTTGACGGTTGGATTTGATTTGCACTGGATGTTGAAGCTTCCATAGCTCCATTTGTAGAGTTTTTGACAAAATACTTCTTCAATAAGTCAATGCCAAGTTTATGTATTGCAGCTTTTGTTGACGATTTAAAATGCTTGTCTAAAGAAATATATTGAGGATTATTCAGGTAAAGTATTAAGTCAATTAATGTTCCATTTCTTCGTGCACCTATGCGAGCGCAATTCATATCGTAAACCTTTTGAGACAATAATGTTCCTTGTAGCAACAATTCGTCTAGCAAAAAGTTAATTGTTCCTTCAGCAATTAATAAATCGTTTGATTTACGCAATAATTCTTCTGTCGCGTATTTAGCAGGTTCTAAAACATCAATAATTTCCTAAACTAAAAAACCGGGATTTTCAATCCCGATCCCGATAAATTTCGGGATCCCGGGATTGATCGGGATCGGTAAATCCCGGGAAATCCCGATCCCGATCCCGATAGCGAGAAAGCATAACTACATCCACTGAATTATGTTAGCTAATTTAAAAATAAAATTTACTATAAACAAATAAAACACATGGGTTCGTTCACTTATTACGTAACGCACTAGGGGGGGAGGGGGGGTCTAAGATTTTGTTACGGTTTGTTACAGGGGGAGGGGGGGGGGGGGGGTCTAAATTTTGTTACGTAACTTTTCAAAAAATATATTTTTTTATAATTTTTTCTATATTAATTTTAAATTTTAAAGGAAGTATAATAAACATTTGATAAACAATTTAAATGAAAAAAATTATTGTTACGTTATGGGGGGGGGGGGGGAGGGGGGGTCTAAGATTTTGTTACGCTTTGTTACAGGGGGGGAGGGGGGGTCTAAAAATTCGTTTTTTTGCGTTACGTAATAAGTGAACGAGCCCCATGTAAAATGATAAAAATCTTATTGTAAGTCTGTCAACATTGAATATTCCAACAATAAAAAACAGGAAATTATTTAGACTTGATGTCGATTCGTTTGTGACGCCTTGAGTCTATGATAATTGGGCTGTGTAGCTGTGCATTTCTTGGAGGTTTAGTCTTGCTTATTTGAACAATATCCTGTCTAAAATCCTTAGGATTCAGCTATTTTCTGAGGATTGAAAGTGCTTACGATAATTAAAAACTAAGCAAAAGGAGCTGGTGCCTGAAACTAAGCAGGTTAAGCGTAGCCATATCACCACCCGTACCCTTACCTTCCATTCTTGATTAAGCTTTATCTTCTTTCATCCTTTAAGCATTTCTGGTCCTTTCGACCATCATGGCTACTTGCAACTCCTCCGGTTAAATTAAGAGTGCGGAACTGATGAAATGTTCAAAAATGATCAAAATGAAAATAATCAGTTTCACACCCTTTGGTTCAACGCCATTTCATGCATAATGCCACATCTAAACTTCCTACTGAAGTCAAGCCTTATGCATCAAATAACCCAGAAAGCACAAGTCGGTTAACCGAATAGAAATCCGGCACCAAACCAGAACTACGTTGACTTGTTCTTTCTGGGTAAAAAACACCACTGCTCCGTCTCTGCATTAACTTCAACTGGAATGAATGTCAAAACACGTGAATTCCTTCAAGTTCCATCAAGAATTTTTCAATTTCCGCAGTCCTTTTCCAAACAAGCAGACACAAAAATGAAGTTCCTGAAGATTTTAATATATTTTGAAATTTCTTTGCCAATATTCACGTTAACTTCGTCAATTTTTCATCAACAAAGCAGCACAACATCAATATCAACAGCAATTGTGTCAATTTGTGAGGAATTTTTCATCAATAATTCTATAAAGTTCGATTTTATTATGTACGGTGAGCACAGTCGTCATCTTAGTGACGTCATTAATGGCGTTTTGAAAAAGTATCCAAAAAATTCGTCAATAATAATCCGAGATATGAAAAATTTTGGAAATTGGAATCACATTCTTAATGACTCAGCTGTGATTTTTGTTAAAAATTCAACATACGTTCATAATTTTAATAGACACGCGAAGTTCAAGAATTTATATCCGAAACACCTTAAAATTTTATTCTACATTGAGGAACCGACAGCAAAAATACTAACGAAATTCTCAGAATTTACAACAGACATCCCCAGCATCATTACTTCTGAGTATTTCATCATAAATTCTAAAAAATTCCTTCAACTTTTCACAGTCAATCACTTTGCGGACGGAATTTGCAATCAAATTACACCAACAACGCTCAACATCTTTTTTAAAACATCACGAAAATGGAAGTGGGAACTCAAAAACCACAGAAAATTTCTAAATTTTCACCAATGTCCGCTGACAATTCTTGAGAGTTACGGAGGAGCTTTAAATATTGAGAGCTTAAATCTTGAACTTTTCGCATGTTTAAAGGCACACAAAAGCCAATTTTGTCATGATCTCAGAAGGAACCTGACCAAAGCTCCAAATCTGAAGCTTCGCGGACTGACTTATGAACTTTTCGAACTCATGGCAAAAACTGCGAATTTCACTCCAAAATATGAATTTTTACCATTGAGCTCAAAAAATAAATCAGAAATTTATGTAAAAATTTGGAGGATTCCATTCAACACAGATGATCCATTTATGCACTTACTGATGCCAATTTATCCTTATGAGTACATCATTGTCACAACACCAAGTGAATACTACACAAATTATGAGAAACTTTTACTACCGTTTGACGTCACGACTTGGATATTAATCATTATTGCCTTCTTAACGTCATTCTTAATGATTTCTTTGATGGAAATTTTCCATAAACTATCAAACCTTCGAAGTCTGCATTCGTCATTCGTGAATGTCATTCAAGTGATTTTTGGAAATTCTGTCAAGAGACCACCAAGGAAGGTGCTGCAAAGGGTAGTCATGATCTTGTTTATCTTCTTGTGTTTGATCTTTAGAACATGCTATCAAAATAAGCTGTTTGAATTCATCACAGATGAGATGAGGAAACCACCGCCGAGGGATTTGGATGATTTATTTGCTCGAAGTTACAATATTGTGTCTTATTTGGAACCAAGGATGTTCTTCTTGCTGAAACAAAAGTTGATGCCTAGAAAAAAAAAGTAAGACTTTTGGTATTAAACTTGATTGATGGTGTTTGATTAAATCTTTGTTCATTCCCAATTGGTTCTTCATTCTTGGTTCTTGGTTTTTGGTTCTTGGTTTTCGGTTCATGGTTTTTGATTATTGGTTCTTGGTTTTTGGTTCTTGGTTCTTGGTTTTTGGTTCTTGGTTCTTGGTTCTTGGTTTTCGGTTCATGATTTTTGGTTCTTGGTTCTTGGTTCTTGGTTCTTGGTTCTTGGTTCTTGGTTCTTGGTTCATGGTTCTTGGTTCTTGATTCTTGTTTCTTGGTTCTTGGTTCTTGGTTCTTGGTTCTTGGTTCTTGGTTCATGGTTCTTGGTTCTTGATTCTTGTTTCTTGGTTCTTGGTTCTTGGTTCTTGGTTCTTGGTTCATGGTTCTTGGTTCTTGATTCTTGTTTCTTGGTTCTTGGTTCTTGGTTCTTGGTTTTTGGTTCTTGGTTCTTGGTTTTCGGTTCTTGGTTCTTGGTTTTCGGTTCATGATTTTTGGTTCTTGTTTTTTAGTTCTTAGTTCTTCGTTCTTTGTTCTTTGTTCTTGGTTCTTGGTTTTTGGTTCTTGGTTCTTGGTTCTTGGTTTTTGGTTCTTGGTTCTTGGTTCTTGGTTTTTGGTTCTTGGTTTTTGGTTCTTGGTTTTCGGTTCATGGTTTTTTGGTTCTTGGTTCTTGGTTTTTAGTTCTTAGTTCTTGGTTCTTGGTTTTTGGTTCTCTTATAAATAAAACTCTTTTATAGACATTTTTTATTAATTTCTAATTTACATCCAGCAAAACAGTTCATGTCGACAATCAGCACAAGGTCTTGAAATTCTTTTGTGCAAATTACGAAGATTCAACAGCAAAGCTCGGATTCTTCATGCCAAAGTCAGTCCTTGGATATACAAATACAATGTGTGGCAGCCCAGCAACAATCTTGAAGAACTTTAAGTTTGTGGATGATTCGATGAATTTTGGAATTACCAGAAACAGCATTTTGTACGAGTCACTGAGCGAAGTCATCGAAAAGTTAAATCCGTCGGGAATTATTCAATATTTAATAAACTACGATTCGTGGGTAACTTATGACAAATTTGATTCAGCAGTGACTAAAGTTCCTCGAATTTTAACATTTAATGATTTGAGTTTTGGATTTGTGTTGTGGCTTGCTGCCTGTGGGATTTCAGTTGTCGGATTTGCTGTGGAAATGACCGAGTACAAAATGAGGATTGCCATCAAAAATATGATTGGAGTTGTGGTCTTTCTGTCAAGTGTTAAGTGGAGGTTCCTTTAAGTTGCTGGAAATTATTAAAAAAAAAATCAAAAAGTTAAAATTAATGATTAAATTTCTGTTTATTTGTTTTATTTACAATTTTTTTCAGTTTCATTTTTTTCTATCAAAAATTTTACAATTGTTGTTTCATTTTGTTTTGAAATTGAGTTGGCTTAAGGATGAAGACAGAATCTATTTTGAAAGGAACCAGTGACCCTAAAGTACCTCTATGCTTATTATAATTCACACCATTTTAGCTGACAAGCTTGTATGACACCGAAGCTCAAATTTGAGTATTTTGCTTTTTAGCAAGCTCAGTGGTTCATGGCACAAGTACTTGACCCTATCCACCCTGCCCCTTATCATCATTTCTGTCAATATCCTCAAAACTTATCCAAAAATTTCATTTCATTATCAACCAATTTTTCTCCATTTAAATTGCTTTATTTAAGTTAAATTTAGACACTTTTACTTTTTATCTTCATTATTTTTTTGAGGTTATGTAACATTTTGCGAATTTCGTTTTAAAATTAAATTAATAAGTTTCAATAAGCAACAAACTGAAATTAATTTAAAACTTATTCAAAAATCATATAAAACTATTAACATTTATTTTTTGTTGTTTAATTAAAGCATTTTTTTAAATTTCAAATTTTTATTTTCCGTTTCATTGTTAAATTTTTAATATCAAACAAAATTCATTTAAAGTTTCAACTTAATTTCAAAAATTTTCTATGTGATGTGAATTTTTCTTTTCGGGATTTTTCTTATAAAAATAATTAATTTTTTACTAGTTTCATTATTTTGAGGATTTTTATAGATCTTATGATAATTATTTTTTACAGTGTCTTAAAATTTTCAATTTCTTCTTTTCTTGTTTCATGAATTTTACTCAATTTTGCTTCCATTTTAATATAAGAAGCTCGTTTAATCTTAAAATTACGTCTAATAATCTTAATTTCATTCAACTTACGCACTAAATTAATTTTTTACAAACATAAAACCTTTTGTTATTTAAAGTTAAACTGATTATTATCAACTTTTTACTGTGTTCGGAAGCGCTTTTGTTGCTGTTGAGCTGTCACCATTGTTGTTCTTTTAATTCCGGGTCCTGTTGCTGGTGCTGCCTTGGCTGATGGATCTAAAATTGATAAAATTTGAGAAATTAGTTTCTGATAGGACCGATTTTTCTTCGACCCGAGAAGACCAAACTTAGCTCAACCCGAGAATACCAAATTTAATTCGACCTGAGAAGACCAAACTTAGCTTGACCCGAGAAGACCAAACTTAGCTCAACCCGAGAATATCAAACTAAGCTCAACCCGAGAAGATCAAACTTAGCTCGACCAGAGATGACCAAACTTAGCTCGACCCGAGAATACCAAATTTAATTCGACCCGTGAAGACCAAACTTAGCTTGACCCGAGAAGACCAAACTTAGCTTAACCCGAGAAGATCAAACTTAGCTCAACCCGAGAAGATCAAACTTAGCTTGACCCGAGAAGACCAAATTTAGCTCAATCCGAAAAGACCAAACTTAGCTTAACCCGAGAAGATCAAACTTAGCTCGACCCGAGAATACCAAACTAAGCTCAACCCAAAGAACACCAAACTTAGCTAATCAAACTCAGATTCAACAAAATAATAATAAATTCAGCTTACCTTGCAACCATTTAACTTGCGTAGCTGGTCCATACCCCTTCTCATTTCTACAAGCAATTCTGAAGATAATGGCAGGTTTACTTGTCGTATCAAGATGTGCTGTCTTAATCATGTCATTTCCAACATCGCACTGATTCTCTTTACCAACATAGACACGAGTAAATGCAAGCTGCGTAGCTTTCGATGGATTTGGATCCTTAACAGCAAGATATACTGAATATTCTGTGATTTCTCCTTGTGATTGAGATGGAGGCTCCCAACTGAGGTGAGCGCCTTCTTGTGATTTTGTGATTTTGATGCCTGATGGAGCACCTGGGAAGCCTGGCAGGCAGGTTTTGAATGTTGTGACCTAAAATGTAATAGAATTGTAGCTAAGGGTTCATATTGATTAAGGTTCAATCGCTGCTTACCTCACTAAACTTTCCAACACCGCAAGCATTAACACCAGCGATCCTGAATCTATAAGCACGTCCCTGTTCCAACTGAACCTTCTCTAGTAAACTCAAATCTGGTATACTTTCACTTGTCAACTTCTCCGCTGCATTCTGCCACTGGTAATCAACATAATTTGTCACATTTTGCGTCAATGTTTTGAAAATTCCAACAACCATCCACTTCTCTCCGTCATCGCCTAAAAGTTCTTTCGGTTTTGTCTCATTAAGTTGTGATAGGTTGGCAACTGCTTTGCTGTTTGATGCCTGAAGTGCTGCTGCCGCGAGTGCATCAAGTGATTGACGTCCATAACTGTCTGTGGTACCATTAAAATCTGATGAGTGGGAGATGATTGGCGACGCTAGGAGGTTCTCGTTGAGGGAGTTCCGAAGGGCTCTAAAATGGAAAATATAAAGATTTAGTATTTGATGCAGTTGGGAAGGGTTGAGTTCTAGATGATCTTACTCAGATCGACCCGAGAAGATCTAATTCAGTTTGACCTGAGAGGATCTAATTCAGTTTGACCTGAGAGGATCTAAATTAGCTCGACCTGAGAGGATTTCACTCAGCTTGACCCGAGAGGATCTAACTTAGCTCGAACCGAGAAGATCAAGTTCAGCATGATCCGAGAGGATCTAATTCAGCTCGACCCGAGAGGATCGAACTTAGCTCGACCAGAAAGGATCGAACTTTGCTCGACCTGAGAGGATCTAACTCAGCCCAACAAAAGAGCCCAGTTTTAAATTAAGCTATACTCACTTCTCATCATGCATTCCAATATGTGTATTAATAGTATGTGACGATAGATGACTAACTTCACTAATTGTACTCAATATCGCTGCTGCCTCATTTTCCTCAAGCTTATCTCCAGCTCCACTTGTCGTTACTTTAACATCCTCACCATCGCCATGCTTCTCAATCTTTACAGTACTAATCTGACTCTCAATATCGTCCTCATTGTCAACAGCGCCATCTAATTGATCGATATTGAAGCATCCATCAAGCTGTTCCATATTTTGCTGCTGCTGTTGTTGTTGTTGTTGTTGCTGCTGTTGTTGAATTGCTTGATTTGTGGATGTTGCTGGCATCATGATAATTTTAGGCTGTTGTCCTTGTGCTGCATTAACAAGTGTCACTTTCTTCTGTCCAGGTGCAAGCTGTAGAGTTACTGTTCTACCTCCAATTGTGATCGGTCTCGGTCCTGAATTTGAAGGCATAACAATTCTTGGTGCTTGAACTGTATTCAATTTAAATCCTGTGGAAGCATTTGTTGTTGTAAAGTTAAGTCCTCCTCCTGGTCGCTGGACAATGATCTGCTGTGATGTTACTGGTTTTGATAGCTGCATTGTTCCGCTTGTTGCTGGCTTCATGATGATCTTATTGCCACTTAATATTGCTCCTGGCATTAATTTAATGACATTTCCAGCAAAGGCTGGTCGCATGATATTTGTGCCTGTTGGAGCTGTTGAAACGATTGACTGCTTTTGAACGACCTTAATTGGAGCTGATGAGACATTTGCTGTTTGGGCACTTCCTGAAGGCATGACTTTGAAGACTGATGGAGCACGAACTGTTGGAAGTTGAATGGATTTCTTCGGCTGTAAAATAATCATTGGCTTCTTATCGCCTGACTGTGCTGGTTGATAAATGATTTTCGGTTGTGATGGTGCGACAGCAATTGGTGTTGGTGGTTTTGTCTCAATTTCTTCCTTTAATGGAATCGCTGGCTTCTCATTAACCACGACGGGTGGAAGCTTTTGTACTTCCAGGATGTAATATTGAGCATTTGGAATTGATGTCCATGAGAGTTCGAGAGCTGATGTGCTAGCACGAATGAGTTGAACTCGTTGAGCTTGTGGCGGTGGTCCAACTTCCAGGTACCATAAATCCTTGCAACAGACCTAAAATTAGAATGTAAAGACATACGAATTAGTGGGTACTGCCGTTAGCTTACACTGTGAGAAAATTATTGACAATTGGCAACAAAAAGAATTTTTTCGAAAAAGTTTCTCTCAGTGTAATTTTTATTTATGGATATACTAAGCAAATATAAGACCATCTGAAATTTTAAACTTTCTGTGTTAGTTTTCTTGAAAATTTAAAATTTTTTCAGCTTATTTGCGAAGAAAGTTTCGCTCACCCGGACCTAAAATGAGAGCACAGAAAATTCAAATTTTGAAAAGCCGTTGGATTTTTTAAATATTTTTTAGTAATCTAACCTGATTATTCCAAGCCTTTCGATATCCGTCACGTCCACTCCATACATAAAGTCGTCCATGAATTCCAACTGCACAATGTCCAGCTCTAGCACGTGGTATGTCCTCAATTTCAACTCCTGGTGCTGGTTCTATATTAATATCAACATTTTCCCATGACATTGACTTCAAGTCGAGGACGGCGAGTGTATTTGTGCATTGCCATTCCTTCTCGCATGTAAAGTTGTCGACAATTAGTGGAACCCAACCACCAAAGCAATACATCTTATCGCCGATGAGTGTTGCTGAATGAAGGGATCTATGGGAGGCAAAAGTTTTAGTTTTTAAGGTTCAAATGAGTCAGTAAATTAAGATAGACACCAGACTAAGTCCCAAGATTAGGTTGCAACCTAGTAGAACAACCTCAACAATGCTCATGGGATAAATCTAGGTCACTAAGTACATCTAAACCTCATAAGAGTATCATATCTAGTGCATTCCCAACTCAAACTAGTCCCAATCCTTACCTTGGCAACGGTGGAGCTCCACTGCACTTTGGACGACTCCAAGACAACGTCTCAATATCCAAAATCCACAAATCACCCAATCGACATCCACTCATGCCACCATAAATAACCAAGTAATGTCTGCTAGTAGTTTTGTCATGCCATGCAACAGCTGTGTGTGATTCACGTGGTGGTGGACATTCACCATAAGTAATTGGAATCTCCCAGCTGTAACTTCCATTCTTTGTGTTTAAAATGTAAAGGTCGTTGAGGTATTTGGGAATGTTGTGTTTTGGGTCATCGGATTCGTTTGCGAGACCAGCAAAGAGGAAGACTCTGTCACCGACAAGGGTGAAGCTATGACCTAGACGTGGACATGGAGCTTCACCAGAGAATGGTGGTGTTGGATGGATCTTCTTCCATTCCCATTTTGTTGCCTAGAATATTTTAAATGATGACATTTTATTAGATTTTTGAAAAATTTAAAAAAATAAACAATTCAAAAAAATTTGAAAAGATGTAAAAAATAAATAAAAAGTTAAAATGAATTTTAAGAATAGAAAAAAAATTTGAATAAAATTAAAAACATTTGAAAAATGTTGAAAAGTTTAAAAAAGGTGAAAAAAGTTTTTAAAAAGGTGAAAAAAGTTTGAAAATTTTCAAAATACGTGAAAAAAGTGGAAAAGTTTTTAAAAAAGGTAAAAAAAATTTAAAAGATAAATTCAAAGTTTTAAAATAAAAAAATTCACACAAGCTTTAAAAAAAGTCAAAAATGTTAAAAATAAGATAAAAAAAATTGAAAACTAAAAAAAAATTAAATTTGAAAAAAAAAATCTCACCTGAAGCTCAAATAAATCATTTGAATATTTGCCATATTCAACCATTCCGCCAAAAATTAAAATTTTAGTTCCATCAACTACAAAGCCATATGCAGCACATCCTGGAGGTACGTCTCCTTTTGTTGCTGGAACATACCACTGGTTTGTGACTGTAGATTGAGAATTTAATTAGAAAAATTGTCATTAAAATTTATTTTTCAATTTCAATTGTTTTGAAAAATTCAAAATAATTTTTGGAAAAATTCAAAATAATTTTTGGAAAAATTCAAAATAATTTTTGGAAAAATTCAAAACAATTTAAAAAAAAATTCAAAATAATTTTAAAAAAATTGAATATAATTTAAACAAAATTCAAAACAATTTAAAAACATTCAAAATAATTTTAAAAAAATCAAAATAGTTTTAAAAAGATTCAAAATAATTTTAAAAAAATTCAAAATAATTTTAAAAAAATTCAAAATAATTTTAAAAAAATTGAAAATAATTTAAAAAAAATCCAAAACAATTTAAAAGCATTCAAAATAATTTTAAAAAAATCAAAATAGTTTTAAAAAGATTCAAAATAATTTTAAAAAAATTCAAAATAATTTTAAAAAAATTCAAAATAAGTTTAAAAAAATCCAAAATAATTTTCAAAATTGTTCAAAATTTATCAAATTTTAAAAAAAGCAACACGAGGCTAATCACACATTTATCTAAGCACACACTCTTTAAATAGAAGTAATATTTTAACCATATGCGAAAAGTTTGTGATCAAATATTTATCACTCGACTACAATGTTGCATTTTTCACTTACGAGAATATAAAAAAAAAATATTAAAATTTGCGTTGGTTGAAAATATAAAGGCAGAGTCAGCATGAATTTTGAAAATAAAATATGTAAAAAGAAAATTTCAAGGTCCAATTTGACATTCATGAATGAACGTTATGTGAGAAAAAATAGTAATACAATATTTATATTTCTGGCAAATTAATGAGATTGGGTGAAAATTAAATTGTGATATAGTTTGTGCAAATTAAGCCTAATTGGCATGTAGATTGAGTAAAAGTTGCAAATAAGTATGATGCACTAAGACTAGAAAGTTGAAAATATAATAAATTCAAAAATCAAAAAGTTGAAATTTATAAAACAGATTAAAAAGTGAAAAAGGGAAATAGTTTCCAATTAAAAAATTGAACATTTAAAAAATTAAAAAGTGAAAAAATCAAAAGAATTAAATTTATAAAATTTAAAAAAATTAAAAACTTAAAAGGTTCAAAAACAAAAAATTGAAAGTTTAAAAAATTAAAAAAATTTAAAATTTGAAAATTAAAAAATCTAAAATTTGAAAAATCAAAAAATCTAAAATTTGAAAAATTAAAAAAGTTAAAAATTTAAAAAGTTCAAAATTTAATTCAAGTCAACGCTTAACGATTAACGCCTCTAGATAACATTTAAAATAATTCAATCTGGAATCTCTTAATCATCTACCTCCACTTCAACCCAATCTCCTTTAACATAAACATTAAAATTCCCAATAGACTCCAATAAATTCCATTCGCAGCTTGACACTCAACAGTACTATAAAGCTACATCATTTCCCACCTATTTTGTTCAATTAAATAATGCAAATGCTTCGCCCAACCAACGTATAAGCACAAGCAAGCCTCTTTAACCATAATAAATAATAAATTATATGCAAGTCTATTAGAAACTATGTCCACACACGCACAAGCCTCAAGCCATCGACACACACATACAAAAAACTATTCAGGCACAGAAAGAGTCTCAAAGAAGAATTTCAGACCATCAACAAAAAAAAAGCAGCAGCAGCAGCAAAAGAAAGACAGCGAAAAAAAATTCCATCAGTGTGAAACAACAACAACGGATGGCCCGGTTAATGCATGTGGCCATACAGCAACCGGGCCACTGGCGTCCTCAATTCACACACACATCCACAAGCCCAAACATAAATTGCAAATCTCAAAAAAGTGATCATTTTTGAATCAACGGAAAAAAATTTTGGTAGCAATTTTAAAAATTCTGACAGAAACTCACAAGTATTGTAGACGTGAAGCTCATCAACAATGCCTTCATTGCCACCACCAAAAACAACCATTAGCTCTCGTATCGCAACAGCCCTATGGCCATGACGAGGTCGCGGTTGTGGCCCGGTTGTGTTTGTTACTTTCTTCCACTTTAACATGTTTTATTATTTTATTTGTTGTGTATATGAACGAGTTGCAGCCACTATGGCCGTATGTCACTAACACTAAAGTATTTTATGAACGCAGCCGCGGCCAATCTATTTTTTTGTATTTTTGCTTTTAATCTTTTTTGATGCGATTTCTCACTGAAATGTTTGAGAATTTTTGTCAAATTTCTTTCACTTTGGTTGATTTTTGGATTTTTTCACTTTTTTCTCAACTTTTGTGGAATTTTTCTAACTTTTTCGCGACTTTTTTCTTATTTTTTCACTTTTCATCACTTTTGCGGCTTTTTTTTGATTTAATTTTGATGCTGTTGTTGTCACTAACGTCACATTGATGTTTTGGACACAAAATTTTATTTAAATTTTAGCGAAATTTAATTTAATTTTAATAATTTCGCTGCTTGAGCCGAAGATTTATTTTGAATGATTGTACGGTTCCTTCGGTTTTGATGGCTGCTCTATGTAGTTTCGTATCCTCGATGCTCTGATGTTGTTTGGGAAACATTTGAGGGGTTTTTTTGTGTACATTTGAATGAGATTGAAACTTTTGTGAGGAGCTTGTGTTGATTCTGTTGGGTTCTATTGGTGAAATTTGAAGATTTGTTGACTCATTTGGTGTCTGTGGGACAGCTTAAGCTACTATAGCTTTAAAAACTCTCAAAAAGCTAGTCATTTGACATCAAAATGATGAATATTTGCCGAATTTACAAGCAAATTTACAGTTTTCTAGCATTTTTCGTACCTATAGACTTAACTAAAGTTTCGAGTGCCATTAAAGTTTCAAAAATAGTAAAAAATGGCAAACATTCAGCTATAGTCATGATGTGTCACTCAATTTCACTGTGTACATGGCTACGCTGTCTCTATCAAAACCATCTGAACCTTGTTGTACTCACCAGATGTCAATGATTGGTATAAGACCAGCTAGGAGTGGTTCCTTAATTCAACGAAGCTATCCAAGCTTTTGCTTCTATTTTAGACTAGCTTGCGTCAAGTCCAACCGTTTCAGATCAATGTTATTATATAGTTAAAGCACCAAAGGTTAGCTGTTGTTTATAGACTTCTCCTGATGACTTTCGTCCTATATCTCTTCTCTCTTGTCTCGGAAAGTGTTTTGTGAAAATTATATTAAACAGGTTGAATGATTTTGAATTCCAGAACAGTATATTTATTAAACAGCAGTATGGTTTTCGATCTCTTCATTCCACAGTTCATCAGATTCTGCGAATCTCAGAAAATGTTTCATTTGGATTCAATAACAACAAGAGCACTGGTATGGTTTTACTGGATTTGCGCAAAGCTTTCGATAGTGTTTGGCATGACGGTTTAATTCATAAGCTATTACAATACAACTATCCTGTTTATTTGATTAAAATTATACAGTCATACTTGAGTGATCGTACTGCTTATGTCACTTGCCAATCAGCTGATTCTCTCATATTTGAAGTTACTTCCGGTGTCCCTCAAGGTTCACTTATTGCTCCACATCTGTTCAATCTGTTCCTAAATGATGTTCCAATCACGCGGAATTGGTCATTTGTCTCTTTATGCAGATGATACTGCATATTCTGTTCAGATGGCATGGAAAAGTCTGAACGCAATTAAGCTTGAACTTGTCAAAACTGTAGGTTCATTGCAAACTTACTTTCAGGATTGGAAAATTCAAATCAATGAGTCTAAAACCGAATTTATTATGTTTTCCAAATCCACAAAAATGATTGAGAAAACCGAACATGATTCTATTAGCTTCAATGGTCAATTGTTTTCTTGGAAAGAGGCAGTTAAGTATCTCGGTGTTGTTCTAGATAGGAAACTATCCTTTAAACAGCATAATGCCTCAGCGATAAACAAAGCAAGTGCTGCAAGTTTCTCGAGTCTCTATTGCTTATTGAGTAGGAACTCTGTTGCCTCTACAGACTCTAAACTTAGAATTTATAAATCTTATAAAAAAAAAAAAAAAAAAAAAAAAACCTTTACCTATTCAGATCAATTGTGATCCAGAGGTGCGCTAGGGCGATTTGCAGCTAATGAGAGTTTAACGAGTGAGGATGCGCCAAACCACTGCACTCAAACCTAGACCTACAATTTATAGTGGGATCCGAACCACTCCTTTGATGACATTTCTGTCTGTAGCCTACAAAGGAAGGCTGTGAGCCTCATTTCCAGTACATATGATTCGAAAAAGAACAAGTGAAAAATTTCCCATACCCAGTCTCGAACCCATGATCGCTGTGTCGGTATTGCAATAATTAGGTACCGTATAAATCTTATATCAGACCAATTTTAACATATGGCTGTCCAACTTTCTCGAATTCTGCTGCTTGTCATTTGAATAAGCTGCAATTATTCCAAAATAAAATTCTAAGAATGATCCATGGTGTTCACTGGTCAAACTTCATATCAAACGATATGCTACATGATTCATCAAATCTTACTTCAATTAATAACTTTATTAATAATATCACCAATAATTTCTGTGGCAAAATTTCACACCATCCAAACGAACTCATCTTTTCTCTTGGTCAATATAATTACGATTCTCTGAGCTATAGAGTTAAACATAGATTACCAAGAGCTCGTAATTGATGTAAATGCCGGTAAATGCATTCTTTTTTAATTATTCATTTTCTCCTCTTTTTAACTTTTTCTATTTTTTTAAAAAAATCTTTTGGCTTTTTTAATTATTTTTTTGCCTTAACTTCATAAAAATTACATTTTTACTTCAAGCAACTAGTTTAAACACCCTCACATAAGCGATTGATTTATAACCGACAAAGGTTAAGATCAAAAATATTTAATTTCTGGTGCGCCTTATATTATGCATTGAATAAAGGATTATTATTATTGTTGTTTATAGAGACTTGGATAGCATAAGCATGCAGTAAAACCTGATTCTAAACATGCCCTGTCAATAAAGTAAAGAGAATGAATGTCTAGATCAGTTGTGTCCAACCTTTGGCTCATTACGTCATATCTGGTCGAGGAGGTTGAAGACGAATATCACACTTGGTGGTAAGCCATGACCCAAACTGCACCCAGCATACGATTCGTGAGATATACCAAATTTTTCACTGCACACTATTGTGCCGTGGCACACAGGTTCGTCATCACTGCTCTAGATGATTACTAGACTTGGAAATGCCATTAGTCAACACTTAGTCAAGTGATGAAACAAACATACTATCTTAGTTCCACTAAGCTGCTTTGTTCACCTTAGCTGCTTTATTTACCTGAAGTTACCTTTCATTGTAAGAACTGTAAAGCAATAATATTGGAAATAATAAGCATCAACCTAGTTAATCCTCAAAATTTTATTAAAATATTTACAAAAATTCACAATTTTCAATCAAATTCTCTTTAAAATCCTCAATTTAGGCAACTTCTTATGAACCTCAGCATCTAGAATCTCCAAATTTTCACAGCTTTCAATGATCAGCTCTTCAATGCCTGAATTCTCATCAAAAATCCTGTAATCCATGACTCGAATGTTCTTCAATTTTAATTTTTTCAACTTTGAGAACTTAAAGAAGCCACCGAGCCATGTCTTTACTATCGTTAAATCCTCAACTTTATTGCAGACTAGTTCCTCATCAAATTTATCCTTTTCAGTCCTTAGATTTGATGCTTCCAGAGTTTTAAGGTTTGGGAAGTTGGCAAGGAAGTTTTTATCAACTGGACCTTCAATCTTCAATATTTTAACAGTCGGAACTGGCTGGAGACAGCTGAGTGTGACTTGTCGACTCTTTTTGCCAATCTTCAGTTCCTGAAGGTTAGTACAACGGTTGATGTAGTCCGAGAAGTCCCAAAATTCAGTTCCATCAATTTCTAAGTATTTAAGGCTTTTGATGTGAAGATCAATGAATCTACGGAAGTGGATGGTCTCTAAGATTGGTGAATTTTTAATTGACAACTTCTTCAGTCTGAACTGCACTTCCGACAGCGATGAGTCATGAAAGATAATCCGTCCGATTCCAGCATTAAAGAATGCCAAAAATCCACTTAATGTCAAGTCTTCCAGCTGGTCCTGAGCTTGTAGGAAGTTAATCATGTCAGGAATCGGTAAATTCCCTCCAGTTGGGACATAATCGTAGACAAGTCGATGACATTTTGAATGCTGAAAGATTTTAAAGATCCTCGAGTCACTCTCCATGATTTGCAGGTCAAGCAAGCTCCTGAATTGAACACTTTCGTGGAACTCCAAATGATAATGGAACAGAATGCCTTTAAATCTGATAAATTTCAAGTTTGGACACTTTTTGAAGATATACAAGAACAACTTTGCTGGCAAGTTCCAGTTCCATCTTCTAATCTCCAAATGCTCAATGTCAGTTCCAATTGAACTCAATGCACCAATATGAATCCGTTCAACAAAGTTATCAACCGTCAATCTTTGATATTTTCGGTTTTGTGAGCTTTTGAAGAAGTCTTCTCGATGACGGAAGTAAATTGTGAATTTTTCAGACAATTCCTTCCTTGTGCTGATGATTTTGTTGTAGTATGAACAGGTTTCAGTCAGATGAAGGAGCTCAGTAGCTTGGCAGTGCGAAAATATTTGAAGTAAAATTTCCAGCGGTAAATTTTCCATTATTTTTTTTAAATTTGAATTTTTAAATGTTTCTGTGACTTTTATTCACGACTTTATTGCTTAACCCAATCACAAATCTTTAATACTAAACCTAATTATCTAATTGAACTTCCTTAAACGTTTGATTTCGCATCACAAAGATTTCACAATATTGACTTTTGTTTATAAATGTCTGTGTACTAACAGGTAGCAGGCATCATAACAACAACAGAGTCTAAAGAAAGTTAAAAACAGATGCGGAAACAGTGATGCGAAATGCAGTTGATGATTGAAAAGTGATATTCCGTTAAATGGAATTGATTGCCTTGATGAATCTGAAAATGAATAATTAAGGCTCTAGAGCTGACGTTCGAACTCATCTAGGTTTCTAGAACAACCCCCCCCCCCCTTTGCTGTCACAAAGTGTGTACGAAGAATCATGCCATTTTCACGCTTCTCGCGGTTTGAGCCTTCACAAAACTTCAGTCCCTACAAACCGCCTCCCCAATCCTCTGTAAATGTCGAACGTCACTTATGAACAGTCCCTATATGAAAACTACAAGAGATAACAATTTTCAACATTTATTCACCACTTTTGTCACTCACATAATTCAGAATATTATCAAACTCGACCCCCCCCCCCCCCCCCCCCCGTACCCCTCTCTTAATTCCCAGCATGCTTATTATCAATATGATGCTTCAGACTGTGCTTTGTCTTAACAACAATTCCACAAAAATCGCATGTAAATCTCTCAGTTGGATGTACTTTCCTGTGATGTCCCCAAAGTGATGCCTTGTTCTTCAGCAGTGCTCCACATTTCTCACATTTCAGCCAATTTTTCTTCATTTCCAATTTTTTATCGCGTTTCTCGTGAGTCGTCAAGTGATACTTGATGCTTTCCTTTCGATGCGTTATGAATGGACAGTGTGGACATTTGAGATCCCTGACAATGCCTTTATGTAGCTTGCTGTGTGTCGTTAAGCTTGTTCGAGTTGAAAATGATTTTTTGCAGATGCTACATTTGAAAATTTCTGGATCTTCATGCCATTTGAGATGCTCAGTCAGTTCGTATTGTGATGAGAACTTTCTGTCGCATTGATCGCAGTTGAACTTTCTGTTGTGCGTGTCCAAATGTCTTTTCAGCTTTTCCTTAGTTTTAAATGCTGCGTCACAAATTTTACACTTGAAATCTCTAACTTCTGAGTGGACATACCTCATGTGCTGATAAATGCACTGTGGCTTCATTTGCTTTAAGCAAATCTTGCAGGTAATAAGCTCAGCAGCATGACACATTCGGATGTGATCCCTCAATGCAATATCTGACTTCCATTTCTTCCCACAAACTTCACATTTGTATTTGGCTTCCTTACGATGATCGAGGACATGTCTGACAATTGATGGACGATATTTGAAGCTTTTACCACAAAAGTCACAGATGAACAGGCTTAATTCTGACAAATCTGTGTGCATGTTCCGGATGTGGTCATTAAGTTTTGTTTTTGATGAGAAATTCTTCGGACAATGAGTACAAGTCAAGCATTTATGCTGATCATATGGCTTCTGCTTCTTAAACTTCATTCCACATTTGTCGCACGAAAGTGTCGCAAAAACATGCAGGATCTGATGGTTCTGCAGACCCATGCGCTTCATGAAACTCTTATTACAAATTTCACATTTAAATCTCAAATTTTTCGTCACTTCCAAATGCTCAGTCATGTGCCTGTAAATTGACACTTTGTACTTTAGTGCCTTTCCACAAATGTCACAAGTAAACAGCTCCAAATTTGACTTTTCTGAGTGGACATAAGTCACATGTCTAATCAACTTTGGCTTATTTTTGAACTTTTTACCACAATATTGGCAAATTGGACATTCGTGGTTCTTAAAGGCTCTACTTGTTTTGAACTTGAGTCCACATTTAAGGCACGGATAGTCATATGAAGTGTGTGCTGCTTGATGATTAATTAAGCTGAGTCTTTTGTCGAATGACTTTGGACACAGTTTGCATTGAAACTCCTTTTTTGGGGTTGAGTTTGAGACATTCTTGGAGGTTGATGGGAAGTTGACATCTGCTGATGAGGTATTAGGCATATCAGTTCCAAGACCTAGTGCATCCAAGTGCATTTCATGTAATTTTTTGATGTCTGCATTTTGAGATGATTTTGAGGTTAATTCTGTTCCTTGTTCCTTTTTGACAGAGATTTTGGTGAACAGGGCTGCTAGTCTTGGATCTTTGGTGTCTTCAATGCTCAATCTTGAGTAAAGCTCGTTGGAATTGTCTTCGTTGTTGTCGATTGATGTGTTTGAATTCTTGGAATGCTTAGGATCGACTTTGGTACTGTGATTTTCAGACTTTGAAGCTTTGGACAGTGAGCTGCGAGATTCTCGAGTTGATTTATTAGGTTTAGTTCTTGTTGATGTAGATTCTGATGTTTTGTTTGATTTTTTTGTTTTTCCTTCAAGATTTTGAGTATCAGAAGTGGAATTAGCATCCTTCTGACCTTGTGGCTTGCATTGGTCAAATATCTTGAAGTATTTTCCATCCTTTTGCTGGTTGTTGTCAACTTTAGAGTTCTTGCACTCAGTTTTATCAGAATTTTTGATACTCGTTGTCGAATTTGAATCTGAGTTGTCAATTTTTCTGGATTTTGAGGTTGATTGTGGCAGTGATTTGGCTGGCTTTGAAGATTTTGTTGGTTTTGAACCTTTTTTATCTTTTTTTGGATCAATTTTCTTCAAATTTGTTGAAACGTTCATTGATTTTTTACTTTTATGAACAGGTTGTGATGAATTTGAGTCGGAATCATGATTTGTTGCAGATATTTCATCGTTGTGGAACTGATCAGAATCATTGGAATCTTCAGACTCATTTCGACTTAGATTGTCTTCAATAACACCAATTTTGTTGAATTTTGAGGCACTTTTTACTGAACTTTTCGTCTTTTTGCTTCCTTTTTCATCTTTTTTAAGAGAATTGTTGGATTTTGAGGCTTCCTCGCTAACCTTTGACACTGTCTTCCTTCCACTTGTCGACTTTCTGCTTGTGGCTTTTGCCTGATCTAGTTTAAACTTCTTTGCATAAGGCTCAGCGATTGCCATGTCAACTTTGGTGATTTTTACTTCAATTTTAACAAAATCAACTCCAAAATCTTCAATTTCCTCCTTGATTATCATGAATTCTTCTTTAATGGCTTCAGAGTTGCTTGATTTGTCTTGGCATGACTCAGTTTGTTGTTCATGTTGCTGCTCACGACTGTCTGAATAGTCATCAGGCTCCAACTTGACTTGAACTTCACTTTCTGTCATTTTAGCAGTTGTTCTTTGATTTGAATCTTCTGTTTTACCGGAACTGGATTCAATTTCATCGTCCGATGTTGGACCGTCTTCAATATCCTGCTGTATCCTCTCTTCATTGTCCTCAACAGCCAATTCATAACTAATTTCAACTTCCTTCTTTATTTTGTTTGCTTCATCGAAGCTTGATGCTAGTTGGAAGTTCTGAATGACAAGCGATTCCTCCTCCTCGCAATCCTTTTCAATTTTGATCTTAATGTGATCTGGAAGGTGATTTTGGGTTTGTGGACTTGCAGTTCGTCGGCGTTTTGGCATTTTAATCAATTAAGTTGTTATCTTGGCGATATTTAATGCTGGACTGATTACACAATTTAAAGTTGTTGAATTTTATGTAAAAATTCTCATATTTGTAAGCCTAGAAACTATTTTAATTGAGATTTATTTAAAAATCGTTGACAGTTTTTAGCGAAAACTTTACTAGAAATTGAGATCGAGAAATGACAACAAAAAACAGCTGATTGTGATGCGAAAACAAATTTTTTAGTTTATGATTCTCAATAATAGATGGCGCTGATGATGCAGACGGTGCTAATATGCCAACTTTTATCACCACTTCTTAGATTAGGATATAAGCTGTCCGATTGAGACATTCTGGATATAAACCGGATTTTAAAAAACAGCTGTTATCAGGTTCTAGTTTAAAGCACTGAGTTTGAGTTTTGATTAGTATCACAAATCGAGAGGTTGAGAACCACTGTAAATCAGCAGTGAGCATCCATTTTCGTACGATTGCACACTTTGGTATTAAGCCATAATTGAAACTTTCAGAGTTGCGAAACAGGCCACCTGTGACAGGTGAGTACCGTTCAATTCCTTGATAATTTGTATGGTTCTGTTAGAAAAACCTTATAAATTATCAAGGAATTGTAGGGTTCTCACCTGTCACAGGTGCCTGTATCGCAACTCTGGAAACTTTACGAATTTGGATTTTCCCACTGCAGACTCATGTTCTGTGGGACGTAGGTTGACCATCTTCCTTTGATGACCTTACAGATCGATTGCGATCCATGTCCTCGCTCAGATGCCTAAAACAGGCTCATTCGAAAGCTACCGCTTACTAATTTCCCATACCAAATGCAAAACTGTCTCTATCAACAGCCGCTTTTCATGGGTTCTTTGGCCTTCCCCGTACTCTCTTGTCATCTACAAAGTCTGTTTTGGAGATCTTATTTAATGGATCTTCCATTGGTATCCTTATAACATCTCTAGCCCATCAGAGCCTATCATCTTTAATTCCTTTTTATGATACCAGCTTCTGTAAAAAGCTGATACAGCTCTGCATTCCTCCTGCATTTGAAAAGAGGAAAGGTTGGCCATCACTGCCATAAATGATTTAAATTAACAAATTCATTCATGAAAGTAATTATCATGATTATAGGACGGCAATTTTATTTAATTTTTTTTTGCAAAACTAAGATCTATTATGATTGATTGCACTTAAATACTTGAAGAATTGAGTTATTATTTCTATACTTGATGCAGAGCATAGCCTGGGGCGGTCCGATGATCCAATGGTCTGAACCCCTCCACAAAAAACAAAACCAAGCGTGGGGCAACGAAAAAAAATTTTTGACCCCTTTTGATTGCGTTTCTGAATTGACCACATCTTTTGAGTTCAACAATCTGCACCTTGAGCTACCCGAGGCTCTATGTTAATAATAATAATAATGTGTGAAGGGCCCAGCTTTTCAGCTGGAGGCACTGCGACTCAAATTAGAACAAAATCTATTGTACCACACCCTTTAAACCTACAATTTATAGTGGGAACCGAACCAGAAATGTACCCAGTCACAATTTGTGTGCGCAAGATGCCGTAAGGAAGTCATCCAGATGCTAGTATATCCTTGTATATCTAGCAAACGAGGCACATTCAGTGCCAAAGACATCAATACTACCCAACACACGAACCGAGCTTCGTAACTAGAACGGTGAAAATGGAAAATGAGCTTCGAAAATTAGACATGGCCTGGGATTGAACCCAGGACCTTTGGCACAGAAGGCCAACGCTCTACCATTTAGGCCACTGATGCCATTTCACCGCTGAGGCTCTATGTTATAGCCTTAGATTTATTTCATTCATATTTTGTAGGATATGGCCCTGAATTGACCTAATCACATACATAATTCAAAATATAAAATACTGCAAATTAAATAATTAAAAATTTTGAATGAAAAAAATTTGCAAATATTCTAAATGATAACATTTTAGTCGTTGTCCTCATTTGAAGATGAAGCAAATGTTTTTATTTTTAAGTTTTTTGTTAATTTGCCACTCAATTGAAGCGTACAGCAGGAAATTCCTGAAAATTGAAAACTGCACAACTTCTGGAGTTCACGCAATCATTGAGGAATGTGCAATTAAAGACAATAAATTTAATATTGTGTTTCGATATGTCAATGGAACTAGTGTTGCCAATGTAAGATTTATTTATTTCGGTCAAGGTTCTTATCTATCGGTTTAATGCAGTGTTGTCGAATGTTTGAGCCACGGCACACTTAAGCGTTAAGTCATGACCGAATCGCAAATAACGTGCGGCTTATGCCATTTGTAAGTATTCCGCGGCACACAGTTTGGACAACACTGCTTACACACCCGAATGGCTCAAGTCGATTAATCGAATAGAAATCCAGCGCCCAGCCGGCATGACTCTGGCATGGTGCTAGTTTCAATTTATATCCAGTACCATGCCAGAGTCTCACCGGCCTGGTGCTGAATTTTTGATCGATTAATCGACTTGTGCCATTCAGGACATTAAACCTTTGAAAAGGTTTGGAAGCTCAAATAAAAAAATTAATTCAATTTCAGTTCCAATTCAGCGTCTTCAAAATAGAAAACAACATTGCCAAGCAAATTTTGAGGATTCCAAAAATTGACTTTTGTATTTTTCTATCAAAAAAATCAAAACTCAATCCAATTGTGAAAGTTCTTTTTGACATTATGGCTTCAATGTTTGACAAAAGTATCGCATGTCCTTACGTTGGCCGGCTGGAAATTAAGGATCTTTCATTGAATGATAAGAATTTATTTATTTTGCCACAAGGAATCATTCGATTTACAGTCCATGGAAGCACTTTGATAAACTTTTGGTCTTTGTGTCGGTGTTGTTTGAAATTGAAAATTGACTGGATCTTGTAATAATTGATGTAATTTTTTGGTAGATTAAACTTGATAATCGAGAATTGGCCAATTTTAATGGAATTTGAATAAAATTTTAAAATAATTGGTTTTTGACTTTTATTTGAATTTATAGAAATTTAAAGAATCGTTGCAGTTTTGTGTCTTGTTCTGAGCTGTTGAGATTGCCATGAAATTTAAATTATTTAAAATGTTATTAATAACACTTGTAGTTGTGCTTCACATTGAAGCTTACAGCAGAAATTTTTTAAAAATTGAAAATTGCACATCGTCTGGTAAATCGTCAGTGATTGAAGAATGTTCGATTATTAATAATCGACTAAATATTGTGATAAGAATCTTTAATGGATCTAATAATGCTTATGTAAGATGGTTCAGTTGATAACTTAGAAACTTCTTTTTTAAATTTTTTATTTTTTTGAACTTTTTTAAACTTTTGAATTTTTTTGATTTTATTTTGAAATTTTTACTTTATCTTTTGAATTTATAGAATTTATCGAAACTTTTATAATTTTTGAATTGTTTGGATTTATTAAATTTTAGATTTTATTGAAATTTTAGATTTTATTGAAATTTTAGATTTTATTGAAATTTTAGATTTTATTGAAATTTTAGGTTTTATTGAAATTTTAGATTTTGTTGCAATTTTCATAATTTCTGAACTTAAATTATTTTTTTGAATTTTTATAGTTTTTGACCTTTTTGAATTTCATTTATATTTTTGAAATTTTTGGGATGTACCAGGCGCGTAGCCAGGGTGGGGGGGTATTTGGGGGACAAACCCCTTTCGTCTTGAGAAATTTCTTAATTTTGCTGGAATTTTTATGAAAGTATTCCATACAAAAATAAAATTTGTCCCCCCTCTTCAAATTCCTGGCTACGCCCCTTGGATGTACTGAAATTTTAAGAATTTTATGAAGTTTTTATAACTTTTGATTTTTAATAAATTTTTTTTGAAATTTTTGACCAAACTTTATTGAAGTTTTGAAATTTTGAATTTTTTGAATTTTTTTGAACTTTTTGAAATTTTTACAATTTTAAAAATTATTTGATTTTTTGTATTTTTTTGAATGTTTTGAAATTGTTTAAAATTTTTGGAACATAATAAAATTTTTTATAAATTTTGAAACACAATGAATTTTTTAAATCTATTTTGGTGGTTTTTGACATTTTAGAAATTTTTGAAATTATTTAATTTTTTCAAATTTTTGGGATTTTCTAAAATTTTTGAGTTCATTGAAATTTTTGAAAATCATTTTTAAAATATTTTCAAATTTTTCAAAAACTTTATTTCCATAGATTATTTTCAAAACTATTTTAATCTAATTTTTATCCCAGTTCCAATTTAATCTCTACAAAATCGAAGGAAAAAATGCAAAACGAATTTTTAAAATGCCCAAAATCAACGCATGCGACTATGCAGCTCAAAAAAGTCGAATCAATCCAATGTTAAAAGTCATCATAAACATCATGCAGTCATTCTACGGCGTTGTTAAAAAATGTCCCTTCACCTGAGTATTAACTTTAAGTAATTTGTCGTTAAGTGACAAAAATATCTTCATTTTACCAACAGGAGTTACCAGACTGACATCACACGTGTCTACAGACAATGATGACATTTTACATTGGTTTTCGCTTCTTTTTGAGGTTGAAAATTGAAGCTTAAATAATTATTTGAAATTTCGGAAGCAGAAAATTATTTTTATTAAAAAAATTTAATTTGAATTCGACAAAATTTTGTAACTTTTTGCTAATTTGTGACTTAATTTATAAATATCCGAATGAAATCGTTTGATTTTAATCGTAATATGCAAATTATAGCTTGTGAGTCACTAAACAGCATGCATTTTAATACCACGTGTTCAGAATTAATAAATAAAAACATTTTCTTATCAATTCAGGGATTTTTCATTTTCAACTCAGTTGTGAGAGATTGCATCAATCAGACAGACTTAAGCTCTGCTACTTCCTCCAGCATTTATTCTTTTTTGAAGCTCTTTTTATTCAACTTCATTGTTGATTAACTGAAAGTTGTTCCTAAAATTAAATACGTGAAAAAAATTCATTTAAATTGTGTCAAAAAAGTGCAAATTAAGTGCAGTTGCTTATAAAGTTTCCTTGATTCCTTATCAGTGACGTAAGTTTTAAAATAAACAATTTAATTGAAATGCATAATCAGGAATTCCCATTGAGCATCAATGAATAAATGTAAATAACCAGAATTCGAGGGCATAGCCTTGAGGGTCTAGACGTCCTTAAAAGATTTGAGATGTGCTCTCGCTGCGGTTTAAAGCTTTTAATGGGGGACCAGACTTTCTTGAGGGTCTGGGGAGGGGATTTGGGAGGACAAATCTCTCGACGTTAACAGGAATTTCTTCATTTTGATAGGAATTTTATGAAAAAATCTCTCTGAATTTTCCATATAAATTTTTTTTGTACCCCCCCCCCCCCCCCCCCTTCTTCAAATTCCTGGCTACGCCCTGCTTCTTGGTTATAATCTTGTCATCATTGCGACTGCACTTATGCTGTCCGACAATGGATTTCCAGGAAGTTTTCTTGTTCTTTTCGTGCTGAACCCCGCCCCCCCTTCGGACGTCATAAATGAACTGCCTCTCATTTCTTACTTACGTTTTAAAAGTGAAGTGCTAATTGTTCAGATACAATAAAAATTATTTAGATCTGTTATGTCTCCTCTCATAATGTGGAGGGGAGGGGGGGGGGGGGGGGGGAGGGGCGGGGGTTTTGTTGCAAATTTACATATTTTTATTTTTTTAAAAAAACTCAACTTTTTTTTATTGGTTTTGGGAAAGTGTAGCCAAGGGGGGGGGATTTGGAGCACAAATCCACTTTTATTCAGTTTATATGTCCTCCCGCCTTCAAATTCTAGGCTTCATCACTGGTTTTGGGTAGGGGATGTTCAAGGGGATCTAATTTCTAGCTTTAAACTTTTATTTTTTCTATTTTAGAATGAAATCAAACGTTGATGCGCTTATGAAGTTTTTTCTTTTATTATGCTTCATTCATGCAACAGAAGCACAAACTGCAAAATGTTTCTACAAATATAAATATTACGAGACTAAGAGCTTCAAAACCACAAACACTTCTTATTATAGATGTGATTTGGACACAAAACAAGGAAATTACAATGAAAAGCTCATGAGAATTGATGGACAACATGGAACTGGGCATAGCGATGCTGATGTAAAATGGATTATTTCTTATAAAAACCACAAACTAAGAACATTTTCATCAATTTTCTGTCAAAAGTTTCCAAATCTTGAACTTATTCAGATTAATGATGCAGAACTGGAATTAATTGATGAAGATTCGCTGTCGAATTGCATGAATTTGGATCGATTGTCCTTGTTTGGCAACAAAATTCGAGAAGTTCCAGAAAATTTGCTGACTCAAAACTTAAACTTGACTTATTTATGGATATCTAACAATCAACTGACATCGTTGCCTGAAAATTTGTTCCTCAATCAAAAGGAACTTGAGGAATTGTATTTATATTATAATGAAATAACGTTCCTGCCGAGCAACATTTTTCGTCCACTTGCCAAGCTTCAAGTGCTTTATTTGAACAACAACAAGCTTCAGTCAATCAATCCAGAATGGTTTGTGACTTTGCTGAATTTAAAGTGGTTAGGTTTGCAAGGCAATCAAATTGTGGAAATTCCATCAAAAGCTTTTGCAGCTCTCAGAAATTTGGAAAAATTGTGGCTTTTTGAAAACAGAATTAAAACTTTAAAATCGGACAACTTTTATGGTCTACAAAACTTGAAAACATTAAGTTTGCATACCAATGAAATTTCAGATCTGCCTGTTGGTGTTTTCACAAAGTTGAACAATTTACAAGATTTGAATTTAAAGAACAACAAATTGACATCAATCCACTCAGATTCCTTCGGTGTTTCCAATAATTTGACCAAACTTTGGCTTGTCAACAACAAAATTAGCTCAATTGATCCAAAATTCATCGACAACACAGCAGTTTCAATCCTCAACATGACAAACAACATCTGCAGTCAAACAGAGTCTAAAAGGAGATCGGAAGTTGTAAATAATTTAAAGGATTGCTTTGTCAATTACCGGCCTCGCTCAGTTCAAGTTCCAAACTCATGTGGACGATCAGTCATGCCACAAGGAAACATCATCGGTGGAGCCGAAATCAAACGCAACTCATATCCATGGTAAGTTCCAATTTAGGTTCAATAACTTAATTTTACCTTTTTCTTCAGGATTGCAGCTTTGATGAAGCCAACTGGACAATTCTTCTGTGGTGGCACTCTCGTGTCGAGTCGCAAAGTTGTCACAGGTATGGAACCAGTTCCTTCAATTATCCATTTACTAATCCACAAATTAATCTTTCCAGCCGCACATTGCATTCAAAACAAAGGCGAAACTCAACAATTATTGCCAAGTTCAGTCATTGTTCTACTTGGATTTCATGATCTTAGTAATTCAATTGAAGTCGGGCGAGTTCCTTATGCAGTTAAAGCTATCAACATTCATTCCGATTGGAATCCATACACAACTTCTTATGATGCTGACATTGCTGTATTGGTGCTTGATCATGATGTCATATTTAATAATTATATCCAGCCAATCTGCATGACATCAACCGATCCAAGGATTGTAGAAATGACTGAAGGTGCTGTTGTTGGAAATGGAAAAGGAGGAGAAGCCAATGAATATGAAAATATTCCAAAAATCCTCAAAATGCCGATCCAAACTGCTCGTCACTGCACTGAGAAAGACAGCACATTTCAACAGCTTTTAACTGGACGAACATTTTGTGCTGGAAATGGAACTGGTCAAGGAGTGTGTACTGGTGATAGCGGAAGTGGATTTGTTGTACAAATTGGAAATTCTTTTTATTTACGTGGAATTGTGTCAGCCTCACTTGGTGATTCAATACTTGGATGTGATGTCGATTCCTATTCTGTCTTTACAGATGCTTTAAAGTACATCAATTGGATCAAAGCTTAAAAGGCGCTGACATAAGCTGTCTGTTTTATGGAACTTTGAGTCCAAGATATGGACGAGCTACGCACGATGAATTTTTCAATTGGACTTTTGTGCCATTCGAAGCTGAAAAATAATGATTATTATTTATTTAATCAGTTAATTTGATCAAATTGAAGTAAAAAGCTTAATTTAAAATTTCCGTTTATTTTTCATTTGCTACCGTAGCTGACCAATTTAATAGCCTTTGTCATTTCACCTTTTTCTTTGCTTAAAAAATGATTCTTAAAGTTTTGGTAATTTTTGTCCAAATTTTATTTATTTTAACATTTGTTGGCTCTTACAACAGAAGATTCTTAAAAATTGAAAATTGCACAACATCAGGAAAGACTTCAATCATTGAAGTATGTGAATTTAAGGACAGCCGTTTGAATATTTCTTTGAGAATATTTAAAGGATCTAGTGTGTCTACTGTATGTAACAGGTTTTATTCTTGCCTAGTCTAAGATAACCCCAATCACCTTACTACTCTCATTTAGCTAAAAACCTTAATTTCTAACCTTCAACTTTTTTTTCCAAACAGTTCCAACTGAACCTCTTCAAACTAGAAAAAAACGTCCAAAAACGCATAGCAAGAACTCCAAAATTCGATGCCTGCCGATTCTTATCAAAACGAAGTCGTCAAAATCCCGTAATTAATGCAGTCTTGTCAGTTTTAAAGCAGTTTTACGACAACGTTAAGGAATGTCCATTTGAAGGCACAATGGCACTCAAAAATTTCTCTTTAAATGACAAAAGCTTGTTCATGTTGCCGCAAGGAATTATTCGATTTACGGCTTTTGGAACGACTGCAATTGATGATATGCTGTTGAGTGTGTCTGTGCTGTTTCAGGTTGATGATTAAGATTAGATGTAAATTTCAAACTAAGTCAAGGTTTTGGGTTATAACAAAAAATATAAAAGTCAATTATCTAATGCAGTGATGGTCAACCCATGTGTCACGAAAAAATTCTGAGTTGTATGCTGTGTTTCAGTCATGGCTTACGATCAAGGTGTACCGTGGCACAAAAAAGGTTGAGCACCACTGATCTAATGACAAACTTTCTAAATAAAATTCTAAAATAATTATTTTGTCATTAATTCTAAGTTTGTGTGTTATTTATAAATCTAAGCATCAGTCAATAACATATCAATCCACAATGTGGTTTGTAAGTGTTCTAATTATTTTTCAATTGACAATATCCATTGACGGTTATGGAAGGACATTTCTAAAAATCGAGAACTGCTCATCATCTGGAGGGACAATCGACATTGAGGAATGTTACTTGAAGAACAATAAGTTTAATATGATCCTTAATTATCGAGCAGAACGTCCAGCTCGTGAAGATTTGGTAATTTTTTTAGCGCATTTTTGAAACTTGTTTCTAAAAGGTAGCTTAATAATACACTTTGTTCGGCTGCACGGGCGAAGAAAAACTTTTTAACCAGACATCGTAGAGAGCTCGGGTTTGTTTTATTAGCTCCGTTACTATCGATTTATCGGCCCATCGAGTGGTTAAAAGTCTTCAAACCATGTATTTATGCTATAATTAATGATTTTTTTTTGTTTTCAGTGTAACCTGCCCAAATTTTATTTTACCTCTATAATTTCAACATTACCTCTATAATTTCATTTTTTTCTAGCCGTTGTAAAATTTGAATTTCAAAAAACCGTTAAATGATAAAGCCTTTCTATATGGAAATTCATTGTAGTTATTTGTTAATTACACTAAAATTAACGACCTCTAATCTTCTCATGATCTGTAAGTCAACGCAAAATAATTAGATAATCAAAAACTGATCGCCAACACAAAAATGCGCTTAAGTCCCTCGATCAATAACACGAGGGCTTCTGTAATTTTTAATTGAATTTTTGGTTGTTTTTGTAAAGTTTTCAGTGTCAGTGCAAGATCTAAAAAGACTTTCAGCGAGGAAGACTTTTGCAAGACCAAATTTGTCATTAAACCACTGAAATAATTATTTTATAAACTACAAAACATTTGACTTTAATTCCAGAAACAATTCAGCGTCTACAAAATGGAAAACAATCATCCAAAAATCTTATTTAAAATGCCAGAACTTGACATGTGCAAGATGTCACGAAAGAGTTCATCACCAAACCCAGTGGCTAAAAGACTTCTCGAAGTGTTTAAAGGAATTGTGCCAAAAAATTATTCATGTCCATTTGTGGGTCGGATGCAGTTGAAGGACTTTACGTTGAATGACAAAATCTTCTTTTTATTCCCAAATGGAGTCATTCGATTTACGGTCACAGGAAGGAATCATTTTGATAATTTCGCAATGTTTTTGTCAGTGCTGTTGGAAATAAATAACTAAATTTGAATCATTTGTCTCAATTACTGGAGATAATTCTAGCTTATTATTGAGATTATTGAGATTATCTTACTAAACTAGGAACTAAATGTTTTGAAACAGTGGTGACCAACCTTTTTTATGCAACGGCACATCCTGATGATAAGTCATGACTAAAACCATACACGTTATGTGGTTTGTAGGATTTACCAAATTTTTCCGCGATCAATTAGAGTGCCGCGGAAAAAGGGTTTGCCATCACTGCTTTAAAAAAATTATTCACTTAAAATGACTAAGTTTTATTAATAATTAAACATGTAGCTACTCGAAACTTAAGCTTGTCCTAAAAACTTTCTTTTTTCCCAATACTTCGCAGTCAATTGGTCGCAATAATTCCAACTTTCAAAAAAAGTTCAAAATGATTTTAATAAATTTGATTGTAATTTTTATAACCTTCAAAAATTGCAATGGATACGACAGGAAGTTTTTAAAAATGGAAAATTGCACATCGACTGGTAAAACGGCTGTAATTCAAGACTGTGAAGTTAGAGACAACAGAGTTAACGCCAAAGTGACTATTCTGCCTTCAAATAAAAACAGTTCCAACATACGGGTAAGTGATTTAGGTTTTTTGAGGTTAAGGATCGTTCACTAATGTCGTCCACATTAACGGTCATTTTACAAAAAAGAAAAATGGATTTCTAGGAATTTTTATTGTTCTTTTCTTGCAACCCTCCCTCGTCTCCCCCCACCAGGACGTCATAAGTGAATGGCCCCTCAGAGAGAGAGAGGGTTGAGACCTTCCATTAAAAGTTGTCACAGGAGGGTTTGCTAGAGTCAGACTATTTTTGAGCAATAAAAACCAATTTAATCCTTAAAATCCTCAACAAAAATCCAACATTACTCCACCAGTGTTTCTCAAACTATGAACGGATGTTTTAATCCTTCGCAGCATTAAAAGTTTGAGAAACACTGCCCTAACCTCAAAAATCATTGAATTAACCTCAAAAAATTTCAAATTTATTTAAAATTCTAATTTAATTAAACAGCTAAGCTTCAAGTTCTACAGACTCGAAAAAGGAATTTACAAGGAAATATTCAGACTGCCAGAAGTCAAAGGATGTCTCTTCACATTCTCAAGTAGATCATCAAATCCATTCGTCAAGGTCATCATGAATATGATCAAAAAGTATTTACCAAAGACACAAATTTGTCCATTTGTTGGTGTTGTGGATATTAAGGAGCTGTCACTTTATGACAGCGTTTTATTCTTAATTCCACCTGGAACATTTCGGTTTACATTTCATGTTAGCAATGAGAATGATTTTATGGCATTTTGGATATCGTTGACATTTCAAATTGATCATTAAGTGAGGGTAAAGTTGTTGCGAATTCTATACTTGGATGTGATGTCAATTCCTAGTCTGTTTTTACAGATGCTCTAAAGTACGTCAGTTGGATAAACGAATTGTCAGCAGATTTATTTCAAAATAAAAATAAATAAATTTTTCTTTTCGAATTTTTGATTGCTTTTTTTAAAAAAACCTAATCTTTTGTGAATTTTGAAAATTATTTTAGTCAATTCTAAATTCAAAATTGTTCATTTCCGGGAGCTTAATTGCTTCTAATTTTTTAATTTTAAAATGTTTTTAAAAATTTCAACAATTGTCAAAACTCAAATCATAAAAAAAGTATAAAAATAATTTACATTTTAAAATCTCAAATCATTTGCAGCACAATCATGATAAGAAAATTTGTAAAACTTGTAATAATTTCAACTTTACTGTGTCAAGTTCAAGCATATAGCAGGAAATTTTTAAAGATTGAAAACTGCACAACATCGGGAAAAACGGCGCTAATTGACGAATGTTCAATTAAAAATAATAAAATTAATTTTGTATTTAGAATTGTTAATGTCACAACAAGCACTGTGGTGAGTTTGTTGGATGGATGTATACAGAATTGGTCTGTAATGAGCTAAATTAGGTCGTATTGGATAAGATTAACCCTTTCATTGGTATAAATTGTTCAATTTTCTCAAACAATCAACCTAGCTTGCTTCAAAGAGCTCAGCTTTGTCCCATGATTAATTAATTCTTTGATTTGGTTCTTCTAAAATTGACTTCACCTCCTATAAATCAATACTATCTGGGGCGTGGCTAGTTTATCTCAGACTCAGCTTTACTTCAGACTCGAGACCTTGGTTATCCTCATTCAGTCCAAAACTAAGTTCTCTTACTCATTTTAACAGACAAAATCCCACGCTGACCCTAAAAAAGTGTCCTTTCTTCTCAAACTAAGTTTAGCTCTCCATTATTGTTCACTGTAATCCAAAAAGAATCGTTGAGTATTGGGTTAAGTGAGAATCGAACCTACATCTACACAAAAGAGGACTCAAAACACTCACGACACAAAGGCACTAGTAGATTCGTCTATAAATGGCCCATTGCCCCAGATTTCACTTTGCTAAGCCTCTAAAATCACCAATTTCCAAAAAAATATTAATATTCTCCCTTAATTTTCCAGTATCAATTTGCAATTTATCAAATCGAAGGCAATAAAGTCAAACAGTTCTTAAAAACACCAAAATTTGACTTTTGTAAGCTCAGCACTAACAAGACAAGACTCAATCCAATTGTAAAATCACTTTTGAACGTCCTAAAAAGTGTATTTCAAGCTGACATGAATTGTCCATTTGTTGGAACTTTGGCATTAAAGGATTTTTCATTGTATGACAAAAATTTGTTCATTTTACCGCAAGGACTTATTCGATTTACTATTTATGGACGTGCTATGGACGATGAACTTTTCATTTGGGCTTCGGTGCTGTTTGAAATTGAAAATTGAAAAAAAATTGGTTAATTTTTTGTCAGAAAATTTGATAAAATTAAAGACTAGAATTTTTTGTTAATTTAAAATTTCCGATTACAGCTTTAATTGTCATTGTGCCTGACTTTTATCATTCGAAATTCATCTTTTAAATATTAAAAATGAAGTTTAAAGTTTCATCAATTTTTGTTCAAATTTTATTAATTTTAAAATTTTCTGAAGAATACAACAGAAAATTCTTAAAAATTGAAAATAGCACAACATTGGGAAAGACCTCAATTATTGAAGAATGTCAGTTTAAGGACACCCGATTCAACTTTTCTTTGAGAATATTTAATGGATCTGACGTGTCCAATGTAAGTTTCATTTGTTTTGACTTTAAAAACCTTAGTTCCCCCACCTCTGACTCTTCTCATTCAGCTTAAATCTAAAATTTTTAACCTCAATTTTTTCAAATCTTTCCCAAACAGTTCCAAGTGAACCTCTACAAAGTAGAAAATAACGTCGCAAAACGCATAGCAAGAACCCCAAAATTCGATGCCTGCCAATTCTTATCAAAAAGAAATCGTCAAAATCCCGTAATTAATGCAGTCTTGTCAGTTTTGAAGCAGTTCTATGACGTAGCTAAAGGATGTCCATTTGTTGGCACATTAGCACTCAAAAATTTCTCATTAAATGACAAAAGCTATACACATGCTTTGGGAACGACTGGAATTGATGAAATGCTGTTGAGTGTGTCTGTGCTGTTTCAGGTTGATGATTAAAGTTTGATGTAAATTGTAACTAAGTCAAGGTTTTGGGTTATAACAAAAAATATAAAAGCCAATTATCTAATGCAGTGATGGTAAACCCATGTGTCACCATGTGTTTCGGTCATGGCTTACCATCAAGGTGTGTCATGACACAAAAAAGGTTGAGCACCACTGATCTAATGACAAACTTTCTAAATAAAATTCTAAAGTAATTATTTTGTCATTAATTCTAAGTTTGTGTGTTATTTATAAATCTAAGCATCAGTCAATAACATATCAATCCACAATGTGGTTTATTACTGTTATAATTATTTTTCAATTGACGATATCCATTGACGGTTATGGAAGGACATTTCTAAAAATCGAGAACTGCTCATTATCTGGAGAGACAGTAAACATTGGGGAATGTTACTTGAAGAACAATAAGTTTAATATGATCCTTAATTACCGAGCAGAACGACCAGCTCGTGAAGATTTGGTAATTTTTTTAGCGCATTTTTGAAACTTGTTTCTAAAAGGTAGCTTAATAATACACTTTGTTTGGCTGTTCGGCTGCTCGGGCGAAGAAAAACTTTTTAACCAGACATCGTAGAGAGCTCGGGTTTGTTTTATTAGTTCAGTTCTATCGAATTTTTGGCCGGCAAAACAAATAAGAGTCCTAAAACAGTATATTTATACTTTAATTAATGATTTTTTTATTTCATATGAAAAACACTTGATGGGTGCGTTCAGAAATTCGAATTGGTTTCTACCGTTTTAAAAATTGTAATCAGGGTTCGTGAAAATTCGTGAAAACCTCAAATTAATGTTAATTTAACAAATTATTTAATAAGACTTGCTTCATTTTAACTTAGCTTCCACGAGCTTATATTGATGTCAAAGGAATCCTATCTTATTTGGGAAAGAAAAATTAGAGCTGGAAATCAATAAAAAAATATATTCTTAATATGGAAATATGATCCGATCATCATAAACAGGAATGTCCTTTAATCCATCAATCCAATTGACGTACTTCAGAGCATCCGTAAAGACAGAATAGGAATTGACATCACATCCGAGTATAGAATCACCAAGCGATGCTGACACAACACCGCGAAGGTAAAAAACGTTTTCAATTTGCACAACAAATCCACTTCCACTATCACCAGTGCATACGCCTTGACCAGTTCCACTTCCAGCACAGAAAGTTCGTCCAGTTAAAAGATCTTTAAAAATGCTGTCCTTCTTAGTGCAGTGGCGATCAGTTTTGATCGGGATTTTTAGGATTTTCGGTATATTTTCAAACTGATTAGCTTGACCACCTTTTCCATTTCCAACAACAGAACCTTCAGTCTTTTCTGCAATCCTTGGATCAGATGATGTCATGCAGATTGGCTGAATATGTTCATTAAATGTGACATCACGATTCAGCATCAATACAGCAATGTCAGCATCGTATGATGATGTGTATGGATTCCAATCAGGATGAATGTGTATGCCTTGGACTGCATAAGGAGCTCGGCCGACTTCAATTGGTATGCTAAGGTCATAAAATCCTAAAAGAACGATGATTGAGCGTGGTAATAATTTTTGTGGTTCTCCTTTGTTCTGGATGCAATGTGCGGCTGGAATGATGAATTGGATTAGTAATCGGATACTTGAGATAGACGTGGACCATACCTGATACAACTTTGCGGTTCGACACGAGAGTTCCTCCACAGAACAACTGTCCTTTTGGTGTCATAAGTGCTGCAATCCTAAACATTAAGGATGAACACTTAAAAATGGAATTATTAGACTAGAATCGGTTCTTACCATGGATATGAGCCACGTTTGATTTTATTTCCACCGATGATGTTTCCTTGTGGCATGACTGATCGTCCACATTCGCTTGAAACTTGAACTGAGCGAGGCTGGTAATTGCCAAAACATTTTGTCAAATTATTCTTAGATCTGGTTTTGAACTTAGACTGACTGCAGATGTTATTGGTCATATCAAGATAAGCAACGGCTGTATTGTTGATAAACTTTGGATCAATTGCGCTGATTTTGTTGTTGACAAGCCAAAATTTGGTCAAATTATTGGGAACACCGAAAGAATCTGAGTGGATTGATGTCAATTTGTTGTTCTTTAAATTCAATTCTTGCAAATTTGTCAACTGATTGAAGACACCAACAGGCAGATCTGATATTTGATTGCCTTTAAAGCTTAATATTTTCAAATTTTGAAGTCCATCAAAGTTGTCTGCCTTTAAAGTCGCAATTTTATTGTCCGAAATCAACAATTTTTCTAAATTTTTAAGTTCGACAAAAGCTTTTGACGGAATTTTTGTTATTTTATTTCCTTTCAAGTTTAGCCATTTTAAAGTCTGTAGATTCTTAAACCATCCTGGATTTATTGACCAAAGCTTATTTTTGCACAAATTCAGCACTTCAAGTTTTACAAGAGGACAAAAAATGTTGCTTGGCAAGAAATTAATTTTATTCTGATCCAATTTCAATTCCTCAAGTTTCTGTTGGTTTAGAAATAAAGTTTCAGGCAGTGTCTTTAGTCGGTTGTCTAAAATCCTTACTAAAGTTAATTTTGAGTTTTCAATCAGCAAATTTTCAGGAAGCTCCTGTATATTATTCCTAATTAATAGCAAATGATCTAAATTTTTACAATTTGTCAGCGAATCTGCATCAATTGATTCCATTTCTGTTTCTAGCATGAAAATTGTTTCAAGATTTGGAAACTTATTACAGAAAATGGACGTTAATGTATCAAGCTTGGTGCCTACATAATTTTTAAAATGCTTTACCTCAGCATCGCTGTGCTCATCTTCATGTTGTCCATCAATTGTAGTGATTCTTTCATTGTAATTTGATTGTTCTGTGTTTAATTCGCAAGCATATAAAGAGACATTTGTAGTTTTTATTCCAGTTGTCCAGTGATGTTTATATTTGTAATCACATCTTACAGACTGTCCTTTATATCCACAAACCATCAAAAATATGACATAAATCTTGATTATTGCGCTCATGTCTTATTGGTATAGCTTGTTACATCTCTGTAAGTAATGATAATAATTGTTGAGAATCTGAGGGCAATCAAAGATTTAGTTGACAGCAGGTTTTAGAACTTATAACGATTTAACACCCACACATACTCTTTACGGGCCCTCTTAACCCAAAAAATATTTGAAAAGTAATTTTAATTAAAATATTTCACAGCTTCTCTTTCTCTTTGATGACCTTACAGATTAGTTGTAATCCATGGCCTTCCTCAGATGCTGCCTAAAAGTGGCTCTACCGCTGGCTACCGATTGCCAATTTCCTATACCAAATGACGCTTGGAATCCGAAAAAAGAATCCGTCGGTTCCATATTCAAAAACAACCTCTGAGCTTAAATACCAAATTCAGAATCAAAAGGACAAAAGATACAAAAGTTATGGCAAAAAAGCAGCAGTGGCGTATGGATTTGAGTGTTGACCAACCAACCCTAACGACCCGGGCTCGATCCTAGATGATTAGAGACGTGCAAACTGTAACTAGGTACTTTGCAATGATGTACCATGAGTCAATGCAATTGTGCAGAGTTGCAAATACGCAATCATCCGTTGAGGACAAAATTTGGATGTAAAAAGACAAAAACAAGGAAAAATATTAAAATGAAAAATTGTGTCGTACAGACAGACAGGCGTATGGATGGAAAAGTGCGGACAATAGTGTATTTTTATGATAGAAAAATGCACTAAAATACTCAAAAGAATTGAAGAAGTCCCAAAAAATTAGACATTTTTAAACCAAGCCCCCCCCCCCCCCCCCCCCCCCCCTTTCCCCGTGTCACAAGCAGATCCCCTAGATCCTTAATGTTTTATAAAACAGGCTGACAGCCTCTTAAACAACAAACACAACACTTCCCAGCCTACACAATAACTCAATTGTTTCTCTTACAAAATCATTCATATTAATGCTCTAGAGCAGTGGTGTCGAACTTTTTTTTTGTGCCACGGCACCTTTGTTAGTAAGACATAACATAAATCGCAGAAAGCATACGATTCTTGGGATATCCCAATTTTTTTTTACGACACACGGGTTGACCATCACTGTTCTAGAGAGTTTAATGAGAGCATTGATTCTCTCATTATTTAATTTGCGTGCTCTTTTTTTTTATTTCATTGTCAAATTGATTGAAAGTATTTAGCATTAATCCCTAAGACCTATAAAATATTAACAATCATTGCAACTTTTTACCTTTTCTATGCACGTATTTAAAAATAAGCTATGACTTTGAAGACAACAGAAATTTATAAATTAAAAAAACTGGAAATGCCTAGTCGTGTTGATTGACGTGATTTTTCGGAACTAGTGTGATAAGGAACTGCTAATTTTTGTTTTGGTCAAGAATATTAATCTCTGAGAGTACACAAGAGAAAATGAGTTTAAGCTCTTGTTGAGGTAGATCAAGACTTTCAAATATTTTACTGACACTTTTGTGTTATTTGCCCAGGCTCGGAAACTAGCCAATATACCGCCAACTTCCATACAAATTTCTTCAACCAGTTTCCGAGCCTGGCTTTTTACAAATAAAAAAATTAAAAACTTAAATAAAATTTGAATTTATTTATTAAAATTGAATAATATTGAATCTTGGCAAGTACATCGAGTCATGTCCAGGGGGCCGTTCACTTATTTTGTAACGCGAAAAAACGACTTTTTAGACCCCCTCCTCCCTGGTAATAAAATTTGCATGAAAAAAATTTCTTTTGTTTGAACCGTAACAGAATCTTAGACCCCCTCTAAAAGCGTTACGTAATAAGTGAACGGCCCCTATGAAAATCTATTTAAAGCAAGACATTGTGGACTGCACTCCCTTTCGGAAGTTCGTGTCAAGCCTACTCAAGACAGATACAAATATTTTTAATATGGAAATATGATACGGTCCTCATAGACAAGAACCGTCGATAATCCGTTGACCCAATTGATGTATTTTAAAGCATCTGTAAAGACAGAATAGGAATCGACATCACATCCTAAATAAGAATTACCAAGTGAAGCTGATACAATTCCACGTAGATAAAAAGAATTTCCAATTTGTACAACAAATCCACTTCCGCTATCACCAGTACACACTCCTTGACCAGTTCCACTTCCAGCACAAAATGTTCGTCCAGTTAAAAGCTGTTGAAATGTGCTGTCTTTTTCGGTACAGTGACGAGCAGTTTGGATCGGCATTTTGAGAATTTTCGGGATTTTTTCAAACTGATTGGCTTCGCCTCCTTTTCCATTTCCAACAACAGCACCTTCAGTCATTTCTACAATCCTTGGATCGGTTGATGTCATGCAGATTGGCTGAATATAATTGTTAAATATGACGTCATGATCAAGCACCAATACAGCAATGTCAGCATCATAAGAAGTTGTGTGTGGATTCCAATCAGGATTAATATGAATGCTTTGAACTGCATAAGGAGCTCGACCAACTTCAGTTGATATGCTCAGATCATGAAAACCTAGAAGAACAGTGACTGAACGTGGCCACAATGACGAAGTTTCTCGTTTTCCTTGAATGCAATGTGCAGCTGCAAAAATTATTATTATAAATTAATGCTTGGACAATTGAAGGAACTGTGTCCATACCTGTGACTACTTTCCGATTTGATACAAGAGTTCCACCACAGAAGAATTGCTTATTAGGTCTCAGCAGTGCTGCAATCCTATAAATTAATGGATTAGAAGAAGAAGAAAAAATGATTTAGAGTTGGAACTTACCATGGATATGAGTTGGGTTTGATGTTAGTTCCACCGATGATGTTTCCTTGTGGCATGACTGATCGTCCACATGTACTTGGAATTCGGACCGGACGAGCTCGGTAATTGGCAAAGCAGTTCCTTAAATTATTTTCAACTTCCGATCTACTTTTAGACTCTGTTTGACTGCAGATGTTATTTGTCATATCAAGGTAGTCAACGGCTGTGTTGTCGATGAATTTCGGATCAACTGAATTGATTAAGTTCTCTTGAAGATGAATTGCTGTCAACTGATTGTGAATACCGAAGGAATCTGAATGAATTGTTGTCAGATTGTTTCCATACAAACTCAACCTTTGTAAATTCCTCAACTTTGTGAAAACACCAACTGGCAGGTCCGAAATTTCATTAATGTACAAACTTAATATTTTTAAATTCTGAAGACCATCGAAGCTGTCTGAATTTAAATCTTTAATTTTATTTTGAATAATCCACAATCGCTCCAAATTCCTAAGCGATGCAAAACATTTTGATGGAACTTCTAAAATTGGATTTCCTTCCAAGCTTAACCATTTTAAGTTCAGCAAATTCACAAACCATTCTGGATTAATAGTTTGGAAAAGATTGTTATTCAAATAAAGCACTTGAAGTTTGACAAGTGAATGGAAAATTTTATTTGGCAAATAACTGATTTGATTATTATCCAAAAATAAATCCTCAAGTTCGATTAAGTTTTGAAAAACATTTTCTGGCAGTTCGGCTAGTTTGTCAGCATAAACGCGGAGAAAAATTAATTTTGAATTTTTAATAAACAATTTTTCAGGCAGTGTTCGAACTTTGTTGTAGTCAAGCCAAAATTGTTTTAAATTTTGACAATTAAGCAGCGAATCTTCATCAATTGATTCCATTTCTCCGTGACTTATTTTAATAATTTCCAGGTTTGGAAACTTTTGACAAAAAGTTGATGAAAATGTCTTCAATTTGTTTTTATTGTTGGAAATTGCTATGACATCAGCGTCGCTATATCCAGTTGTATGCTGCCCATTAGTTTCTGTAAGTTTTACATTAAATTGTGCTTTGGTTGTGTCCAATAAGCATGTGTAATGATTAGCATTTGATTTGTCAAAAAAAGTAAAATGATTTTGAATTTTGTAATCACATTTTGCAGTTTGTCCTTTTGTTTCATAAATTAGCAGAAGAAGAATGCAAAAGATCAAAAATTCATTCATCTCTAGCGAGTTCCTGTAATAACAAATTCATAAAATAAGTATGTCACTAGTATAGTCTCCCGTCAAACATGACGTAAAAATAATAATATTTGGGAATTAAACATTTAAAAAGCTTAATACACAAAAAATAGAATCAATTATCAGCACTACCACGAATTGTGTGCAGCTGCGGTCATAACTTCCTATGAATAACGAGAATAACTTCCTATAATGAGATCCAGTTAACATTCAGGAACATTATTTCAAACCAAAAATTTCCAGTTCAGAAGGATTTATTTTACCAAAATAATTAAAAAAAATCCGCCATTTTGATTTTTGCCATATTAAAAAAGGAGCTGTAGTAATGATGGAAAGCCACCGATCAAATAAATAAAGTTTGGCAAAAATTTAACTGATTAATTTGTTGTTGATGTGGATTAATGCATACTAGGCGCGTAGCTAGAAGGGTCTCCCCCCTCAGCGAGAGAACAGCCTAAAACGCTTAAGAGGGGGACAAGACCCTCCTGGCTACGCGCCTGATGCACAACTTAATATGTGTGAAACTTGCAGATTGAAATTGCATACAAATTTTTTATTATTTTTTTATCTTTTACTCGCGGTTATGTCATAAAACTAATTATTTAAAAGAAAGAACGATTAAATTTAATTTAAAAAATCACAAATAGAAAATTTTATGATTTTTGACAATAAAAAAATTTTTGGGGCACCCCTCTTGTCTTTAAAAATCCCGGCTGCACCCCTGGTTTAGTATCGGGATTTTGTCACATAGTCCAGACTTTCAGAAACCGTACTGCAGACATATTCAATCCTTTTTAGCGCATTTTTAAAACTTGTTTCGAAAAGGTAGCTTAATATCTCACTATGTCTGTTCGTTCGGGCGGAGAAAAACTTTTTAACTAGACATCGTAGAGAGTTCTAGTTTGTTTTATTAGCTCAGGTCCATTGTTTTATTTTCGGGAAACGCATTTAAAAGTCTTGAAACAGTCTTTTTGTCCTATAATTAATGATTTTTATATTTCATAAACAAAACCACGTGATGAGAGCGTTTAGAAATTCGAATGTATTTCTACCGTTAAAAATTTTTGAATCTCAAAAAACCGTTGAATTACAAAGCCTTTTTAAATGAAATTTTTTTGCAACAGACTGTTATTTATACTCTAATTAATCATTTTACTGTAACTTTTGGCAAGATACTTTCAAATGCATACGACCGTTACAAAATTTGAACTTCAGAAAATCGTTAAATGATAAACTTTTTCTATATGGAAATTCATTTCTACAAATTATTAATTATACAATAGTTATTGTTTTTGAAGTGCAACTTTTAGCAGGAAAATTTCAAAATATTTATTGACCGTTAAATAATAAAGCCTTTCTATATAAGCATTCATTATAATTATTTGCTAATTGATGATCTTCTAATGATCTGCAAATGAACGCAAAATAAATAGAAAATCAAATGCTGATCGCTAACACAAAAATGCGCTTAAGTCCCTCGATCAATAACACGAGGACTTCTGTAATTTTTTTACTAATCGCTTCTTCTTAATCAATCAAGATTAAATAAAACAAATAAAATCAAGATATTTACCAAAACTCTAGTATTTGAAACCAGTTATTCAACAATTTTTTTACACTGATCCACAAAAAATAATTCTTTTAATTTGATGTAACAAGGTGTGAACAGTCGAAACTAAAATGACTTATTAATTCAAAGTTTTATTAAATATTATTTACAATATTAGATTTTTTTTAAATACTGCTTAGACGCAACGCAAAAACTAAACTGAGAAGAAATGAGAAGCTTAAATGCGACAAAATAATCTGCTTTTTGCGAGAACTGAAGGTCAATTTAAAAACTTGTGTTGCTTACAAACACAGAAGATGAAAATAAAATGAGCAGAGAATGTAAAGTGATAACAAAAATTTAAACTCATATTAAAATGAAAATTTAAAAAATTCTTTATTTGTGTTGTCATGGCAAAGTAGATTCTAGTCTATAGAGCCAAAGCTCTAGTGCAAAACATCTAAATGGAAGATGTGGTTTCGATATCCACCAAAGGCCGATCACTACATTGAGTGTTGCCTTTCATAGATTTGAATATTGCTCACGTATTTTTAAAAAAAATAGTTAAAACTGGTCAAGTTGATGCAAATATGATCCGATCATCATAAACAGGAACGTCCTTTAATCCATTAATCCAATTGACGTACTTCAGAGCATCCGTAAAGACAGAATAGGAATTGACATCACATCCGAGTATAGAATCACCAAGTGAAGCTGACACAACACCGCGAAGGTAAAAAACGTTTCCAATTTGCACAACAAATCCACTTCCACTATCACCAGTGCATACGCCTTGACCAGTTCCAGTTCCAGCACAGAAGGTTCGTCCAGTTAAAAGATCTTTAAAAATACTGTCCTTCTTAGTGCAGTGGCGAGCAGTTTGAATCGGCATTTTGAGGATTTTCGGGATTTTTTCAAACTGATTGGCTTCGCCTCCTTTTCCATTTCCAACAATAGCACCTTCAGTCATTTCTACAATCCTTGGATCATTTAATGTCATGCAGATTGGCTGAATAAATTCATTAAATGGAACATCCCGATACAGCATCAATACAGCAATGTCAGCATCGTACGAAGTTGTGTATGGATTCCAATCAGGATGAATGTGGATGCCTTGGACTGCATAAGGAGCTCGACCGATTTCAATAGGTATGCTAAGGTCATAAAATCCTAAAAGAACGATGATTGAGCGTGGTAATAATTTTTGTGGTTTTCCTTTGTTCTGGATGCAATGTGCGGCTGGAATGATGAATTGGATTAGTAATCGGATACTTGAGATAGACGTGGACCATACCTGATACAACTTTGCGGTTCGACACGAGAGTTCCTCCACAGAACAGCTGTCCTTTTGGAGTCATAAGTGCTGCAATCCTTAAAATTAAGGATGAACACTTAAAAATGGAACTATTAGACTAGAATCGGTTCTTACCATGGATATGAGCCACGTTTGATTTTACTTCCACCGATGTTGTTTCCTTGTGGCATGACTGATCGTCCACATGAGCTTGAAACTTGAACTGAGCGAGGCTGATAATTGGCAAAACATTTTGTCAAATTATTCTTAACTTCTGATCTGGTTTGAAGCATAGATCGACTGCAGATGTTATTTTTGAGGTTAAGGCTTGCAACTGCTGAGTTTTCTATGAACTTTGGATCAATTGCGCTGATTTTGTTGTTGACAAGCCAAAATTTGGTCAAATTATTGGGAACACCGAAAGAATCTGAGTGGATTGATGATAATTTGTTGTTATCCAAATATAAAACTCGTAAATTTGTCAACTGATTGAAGACACCAACTGGCAGGTCTGAAATGTCATTGCTGTACAAAGACAATGTGTGTAAATTTTGAAGACCATTAAAGTTGTCCGATTTTAAAGTTTTAATTCTGTTTTCGTAAATCCACAATTTTTCCAAATTTTTAAGAGATGCAAAACATTTTGATGGAATTTCTACAATTTGATTTTCATGCAAACCTAACCACTTTAAATTCTGCAAATTCACAAACTAATCTGGATTGATTGACTGAAGCTTGTTTTTGAGTAATTGAAGCACTTCAAGTTTTAGAAGTGGACGAAAAATGTTGCCTGGAAGGACATTTATTTGATTACCACTCAACTGCAAATTCTCAAGTTTCTTTTGATTGAGGAACAACTTTTCGGGCAACATTGTTCGTTGATTATTAGCTATCCGTAAATAAGTCAAGTTTGAGTTTTGAATCAGCAGATTTTCTGAAATTTCTCGAATTTTGTTTTGAAATAAGATCAATTGATCCAAATTCTTGCATTTTGACAGCGAATCTTCATCAATTGATTCCAGTTCCGCTTTAATCATTGAGATTACTTCAAGATTTGGAAACTTTTGACAGAAAATTGATGTAAATGTTCTTAGTTTGCGGGTTTTATAAGGAATAATCCATTTTACATCAGCATCGCTATGTCCAGTTCCATGTTGTCCATCAATTCTCATGAGCTTTTCATTGTAATTTCCTTGTTTTGTGTCCAAATCACATCTGTAATAAGAAGTGTTTGTGGTTTTGAAGCTCTTAGTCTCGTAATATTTATGTATGTAGTCACATTTTACAACTTGCCCTTTTGCTTCATAAATCATCAAAAATATCAAGCAAATCTTTAAAATTTCACTCATATTTGATTTCATTATTATTGCATTTTTTTTTAAATTTTTAGCAAAAAACTAACACAAAATAAAGCAAAATTTTCAAATCTTTACGATTAACGTGGTCTTGACTGACTAAACGATGATAAGAAGGTCCAATAAATTTTAATTTTGAGCATCAAAAGCGACAATTAATCTCTGAGAAGAGAATTTGAGAAATTGAGCATTGAAATAAATCCAGTAATTTTATTATTTATTGATGAACAATCACATTGACTTTGAATTTGATGACTTTTTTGACTGTGAATGTAAACTTGACAGTAATCAGTGGCATGGCAAGACAACAACAAACAAGCACCGAACTTAGTCAAACATTTGCAATCTTTTTGCATTTAATTTAAGCTTAGGTCTTGCCCCAAGCTTTGCGCAATTGATTATTCTCTTCGACTTCAGGAGACATCAAATTTCCATTGCTGGGTGCTTTGGAGATGCTTCAAAATCGGCCCTAAGCAGTGGCGTCAAAGAGCGAAGCCGGGAATTTAACTGGGAAATGGGGGTTTATATTTTTTTTCGTTTGGAAACATTTTGGGGAGGGGGGGGGGGGGTGACAAGGGGGTTTTTAACAAAAACCCTAGCACAATGAATAAATTTCTGTTGACCTAGAGGGGAAATTGACCCCCTCATCTAGCTACGCGCCTGAGTGAGCTTTCGCCCGAGGGGCTTTGAATTTTTTTGAAAATTTTTATTCTCGTCCCCTGGCGCCAAAAACCCTCGATACGTCTCTGAATGTTACAAAACTAAGACCCCTCTTTTTACCACTAAGAATTACAAAACATACAACCGACCCCAATGTGAATAAATTTAAAAATAGAAAATCATCAAAAATATGATATGAAATTTTTATGTGCATAAAAGCTGATAACAAAGCGTGAATCACTCAATTTAATGACACAGGCTGTAATTAATCTTCACACACAAATTTAAATGTGACTGAAATTTAATTTTTTCGTCACTCATAGTTTAACAGTTTAACAGAAAAGTCGAGCATCAAGATATTGTAAACTTTAACTGATTAGTGGAGCAAAGACATAACAACAAAGTCAATCAATGGAAGATTTAGACACAAAATATCGACTCCTACTCGAGATGATCATCAAAATAATATCAAACTTAAGTTCAGTCAATTCCTATTTTTGGGGCATTGAACGTAGATCACTTAATAGATTAGAATTAATTTTCATGCTTTTCGGAAAGGTGCCGTTCACTTATTACGTAACGCTTATAGGGGGGATGGGGGTCTAAGATTTTGTTACGGTTCAAACAAAAGAACTTTTTTTTCATACAAATTTTGTTACGAGGGGGGAGGGGGGGTCTAAAAAGTCGTTTTTTCGCGTTACGTAATAAGTGAACGGCCCCAAACTAAAAACGTTCACGTTCAATGCTCAAAAAGCGCTCAAATAAAAAGTCTAAAAAATAAAATAAAGCAAGTTGTTAAGCATGTTTTGATGCAAAAATCATCAACATTAATACTGCATGTCCCATTTAGGTCGAATAATCAACAATTTATTTCATAATCTCTCAAGTATCAATTTAAGTGCAATAAAAAGCTAATTAAATCCACTTATCTAATCTATTTGGAAGTCAATTAAATGACTTACTGGTTGTTGAGATTATTACACCGTCAGTTTTAATTTAGCTTCTGGATTGTAAGGATTTAATTGAAATATTCAAGCTTACATTCTTGTTAAAAATGAAGTTGCTGTTCTTAGTTTTTCTAATTTGTCCAATAGTTTGGGCTATTGAACCTATTAGCTATAAAGACTACAAAGTTGTAGAATTTAAGATCGAAACTGAAGGGCAGTTGAAAGCTGCTAAGAATATGGAAATGATGTCTGGGGTAAGTTTAGTGGATTATTCACTTTGTGGACGTTTATTAAGGTTTATCTTGAGGTTTACGTAGCAATTACTAAGCAGAGGCATTACTAGGCATCTCCTTTGCTACACCTCTACAAAGACTGTCCATCTGAGCATTTTTCAGCAGGTCAGCTCTCTTTTTTCGATAAAAAACCAATAGACAGCCTTAAATCGACTTACCAGTTCTCTTATTCGTCCATACCGCAACGTTTTATCCAAAAATAATTGATTTATTATCAATCCAACCAAGCTCTCTGTATACAATCATTTATCTTTGTTTCTTAATGTAATAATCCAAAAGCAGTCACACTTATGTTCCTGACTCCAATCAAGATAAACTTTATCTCTATAATTCAAACATTTTCAGTTCAAGTACTGGGAGTCACCTGTACAAACAAATATGAAAACAGAGCTCATCATTCATCCTCAAATGTTTAACGAATTTGTCGAAATTGCCGAAGAAATTGGAATTAAATTTAAAATTTTGACTGAGGACCTTGGCAGGTAAGTTGTTAGTGGATACAGGAGGCAGCTTGAAGTTGAATTTGATTTATTTCAGTGAATTTATGGCAGAACGTCCAGTAAGACGCACCAAAGACGACTCATTTGCGTTCGATCGTTACAACACTTACGAGCAGATCCTTGAATTTATGGACCAAATTCAGTCAGAATTCCCTGAAAACTCTCAAATATTCACAATCGGAAATACCTTTGAGGGACGTCCAATTAAAGGAATTAGAATCACGAAGAACATTCAAAATCCAGCAATTTTTATTGAGTCTAATATTCATGCTAGGGAATGGATTACATCAGCAACGTCTGTGTGGTTGATTGATCAATTTTTGAGGTCATCAAATGAGACTGTAAGGAGCTTTGTGGATGGAATTACTTGGTATATCATTCCTGTGCTGAATGCTGATGGTGAGTTTTCGGAATTTGTTTTTGAAATTTGTTTAATTTTTTGATTTTTTTTTAAAAAATTTTTTTAATTTTTTTGAATTTTTTTAAGTTGTTTTGTTTTTAATTTATTTTTTTTTGAGATTTCTTTAAATGTTTTGAATTTTGAAAAGTTTTATGAATTTTTTGATTCTTTTGGAATTTTTTGAATTTTTTTGTTTTTTTGAATTTCTTGAATTTTTTTGAATTTTTTGAATTTTTTGTTTTTTTTTGAATTTTTTTGTTTTTTTTTTAAATTTTTTGAATTTTTTTAAATATTGTTTGAGATTTGTTTAAATATTTTGAACTTTGTTGAGTTTTTAGAATTTTTTGAACGTTTTGAATTTTTTGAAACTTTTAGAATGGTTAAATATTTTATTATATTCTTTAAAATTTTCAATTTTTAAGGTTATGAATATTCCTACAACGTTGATCGTTTGTGGAGAAAAACGCGCTCAACTCTCGGTTCCATTTTATGCTACGGAGCTGATCCTAACCGTAACTTTGGCTTCAACTGGATGAGTAAGTTCATTATTCATCTCAGCCCTTTTGCATTTTTTTTTCATTATTTTTTAAAAATTTTAGACGGTGGAGCCTCAGCTGTCCCCTGTACCGACACTTACGGAGGATTCAGTGCATTCTCAGAACCAGAAACAAAAGCTTTAATTGACTTTTATGCCACAATTTATGAAAAAGTCAAGATTTTCTTGTCATTCCACTCAGCAACTCAAGCTTTGCTGTATCCATGGGGAGATTTGAGACCAAAAGCACCTAACACTGATGATTTAGTAAACTTATAATCCAAACTCTTATGAAAATAAATTAAAAATTATTAATTTTAGTTTGCAGTCGCTGAAGCCGCAATCAATGCCCTAACAGCACGTCATGGAACCGACTATGTTTATGGAAATACAGTAGACATTCTTTATGTAGCATCAGGAACCACACCTGATCATATTTATGGAGTTTTTAATACAACACTTGCTTACACTTATGAAATGAGACATGCAAATACAGGAAGTCGATTTGTCCTTCCACCAGAGCAGATCATACCAAATGCTGAAGAAATTTTGGAATCAATTATGGGAATGGTTGCTAAAGCTACAGAACTTAACTATTTTTAATTATTGGAAATTGAAATTTTGTTTTTTTTTTAATTTGAGACTTTTCTTCTTTTGAATTTTGAAAAATAAATTTTTCTAATTTAATAAAATTTTCTTTTTCACTTTGAAATATTACAAAATTATTATTTAAGGAATCAAAAATTAAATCTCAATCTCAAAGATTCTTTGTTTATTTTTGTACCTGGTTATTACCAAACTTTCAAATCTTCCTGGAAAGAATATAAACAAAATCTCAAATTTTGGTATATAACCGGCGCAAAAGTTAATGGAATTATCAGTTCGAATCAAAAGTTCAACACGACAACAACGCAGAGAGCAAAAAACTTAAATTAAATCAAAAATTAAGAAAAAACCAAAAAAGTGTCAAACATGAATAAAATCTACGAAGAACTTTTTGGATCATCTTTGTCAGACATGGACAGTCCAAAGAAAATAATAAAAGTTCAAAAGGATATCAACAATAACGTTGAGGAATCAAAGAACAGCAAATATTCTAAAAGCTCAACAAAAGTTAAATCTGAAGTTGAGAAGAAGAGTTTCAGTAAACGAAAGAATGAAGACAATTTGGTTAAAGAGAAGACAAAGAAAGCTAAAATTGATGACAACTGTTTAAAAAAGACAGAATCAAAAGCTAAACAAGACAAAGTCCCAAAAGACAAGACTTCTTCAACTAAACATCAGACATCAAAAAGTACAAAGCACAGTGAGAAAGTAAACTCAGAAGACAAGCCAAAGAATGAAAATTCACACAAATCAACCGAAAAGGTCGTGAAAGAATCATCTCGAAATAACGAAGCTATTGAAAAGCAAAAGACAACCGTTAAAGACAAGGCAGAGAAACTCGTTACGAAAGATGAAAAATCGAAGAGTCAAAAGACAGAAAAGAAATCGACCAAAGATTCAAAATCAAGTAGAACAGAATCAGAGCAAAAACAAAAGTCAAGCTCAAAAAGTAGCAAAGATACAGACAAGAACAAAAAGGTTGGAAGCAAATGTATCAAAGAATCAACTGTGGAAGACAAACTTAAACCAGTGGATAACAAAACTAAATCAGCTAAAGCCGTTGACAACACAAAAACAGAAAATGAGGAACATCCGAAAATTTATGGAGGCAAGCTTCAAAACTTCAATAAAATGTACAACTCAATGAAGAGCAACGAAGAGTTCTCATCTGATGAGAGTTCAGATGAAGAGTCAACTTCAGAAGAAGTCAAGAACAACGTCATTCAGCCAAAACCTAAAGTCATCGTCCCAGTACCTGAAAGAATTGAATCGTCGACCACAAAACCGCTTTTTGGTCTACCTCGAAGAATTGAAGACAGCAGCTTAATTGAAGATAAGGAACTAGATGAGAGATTAATAAGACTTTATGGAAACTTCCAGACATCAACTTCGTTCCTTCATGTATCTCAGCCAACTGAAAGGAAGCCTCAACAAGTGATAAATCCAAAACAAATTGGGAATATCCAAGCAGACTTCAAAGTTCCACAACCAGCTACAACTAGACTTCCAAAGAGAAAGTTTGAAGAGATTCCAGCAATTAGAACAGAACCGAAACCATTTTCAGTTACAAAACCAGAAAGCTACAGTTTCAACAGGCAAAATCCAAAGGCATTTGGTGCATCACAGAAGACAGCAAAAGGAGGCATTGAAGTATCTAATACAACAACTCTAAACCCAAAGAAGGAATCAATCCCACAAAATGCATTCCAAAGACGAATGATGAACGCGAACTCAATCAAATCGTCCATCCAAAGATGCAACAAAGTCAAAGTTCCACAAAAAGATACATCACCAGCCCAGCCAGCACTTAAAAAATTCAGAGACATCGAGTCAGAAAACATTTGGGCAAAATTAGACGAATTTTACAAAATTCCCGAATTAGTCCAGCCAATCGATGGACTATTGACGAAAATTGACAAATTCTACAGCGTTCCAGAGTTGCTGAAGCCAATCGATGATCAGTTTGTGAAGATTGCCGAATTCTACAGAATTCCAGAGTTGGTACAGCCAATTGATGATCAAATTGTGAAGATTGACGAATTCCACAGAATTCCAGAGTTGGTGCAGCCAATTGATGGATTTTCAACTGAATACAAAAAGAAGGCAGACAAGAAGATCCAAAAGATAGGACATGCCACAAGATTTGGTTGAACTTAGACAATTGAGAAGGTTGACAAGATCCCATTTGGGATTGAAATATGGACACTAGCTAAAGTAAAGACACCAGCTAAAGTAAAGACACCAGCTAAAGTGAAGACACCAGCTAGAGTAAAGACACCAGCTAAAGTGAAGACACCAGCTAAAGTAAAGACACCAGCTGAAGTAAAGACACCAGCTGAAGTAAAGTAAAGATAATTGTAATAAAATTTAAAAATTAAATAAAAAAATTTAAAACTAAAATCAATTTGAATTTTATTCGATTTTATAGTCCAAGAACACTTGGAGAGAAGCTTTTGACGCAGACAGTATTGCACTAGGTTATGGTAGTTGGCTGAGCCAGCGATAAAGTCAGCTTAAGGCGCAATATCCTTAATAGAATAGAATAGAATGTAATGTAGGGTTTTGCTCAGAGCAAAAACGGCACTGCGATCGATGATCTGTATCCTTAAATCACAATTGATCTAAAATTTGACCTTTGTAGTTGCACATCCCTTGTCCAAATGTGAGCTAATTAAATAAAACAAACAAAAGCTAGCAAACAAATTCCTTTTCCTGATTCAACGAACATAAGTCGTGACTCATTAGACAATTGACACGTGTACTTTCATAATATTATCGTCACGATTCCATTTAAAATTTATGACTTTGGAATCTATTCTTCTTAAAAAGTTTGTCGATGGTTTGAAAATATTTATAGACTTTCAGTCGCAAAAGTGCAGCCAAAGTGAGCGAAAATGAAAGAAAAAAATTTTTTATTTATTTTAATTTTGCTTTTTGTTGAGCTAAATAGTGCTGATAGGTTGTTGGACATTCCGATAATTGATTTGAAGGTTAAGATTTTAAAAATCAAGAAAAAATAAATTTTGATAATTAAATCACATTTCAGCCAGTTGTTAATAATGTCGTTAATCCAGTAGTAAAAACAGCAACCAACTTAGTCAATGACATAGCAAAATTCACCATCAATGAGATTCTCAACTTTAAATCATTCAAGTCTTTATTCAACAAAGTCTACGACACCCTTGAACTTGAGAACATCGCACTCTTAAATTTCCTCATAAATCAACGAGACGTCGATGAACACAATGCAAAATATGAAGTCGGTCAGGTGTCATATCGTCGTGCAGTTTGTGAATACTCAGACATGTCTACAGACGACATGAACAAGTATGTCAATAAGTTTCACATGCCTATAATGAAGAGAAACAGGAGAAAGAAAAAAGTGAAAATTGTGAATGAAGAAAATGCGGGAAATGAAGTTGAGGAAGTGGAAGTTGAAGGTTTTAATGATGTGGAGGAAGCTGAGGAGTATGGCGGGGTTGTTGGTCCAATCTTAAACTTATTCGGAGGATTGAAGACAAAAAAGACGCAGAAAGATGCAGAAAGAGTTGTTCCTGTATTGAAGGAAGATAAATCAACCGTCGGTACAAAAAATAGATTAAAGGTTGACAGAACAAGGCCGAAAAAGAAGCCTGTTGATGAAGATACTGACCCAGCAACAGAATCCGGTGTTGAAGACATTTATCCTGATAAAACAGCTTACCAAGAAGACTATACAGCACCTGAAGACAATCTAGACTATCTAGACGACTACCAAAGACCAAACCTTCCAGTTGCTAATGATCTTATAAAGTACTTATCAATCCACACCCCAAGCGACCTCCTCAACTACGTAACTGATGGATTTAACACAAAAGTTCTAAACCAAGGACTTTGCGGATCATGTTGGAGTTTCTCAGCTGCTGCAGCAATTGAAGCTGCATGGTTCATTAAAACAGGTGAAATTGTCAAATTATCAGAGCAGCAACTGATTGACTGCAATAGAAACAAAGACAATGAAGGCTGTGAAGGTGGAAATATGGCAAATGCATTTACTTATGTCCAAAATAATGGCGGGATTTCGTTAAGTTCACGATATCCATATAAAGGAAATGACACTTATAGATGCAAGTTTGTGTCACCGGACGTAGAAGTTATAGATCATCAACTTTTGGATCCTGGCGATGAAGATTTGCTACTTGAAATGTTAATTGAGCATGGACCAATTGCTGTTGCTATTGATGCAAGCTTAAAGTCTTTTCAGACTTACAAATCTGGAGTTTATTATGATCCAAAGTGTACTGATAAAGTTAATCATGCGATGCTGCTTGTTGGTAAGGATTAATCAGTGCTGATTATATTTTTTATCATTTTGTTCAGTTCACTCGTTAGTTCTACATTCTCTAGAACCAGTGTTGTCCAAACTGTGTGCCGCGGCACAGAATTTTTTTGAAAATCACGCGAGCCGCATGTTGTGTGCAACTTTGGTTATGGCTTACCCCTAAATTTTGCCGTGACTCAAAAAGGTTGGACAACACTGCTCTAGATTATTGGTAGTAAACCGTTTTCAAATCTGCTCACGGCATACAGTTCGTTGAAGTTCTCAAAGTTTTTCATAAGTGTGTCGTGGCACATGGGTTGACCATCACTGATACATTAGTCTAATGTAGCCAAAATCCGTGTTTGAAAGGTATTTAGAGCGTTATACCCAAGTCATAACAATAATAATAATAATAATAATTTGTGAAGGGCCCAGCCTTTCAGCTGTAGGCGCTGCGATTCAAATTAGAACAGAATCTATTGTACCACACCCTTTAGACCTACAGTTTATAGTGGAATCCGAACCACTTGCAAGCTCTGCACATTGCAAAGACACGAGTACGTCATAAGACCTGATCTACCCTGCAATGCACCTAGTCACAATTCGTGTGCGCAAGATGCCGTAATGAAGTCATCCAGATGCTAGTATACCTAGCAAAAAAGGCATATTCTGTGCCAAAGACCTCAAAACTACACCCAAATTCAAAAGCCAACCTTTAAAAAGGTTGGAAAATAAAAATTTCAGGACAGCCAAACTTTTAAGAAATACTTAAATATAAATAAAATACAAGCCAGTTGTTGCCTGAATGCAGTCAATATCTGAGATAAGTTTCTGTAAACATTTGTTTTAAAAGCACTCCGTCTCAGTTTATTTTATCAACGTTTTATTTGGTATTGTCTGGCTGTTTTAAGTTGTATAATCATTTATCTTACTACATATTCCTAATCTTGAATAGCCACGCGCCTGTTTCTAATCTGTTTTGGCTTACAATGTAAATATCCCTAGGATTCAGTTACTTTACAGAAGACCCGAACAGCACAAGTCGGTTAATCGATCAGTAATCTGGTACGAAGCCGGTCGAATAGAAATCCGGAGCCAAGCTAGAGTCACACCAAGTGTGACTGGAGCCGGTGTAACTCTGGCTTGGCTCCGGATTTTTATTCAACCTGCTTCACACCAGATTACTGATTGATTAACCGACTTGTGCTATTCGGGAGAGTAGGTTCAGATATAACCAGTCAGCAGTCTGTTTTTAAGTTCGATCATGTACACATTAGTCGCAAAAATACAAAACAAAATCTGTGGAACAAAAGAATCTATGCTTTTTGAGGAGCAGTGTCTCTAGTGTCCTTCCTATGATTTAAATCTGATTTTCCTACAAACTTATTTAACCAAATTCCAAAAATATTACTTTTAGGCTATGGAACAGACAAAGCAACGAGTGAAGACTACTGGATCCTAAAGAACACATACGGAAAAACTTGGGGTATCAATGGCTACATGTGGTTGGCAAGGAATCGAGACAATCATTGTGGAATCACAGAATTTGCAACTTTTCCAATTTGCTGATCATTTTTGGACACACATCATCGCCCACGCAACTTCTGAGTCACTTAATGACTTAAATTATAATAATTAATAAACCCAAATACGTAAATAAAATTAAGGAACTTAAAGAACATGCAGAAGACAAAATGCTCCTCAATTTATTCTTCATCATCGTTTCACGAGACTTTAACGAGAGCCTTAATAAACAAATTTTACAAATCATTCTAGAAGCTCGTAAACAAATTCATGCGCATGACATAAAATCACAAAATTACATTGTTTAGACTTGCCGGCGCCAAAGTTAATAACTATGTGTCTATTGTGCTTTATTCTTTGTCGTGTGTGAATGTCAATTATTTTATCTCAGAACTTTTTGAAGGCATTTACATCGTAGGAAGTGAAAGTAGTGTTACTAATTGGTATGTAATAGGCTTGAACCTTAACATAGATGAATTAATTAATTTAAGAATGTCATGAAGTTCATGTTAAAGTTGCTGACTGCTGAATTCCATTCCTTAATTGTGTAAAATTTAATCTAATATTTCAGGATTAATTTCGCAAAGGCAATAAAATGTTAAAGGAGCTTTTTGGAAGATTTTGCTTTTGCTATGACTTGACCAAAGGAAATCTCATATTTGCCTGGATTCAGTTGCTGTCAAGTATATCATTTGCAGTGCTTATGATTGTACTTTTATTGGGACATAAAACAATTTTTCTGGAAGTGGATTTGATTACTTTTAAGAGTAAGTTTGGATTTTTATAGATGCTGTTAATGTTTAATGTTGGAAGAATTTGGGTATTGAGGATAAATTGATGATTTATATGTGAGAATTGATGGGGAGAGCAAGTGATCTGGATGACTTCCTTACGGCGTCTTATGAACTCGAATTTTGACTAGGTACATTGCAGGGTACATCAGGTCTTATGACGTACTCGTGTCTTTGCAATGTGCAGAGCTTGCAAGTGGTTCGGATCCCACTATAAACTGAAGGTCTAAAGGGTGTGGTACAATAGATTCTGTTCTAATTTGAATCGCAGTGCCTCTAGCTGATAGGCTGGACACTTCACACACATTATTATTTTATAAGGGATATCAATTTTGGCTACATGCAATTTTACCTTAGACTTCTTTGAACATCATCTAAAATTGGATTTTAAGCATTCTTGGCTATAAATACTATGTCTGCCTTAAGTTAACAATTCATCAACAGGTATGAATTATTGTAATAATTATCATGTACTAATCCATGGATACTGCCAAAAAGAACAGCCTAAGAGTACTTTCTGTGTATGGACTTGATGTGTCTCAGGCTAAAACCGTAGGTTAAAATTATTCTGGGGTCATAATTAAGAGTAATTTTATTTAAATTAATTCACATAGTTTTTAATCAGTTGATTAGTAAAGGGCAGTATGTGGCAGCGACGGAGCAATCGTTTAATCAGTTCCATAGTTGATCAGTATCTCAGTGCCTCTAGTTTATCGCACAGAATGAAAAAACATCGCTCTCACATTATTTCATTTGTTAATATTAAGGATATGTGGATGTTCTGTATCAAATATCCTATAGGGGCCGTTCACGTTCAATTCGTTTTTTTGCGTTACGTAATAAGTGAACGGCCCCATACAAGTTGAAACATTTTGTTATGCCAGGTTTTATAGTTATAAGCTTGATACGAGTACAGCCAATGGTATAGACAGGAACAATGATGACGCTGCAGCCAACGATTAATCAGTTTTTGGCTCTTAGAACTACTCCGAACTCAAACTATGCTTCATTTGGCATCACACTAAATTAATAGTTGCATAACAGGACTTTAGTCCAGAACCTGAGCCAGCGCATGTTTCAAAATTGATCAGTTCACAATTGATCCATCAGTTTAAGGCCACCTCTTCTCCATTTTCCGTCGATAATCCAAACTACACACCTCACCTCCCTAAACCTTAACAAGTTGCTTACTTCGCCCATGATTGTCATTGACTAAAATTGTAATTCTTTCAATTTCAGTTATTTGCTTCCTGTTCCTTGGTATGTGCATGATTATTGGGAATATTTGCTTTCACTTCATTCACGGCACATTGACGGTGAGTTTTTAAATTATGCTAAATTATAAGTTGATGCTGTAGGCTGAAGAATCTGAAGAATTTCACTTGTTAAGCATCCATTTGCCAGCTTAAGTTCAATTCTCATTTTTTAAATTATTTCCTATTTTTGTAGCAAAATGCGAGGATAATGACACCATACTTAATCTTTGGAATCTTTGAAATTGTTTTTATTGCTGCTCTCGGCATCTTGGCGCCATTGTTGTTCATCATTGTTGGATTTTTGGTGTACTTTTACATCTGTGCGTACGCTTTGTACATCAATGTTTCGGAAAATCAAGAAACTGTGATTTATAAGCAGGAACCGGCCAAGAAAGGTGTCTCGTTTAAGGAAATTTAAGAAATTTTTTGATGTTGTGCTGCTTAAAAAACAATAAAAAAAAACAATAATTATGAGAAATTTATTTTTGATGAATTTTTGGAATCTTTCTGGATTTTTTTTACAGCTTTAAAGAAAAGTCGCGAGCAAATTTAAACGATGATGTGGTTTGATTCTTCTAATACAGTTACATCCGAAAATGACATCAATGGGGTCACTGGAATTCGACTTTAAGCTATAAGTTTCTTTCCTAGTTCATATGCTTGTCATTTATTCTTCCGTTTTGAACTGCGACTGAATTTTTGCTAAGTTTTTGTCATCAAAACCCAATATAGAGTGAAGATGCTGTTCTTAATGTCTAGTCAATCTCCTAAAGTTAGGCAAACAGCACAACTTTATTTTAAAAGCTCTAATAATGCAAAAATAAATTAGATGAAATGTTTAAAAAATGTTAATTTAATTTTCTAATTTGATATGAGTTTAAAGTCATTGTGACTAGACAACTTTTCAGGAATAGAAGACATTCCCTATGCGATCAGTTTTGTTCGTTTTCATAAGTTTCAGTTTTATTCGCCAATGATGTTCATCAAAACAATAGAATTTGAAAATTTCCTAGGTTTGATCTGGCACAAAATCCTAGGAGGTGGAGGGTAAGTTTGAATAAAATTTGTGCTTACATGGCAAGTTTAAAAACTGCGCATAAAAGTTATCTTTTATTTGAATTTCATTAAGCAATATCCTTGAAAATTTTAATTAAAAACTTTATATTTTCGTTCATTTGAAGTGGAAAAACCCAAGATATGATCGACTCGAACGCAAAATGTTTGCTCAAGTGTGGCTTGTGGAACAAACAAGAGGCTTTGAAATAAGCGCTTATTGCTTGCTTCTAGAAGCAATAAATGTATTTAAGCATTTTAAATGTAAAAATTATGATTTAGAATTATTTTCAGAATTTATTGAGATTCATGAAATGCTTATTTTCACTATTTTGACTTCCTTAATGCTGTAAAAAAATCATTGATCGTCCAAAATCACCATTTTGTCATCTAATCTATCAGTTTGAATGTCAACCAATCAGAATAAATCACAAAAGTTAAACAAAATGAACTGCAAGCCTGCCATTTACTTAAAATAAGTTCACATCTTATCAGCCGCTGTCTGCGTGATCGCAAAATAAATTCAAAACAGACATGAAAAAATGGAAAAACCCAAACTTCAATTGGATATCCAGAGGAGGTTCAAATGATAAAACTAAGAGAATATTCATAAAAAAATGATCAATTTCCTTAGCTGTGCCTGAAGTTTCTGGTGATGTCACAACAACTGGTTTTGATAAGCTCCTCCTACTTGCCATTAAAGTGCTTGTTTCGCTTTGCCAACATCAGCAAAATTGTACTTGTTATTCATATCCACTTTTATCTTTTGCCTATCATTTTCGGATGAATAAATTGAATGATGAAATATTTCGCTCATGTTAAATCATTGATTATTATTTTATGATCTTAACTTTCTAAGAACCATGTTCGATTAGCTGTTTAATGATGGAATCGTGCATCCTGGACGTAATCAGTTCTTTAAAGAAATCCGAAGTGTTTAATATAAATTGTAATTTTTTATTGAGGTTAAATTTTGCTGATGTTGGCAAGGCGAAAGAAGCACTTTAATGGCAAGTAGGAGGAGCTTATCGAAAACAGTTGTTGTGACATCAGCAAAAGATTCAGGCACAGCTAAGGAAATTGATCATTTTTAAAGAATATTCTCTTAGTTTTATCATTTCAACCTCCTCTGGATATACAATTGAAGTTTGGGTTTTTCCATTTTTTCATGTCTGTTTTGAATTTATTTTGCGATCATGCAGACAGCGGCTGATAAGATGTAAACTCATTTTAAGTAAATGGCAGGCTTGCGGTTCGTTTTGTTTAAGTTTTGTGATTAATTCTGATTGGTTGACATTCAATCTGATAGATTAGATGACAAAATGGTGATTTTGGATGATCAATGATATTTTTACAGCATTAAGGAAGTCAAAATAGTGAAAATAAGCATTTCATGAATCTCAATAAATTCTGAAAAAAATTCTAAATCGTAACTTTAACATTTAAAATGTTCAAATACATTTAATGCTTCTAGAAGCAAGCAATAAGCGCTTATTTCAAAGTCTCTTGTTTGTTCCACAAGCCACACTTGAGCAAACATTTTACGCTCAAGTCGATCGTATCTTGGGTTTTTCCACTTCAGTTTTATCGAGAAATATAAAGTTTTTAATCGATCGATGGGACACGTACTCAATGTTCATCAATATGCGTCAATATCTGTTTTATTTTATTCAAAGTCATCCTCACTGCGCAGTTTAGTAAAATAGTTTCAAAAAAGGCCTCGAGCGATGCCAGCGTACATTGAGAAATAAGGTTATCCAGCATTTTTTTTTTATTTGAAGCTTTAAGATTATTTTTTTTAAGGAATTTCAGATTTTAGGTTTAGAAATTATTATTATTTTTTTGAGACTTTATTCAGGAAGACAAACTCTTAGCTTCTTAATAAATCCATTATCTTATGTGTCCACACATTTCATGGATGTTCGTCACTTAGTCGTTCTAAGTGCTCTAGCACTAGCTTATGTCTCAGCAATGATGTTTACTAAGGCAAAGTCTTTATCCAATCTAGTACTTCCTCATCTTTATCTCATTGTTGATCTAATTTTTTTCCAAGCTTTTCATTCGATGGTTAGTCTTTTAGGATCCCAGTTTATTAGATAATGAAAATCCCGCTTTTCCAGCTACTGAATTAGATTTCTAGTTTGCGCTTGACTTCGTTGGTAACAAGCCGGGTCTAACAGCTTTAAAGAAGATTGAGACGAAGCACTTGCTTTAAAAAAATTTCAATGATGGAAATTCAAGTTCCAGTTATGTAATACTTTTTGCACAATGTTCAGGAACCTTGAATATCATACCCTTGGATGTCTTATGATTTTTATGCTATTTCTTATTAGCTCTATTTATGATTTATGACCTGTTCAGTAGTCTCTAATTTTGATACCATCCTCATCTCCTTAATAAATGAGCTGAAGATGCAGAACTTTAATGTAATAAAAATTAGATTTAATGTTTTTTTAAAAATAATTTTGTTTTTTAATCGAACTTAAATAAAATAAAATAAAAATTATTTTTTATGGTTTCTTTTCCAATATGATAAAAAATATTTTTATGTGTTTTTTACATTTTTTACATTTTTTAAATATATTTAGTGAATTGAGATAAATTGTATGAAATATGTATTATTAATAAAATGTTTAACATTGTTTAAAATAAGGTTATCAAAAAAAAAAATAAAGTTACACTTATTTTAAAGAATATAATAAAAATATTATTTTTTTTGAATAAAAATCTGGTTTTTAATAAGTTAAAAAAATATGATGTTTTATTTCAGCTATTACGATAAATTTTTTTTTTCCTTTTTTTGAAGATTTTCAATATTTTTTAAATTTTTTCATTTAAATTTTTTTTTTGGAATTTTTTTCAGAATTTTTTCAATTCTAAATTTATATGGTTTATAAAAATGAATTTAATGTATTTGAATTGTGTTGACATTTCTACTATTTTTGAAGATTTTAATAAAATATTTTTTTATTCTTTTCATAAAAATATGTTACGTAACACATTTATGCTATTTTTTTTGTATAAAATACACCATTTTATCTAAATCTTTCATTTCTAATATTTAGACATACGTTTATTTTTTCAGCAATTGAAAATATCATTTTTTTTAAGTTTTTTCCTTTTTTAAAAAAATAAAGAAATTAGAAAAAAATTATCTTTTAATTATAAATTATCGAAAAGTTCCTTTTTATAAATATAATTAAAAAACGTAATTTAAAATCAATTTATAAGTTCAAAAATAACCAAAAAACACATTTTTTGAACAAAAACTATTATTTAAAATAATTGTTTCAAAAAAAAAATAAAAAACCCTATATTTAACTTTTATCAACCTAATCCTAAAAGTTTTCAATGAATTAAAATAGAAAAAAAATAAAAAATTCAATGTCAATCACAAAAAATTTTCTAAGTCTTTTTTTGACAAAAAATATTAAAAAGGAGAATAAACTGAACGTCTTGATCATCTGATACACTCGAACCTTGGTCGATGAATGAGACAAAACCTAGTCTCTCATTTTTTCGAAAGTCACTCCTCTCCTCTCAATCCCCACCAAATTTCTTGCAGATGTTTCAGTTCAATGTGAATTTTCATTGAAATTATTATTTAAATTTACTAAAATTATTGAAGAATTTAATCGATATTAAGCTGGATGTGAGAGAATTGATCACATCATTTGACTCTCTCACGATTTTAGGGTATAAAAAGGGGACCTAGATCGATGGAAAAGTCAGTTTTGGGAATTCATTTCCAGACTTCTCCCAAATATAAGTAAAGAAGTGTGAAACAAGTGAAAGAACCAAGTGAAAAAAATAAGTGAAAAAAAAAATCATGGGGAAATTTTCTCTTTTAATCTTACTGTTCATAGTAGGAACAGTAACAGTGTCCGGACATGGTCGTGGTAATCGCGATCATTCTGAGTCTTCATGTGAGGAAACTCATGATCATGAGCTCGTTTGCTCAGATGAAGTCTTAGAAATTATTAAGAAGGAAGACCCAGGCCATCATATACCTCCAAAGAAGAAGATTGCTCAAATCGATACAACGCCAGCTCCTCCTCCGAGACCTGAAAGGCCTGAACGGCCTGAAAAGCCTGAAGGGCCAGTAGGACCAACAGGTCCAGTTGGACCCGTAGGGCCCGAACAGCCAGAGGGTCCTCCAGCTGAAGGTGACGAGTATTACGACGAGTATTATTACGATGATGAATATTAGTGAGTATTGAATTTATAATTTTTTCCAAATTTTTTCCTACAAAAATTAATTTTAATTTTTAAAAACTTAAATTTAATTTTAAATTTTAAAAACTTAAAAATTAATTTTAATTTTTAAAAACTTAAAGTTAAAAAATAAAGTTTTAAAAAGTGAATTTAATTAAATATTGTGATATTGAA